TGGTGGGATCGGCGCGGCAAAAAACGCGCGCGTATTTGAAATGGGTGCTCGCTGCGCCGAGGTTGGCTGCCCTGCCTTTGCGGTGTGGTGCCCCTCAGCGCCGCAGCGCCGCGGCGCGGCGGCGGGACTTTGAACCAACAGCGAAGTGGCGGCGGCGGGGGGGGGGGGGGGCGGCTTTCGCGGCGCCGTCTCTCTCGCACTCGCGCTGTGCATGGGCGGGGTGCGAGAGGGACGCCGCGCTGTTCAATTCGACGCGGATTGCTGAATCGGCGGAGGCGGTGAGGCCTAAGCCGGCCAAACTTGGACACGGCGCCGCGCCGCGCCGCTCAGTGACTCAATCCCTGCGATTACTGCCAATAACGCGCACACGCACCTCATCCCGAGAGTCGTTTTCGTCGCTCTGTCTCTCTCGCACTCACGGGGCGTCCCGCGTAGGTGCGAGAGGGACAGAATGACAGATATATATCGCGTCGTGTTTGGGTCAAGGTGCGGATGGGCGAAGCGCGCGGCAAAACGTCTCAGGGGTGTTTTCTCTCTCCCCCCCCCCCCCCGTTGAAGTAAGCAACAAGCTCTGCGGGACTGTCGCCCCAGTCGCGCCATCCGACCGAGTTGTGTGTGTGTGTGTGTCTCTCTCCAAAAGACTCTGCAATGAAGAAAAAACCCCTCGAAAAGAAACGCGTGTATCTGTTTTCTTTGCGGACTCGCGATTCAATCCGACGAGACTTGTTCCTCACGGGAGAGCTAGCCGGGGCAGGGAGCGCTTGCAGTTCAGTTGGAAAGCGGAGAAGAAGCGTCGCGTTCCTCGAAGGCCAAACGAACAGCAAGTGGTTTTCTGTCTCTCTCGCTCCCGTGCGGCCGTGCCCCTCGCGGCACGCACCCCCACTGCGAGTGCGAGAGAGACGGAGTGCACGCGGCGCTTCCGGTCAGCCAGTCCGAGCCGCCGTAAAGAAGTGATGACTCCGGAGGGGTCCTCCTCTCGGATTCCTCGCCACTTTGAGAGCCGTGCGCAGCTTGACGGGGCGGCGCTGTTGCTTTTCGCTGCTTTTTTCGCTGCCGGTGGTTGATGGATTTACACGGACCGAGTTTATTTGGACGAGATTGGTCGGCAACTTTTCGAGTTGAAGGAGCGCCTCCCGCTTTTGTTTTGGCTATTGTTTCGCTTCCCCTCCTTTTTTTTTCCTGGTTCGTTTTTGTTTTTTGTTGTGTTTTTTTTATTGTTGTTGGGCCGACGTTACTCCGGATTGACCACGTGATCATAATCGACTCACATCAATGAACAGGGGTGGAAAAAGAAGGCTAAAAACAGCAATGATAAAATTTAACGACGACACTCGACAGCACGACAAGAATAACGCAAACAACAACAACAACAAAGTTTATCGACTCACAACAATAACAACGGGAGACCCATTCGCACGGCCTTGCTGCTCAAAAATTCAATTACGGTGTGTAAGAAGGCACGAAGGCGCTCTGCGTTGATGGGCGTCTGATCGGTCCGATCGAAGCGACCCGCAGCAGGTGTGGTGGGTACACTCTCGGAAGTCGGTCACCACACCCAGAAAAATGGTTTCTTGATTTTAAACTCTCTTGGGTTTGCTAAAAAAAAAATAATCTTGACACAAGAAAAATTTTCTTCATTAAAAAACAAAAAATTGGATGAAGAATTTTTTGTAAAAAAACATCCAAGAAAAGTTAAAATTTTTTTGATCCAAGAAGTTATTTTTTTTGTGCAGCCCCGTTTTCCCGGCTCGGTGAGGGCGTTTGCAGTGTTTGCCCACCGTTATTTTTAATATGTTCGATTTGAACCTTTTTGGCAGTGCACTGCACACGCAGCTGGTGTAATTTGAAAACATTGACGCCGCGACGCCTTGTAAAGCATGTCGCTGCGTTGCCCGGCGTCGTTGCCCCGTCGCCCCGCTGGTCCGCTTTCGGTCCCGATCCGTGCCATTTCGCCATTTCCCAGTGTAATCCTCGATGCACCATGAAAACCCCCACTAAGCCCCGCGGCCCCCCAGCCAGCCAGCCAATGTGTGCGGCTGGCTGCCTGCCTGCCTGGCTGCTTCTGGCCGCCGCTTTCCCCTGAGTGCGAGAGAGACAGAGGCTCCGAACAGCCCTCTCTCCTGCGAGTGCGAGAGAGACAGAGGCTCCGAACAGCCCTCTCTCCTTGCGAGTGCGAGAGAGACGCAGGCCCGAGGTATTCATAATGACGGGCACGCCGATATTAACGCGGCCACCCCAATCTGTCACACCTCTCGACACGCTGAGTGATGAGCGGGACGGGGCGGGGCGGGGCGGGGCGGGGCGGGGCGGGGCGGGGTGGGGCGCGAGCTTACACGGTTGGCTGGCCCTGACCGGGGAACTCTCCTTCCTCTCCTCTTACACCGTCCTTGATACTTTTGCCACAGCACTGCGGGAAAGCACTTTAAACCCGTGCCACACTGGCGCCATCATGCACGAAGGACATTCCAATTCAAGTCGCTAGGGACTTGAACCGGACGTGTGACCCCACCAATGGATTGCTCCGAACGAGGAATCCATTGGTGTGGTCACACGTTCGGTTCGAGTACTATTTAGCGACTCTGGAGCTCAAATCGTGTCTTGAGTTTTGCCGCCTCCACCGGTCTTCTGGCCCACTGTGCGATGCGTTCACAGCGTCCCGGTGGATTCTTTCCTTCGTCTCCGCTGGGACGGCGGGCTGCCTACCTCCCCGGCGGCGTGCCCGGGCATGCCCCAATAAGCAGAAAGGAACACAGCCTTAGTCTTTGACCCACCCCTTACCTGTGGCCAGTAAAGCAGCCCCCGCCCCGCCCCGCGCCGCCCCGCCCGACCGCGCCGAGGCAAACATTGTCCCAGTCTGGGTGGCGCGGTCCCTCGGCAAACATCCCCCTTCCCCCACCCCCACCCCCTCCCTCCCCCGAGCCGCTGGAGCCGCTAACTGCCGGAAACAAATTAAGTCAAATCCTTTGCGGGCCTTTCTTTCCAGGCCTTCCAAATAAAAGCTAATCACACACGAGCGGCGCAACGCGTCTCTCTCTCTCTCTCTCTCTCTCTCTCTCTCTCTCTCTCTCTCTCTCTCTCTCTCTCTCTCTCCCTCTCTCTCTCTCTCTCTCTCTCTCTCCAGCTCGTGCAGGGTGTCCAACTCCCCCCGGAGTTTGCCTCCTCGTGGGACGGATAGCTCCACCGACACCGTGTTGTAGTACCGGGCGGCATCTGCAGCGTCGCGTTGACGCCCCGGACCGGGGGGGGGGGGGGGGTCCTCGGTGGCCCTCAAGATGTACACTGCACACCCATAAATCAGAGTCCTGTGCTGCTCTCTCGGTGCGGTCTCCCCCTTCACCCCCACCCCTTTCCCTCCTTGCTCCCTTTTCGGTTTTCCGCCCGTATTGTTCTATTGTGGCTCCCCGGACGCCCACTTATTTACACTGCCACGCGTCCGCACCGCTTTTCCAGGTGCCTGTGGGAAAATCGACTGGGAAATCATCTGACTTTGCCAGCGCAGTGACAAAACAATCAAAGGAAAACTCGAAAAAACGGCCCTAGAAGGAGTCCGGTGAAAAATCAGCAACGTTGGGCTTGGCTAGGGCTTCCCCGCCCGCTCATAATTCTTCAGTCTCCCTTGCTGTAGCGAGATCAATCAACAATTATTCTAACCTCAAATTTTATTTCAGCAACATAAAGTTAGTCTAAAAAAAAGTGTTCTTTTTACCTGTTTCGCTGATTGTTTGCTGTAGTCGGAGGTCCCACGGTTCTGCGTGTGGCTTGCGGAGTGGGCGTGCAGGGATTGCCGGGGGTTGTAAGGAGGACCGCAGAGGCAGGGATGCGGCGGGACGCTCAAAGGCGGCGGCTGGCTAAACACACGGGGAGCGCCGCGTGGCGCAGCGCAGCACTTCCTGGCAGGCGCCGATCCGAACGGAGTGCGAGAGAGAGAGAGAGAGAGAGAGAGAGAGAGAGAGAGAGAGAGAGAGAGAGAGAGAGAGAGAGGAGAGAGAGAGAGAGAGAGAGAGCGAGAGAGAGAGAGAGGGAGAGAGGGGGGGGAGAGAGAAGGAGAGATGCACACCTCTCGGTCGTCGAGGAGGCTGCTGCTGCCGAGAAGACGACACGCAAACAAAGGCGGTGGATTCAATTTTGAGGCGGCGCTGCAGGCTTGCAGGCAGGCTTGCAGCCAGGTGCAGTAATGGCGTTGCGATGCTATCACTGTGGGTCTGGCCCGGCAGGCCCCGGCGCCCGCAGGCTGGCCCAGCGCGGCCCAGGCCGTGAGTGAGGCAAGGCGAGGCGAGGCGAGGCTCTCGTCCGAGGCCGGGACGAGGCCGGGGACTCATTAGGCGCTCGGCAAGTCAATTTCCCCTTATCGCGAACGCGGCGAGAGCGACGGAAGAGCGGCGCTCCAAAATAGATGAGCCATGCTTTGTGCGACGCCACGGCGACGCCACGGCGACGCCACGGCGACGCCACGGCGCTGCATCCGCGACTTGCACGCCGCCGGAGATAGGCTGAACCGCACGCGGCGCTGCTTCCCTCGACAGCCAAAAACACACAAAAAACAACAAAAACAGAATCAACCGTGGAGGTTTATCAGGGCCGCATCCACGGCAGTGCAGCTGCCTTCACGCTGCACGGGACGCGCCTGCGCTGCCGGCGGGGAATCGGATGGCCGATTAAAAAGATATAAAAGGGGATTTTGAACTGGAGAGGAATAGGTGGGTCCCAGAGGCCTGTCGACGGGGAGATACCCCGCTCGTTAATTAGAGAGAGGTTTGGGGGGGGGCAGCAATTTCTCCCTCATTTGTTATCAGCCACCCCGAAAATAATGCAGTTATCGACGCGGCCGGGCCTTCAGTCTCCTCCTGGCCTTTCAGCCGCAGTGAAACCATTAGGCGTGCGGATTGATAGATTTTTTTTTCGAAGAAGGGAATAATTACTTTCAGAAAGTCGACTTTCTGTTCGCGGAGATGAACCCTTCTTTCCAGCCAAAGGACGGTACCCATAGTCGACTGATCGTCATGAGTCTGGGAAGTCCGCCATTTCCAAAAAATTTGGCACCTGGCAGTGTAAAACAAGTGCTGCAGAGTCTTCAGCAGACAAAAAAAAAGTCTCGACAAAAATCTCAGGATCTTGGTATCTGTCTCTCACCATTTTTTCAGTACTGCCCCTGCTGGAAAAGCCCTTTAAAAGTGTTGTGAACCTGACTGTTGCAGGTGGTTCCGCGTGGACCGGGCCGGGCAGTCGGTGCCGGTGGTGGCGTCGCCGCCCAGGGTGCGGCAGGTGCAGGGAAGCCTGGTGCTGCAGGCCGTCACGCTGGCCGACGCGGGGCTCTACATGTGCGCCGTCAACAACTCGGTGGGCACGGAGCGCGTGTCCACCTCGGTCGTCATCAACGGTGAGTTCCACAACTCGTTTCTCATTTACGTTTTTTTTAAGGCGTGGAAGTTTGTTGTCGCTCCACGCACGGCCCGACGCACAGTGGGCCAGAAGACCGGCGGAGGCGGCCAAAACTCTAGACGCGTTTTGCGCTCCAGAGTCGCTAAACGGGACTCGAAACGATCGTGTGACCCCACCAATGGATTGCTCTCCGAACGAGGAATCCATTGGTGGGGTCACACGTTCGGTTCGAGTCCTGCTTAGCGACTCTGGAGCTCAAAACGCGTCCAGAGCTTCGGCCGCCTCCGCCGGTCTTCTGGCCCACTGTCCGACGCAGACACGAATTAAAACCTTGCTGCTGCAGCGCCGCTGGCCGCCTACATCAGCCCCCAGGTGCAGACGGTGGACGTGGACCGGACGGCCTACTTCAACTGCACCACCGAGGGACACCCGCAGATCAGCGTGTCGTGGCTCAAGAACGGCAAGCAGCTCTCCGCCGGCAAGGGCGTACAGATCCTCCCCGGACACGTAAGTGTGCGTCTATCTCTCTCGCTTGCACCGCGACGGCGCGCCCCGTGAGCGCGACAGAGACAGAGTGAATCGGGGTGTTTTCCGGGCGGAGCGGACACCTGTTTGTTCGGCGAGGCCAGAGGCCGCCAAGGTGAAGGTGGGGCGGCCCGAAGGCCGAGGCGTGTCACGGGATCCGTGACGTGCTCCGGGAGCGCCCCCACACTGCGAGCCACGCCACTGCGAGGCAGGCCCTACTGCGGAAGTCGCGATCATTATCACGGGCTGTCGAAGACTTTGGCGCCAAAGTTTTATCACGAAGGCGACGGTGTCGCAGCCTCGCCCCGCTACCCGGCCAGAATTGCTCCCTTGACCCTGGCTCACTTTTCTCCTCTTTGCTTTGCCCCGTCGGGTTCCCCTTTTTCCTCTTTTGCTGTTTGACTGGATGGACAGTGCGACTTGCCCCGTGCGCGGCCCAGGGTAGGCAACCATCTGCCCGCTCATAACGATCGCCCAGCCGTACATCAGCGAGAGCCTAGTCTTGTTCTTCTCCCTGGGATGACTCTCGTGTGTGTGTGTGTGTGTGTGTGTCTCTGCGCTGAAATACGAGCCAACTGATTGTCTGTTTGGTTTGGTAAATTGCCTTTGTTTCGCGGGGGCCAGGGGGATGGGTCTGCGCAGTGCGTTTGCGCGGTATGCGTCTGCCGTGGCGCGACCGCCCTGGCCTGGCAGCGAATGGAATATTCCGGGCCATCTTCGCCCCCTCTGTCCCTTTCTGGCTCTCTCTCTCTCTCTCTCCCTCTCGGTCGTGCTTTACCCACTGCTTTCAATCACCGCGAGAGTTGCCGGCTGGAAATGGCCGTAGGAAGCGCGTGTTCCGGGCCTCACTCCTGGCAGGGACTGCCAACTCAACAAAAACAAAAGTTCCACTCCTTCGAGTTCGCCGCGTCTCGTAAACCACACGCCCTGCCTTGGATGACAAATTTAGGATTTAAGGGGAAAGTCATGTGTGACACTCGCCGCTCAAGAAACGTACGAAGTTAGAATTTTTGTAGAGTTGGCACTCTCTGGCGGCCGCCGCCCGCGGACTCGAGGGTAGGCAACCCGGCGGCCGGCTGCGCCCTTCGATGTTCTCGATTCTCCCTCGACCTCTCGAAGTAGCCCTCCGCCGCGCCGCCGCCTCGCTGCCCTCTTTGCTGGCGCTGCAGCACGCTGCACAGTGGGCCAGAGGACCGGTGCAGGCGGCCGAAACTCTAGACGCGTTTTGAGCTCCAGAGTCGCTAAATGGGACTCGAACTGAACGTGTGACCCCACCAATGGATTGCTCTCCACACGAGGAATCCATTGGTGGGGGTCACACGTTCGGTTCGAGGCCTGTTTAGCGACTCTGGAGCTCAAAACGCGTCTGGAGTTTTGGCCGCCACCGCCGGTCTTCTGGCCCACTGTGCGTCGGTTCCGCCGGTTCCGGCGCCGGGTGCACTTGCAGCATTTGCAGGAGCCGACTGTGCAAACCCGCCGCCGCCATTTCCTTTGCCGGATTTGCGAACATGGCTCTACCTGGAAGAGAGAGAGAGAGAGAGAGAGAGAGAGAGAGAGAGAGAGAGGGGGGGGGGGGGGGAGAGGGGGGGAGAGGGGGGGGGAGGGGGGGAGAGGGGGGGGTCTCAGAATGCAGGGCCGGAGCAGAGGGACGGGAGACGCATGGCGGCGTTCGTGCCGCCTCGCTCCGCGCTGCTCCGCGCTGCTCCGCGCTCCGCGGCGTGTTCTCCGAGGAACACACGTAACATCAGTCGCATTACCAACACTCCCGAGGGGGCCAGGCCCCGCCAGAGCGGGCCCAGACGGGCCCACGCGCGCCAACTATCCCCCACTGTAGTCGCGCTACCGCGCGCTACCCACCACCAACTCCAGGAATCATCCCTGCACAGCTGCTTTTGCCGCTTCAAGTTTTTATTGAATTAAAAAGTTAGGTTGGTAGCACTGAGAGCGCGCTTCGGACGCGTTGGATTGAGGGAGGGCGGCGAGGCGCGCGAAGCAGGTGGCGGCGCTGGTTGGCGGAGCGAGTCCAAGACGGAGGCCGGCCCGGCAGGGAAACAACTCCTGAAATGTGGCAGGCAGGCGCATTTAAGGGTGTGTTTTAAGTAGTTTCGGTTCGCGGCTTTATGGTTGAATCCCTGGCAAACTTTGCACTAAATTCTACCATCCAAAATTTTCACTTTTTTTTGCAAGTTTCCCGCTTTGGTTGTTGAGGCTGGCAGGCCTGCTGCTTCGACGCGGACGAACCGGGCCCCGTGCGAGTCGGAGCTGAAACACTGATTTGAATGGGGGACACTTTGCGCGCGCAAGTTTGGCTGCGATAAGACTGACAATGATGGCAATGGAATCAGATTAAGCGGAGTGGACCGACTGGGGCAGGGAGGCGGGCAGGGCAAGTGGGCCGCTCAGATAAGAAGGTTAGGCAAGAGTGCCCCCCCCCCCCTCCGGCCGGGCCACAGTGGGCCAGAAGACCGGTGGAGGCGGCCAAAACTCTAGACGCGTTTTGCGCTCCAGAGTCGCAAGACAGGACTCGAACCGGACGTGTGACCCCACCAATGGATTCCTCGTTCGGACAGCAATCCATTGGTGGGGTCTCATGTTCGGTTCGAGTTCGACTGGTGTTCGGGAAAGCCCACTGGTTGTCACGTGACTCGCGGTGCTCACTGCGACGAAATGCGACGCCTTTGCAGTGGGCCGGCAAGGCGTGCTGCAGCCTGCGGGACGCGGCGGCCGGGGCGGACGGGGCCCCACAGTGTGGCCCAATGGGGCCTCGGCTCTGAAACTTGACTAACTTAGCCCCGATTGCGACATGATAATGATAGGGGAGCGGCTCTGTGGAGTCACCTGGATTCGTCCCGCCACCCCCCGCCACCCCCCGCCACGCCCCGCCACGCCCCGCCACGCCACGCCCCGCCACGCCCCGCCACGCGCAACGAAGCGATTAGGAACCCCGTTTCGCGACGGGATCTGAGCATGCTACTTTGCTGATTCCGAACAGTGTGGTGGTCCGTCTCGCGTCGCTCCGTCTCTCTCTCGCACTCCCACGGAACGCCCGCTCGAGTGCGAGAGAGATGGACGCCGAGTTCGGAATCAACCAACCCGCCGGGGACCTCTAAGAAGCGAGTCTCGGGGTTTCTTGTCCGTCGGGCCGTCCTACTTCCGCACACCATCAGTCGCACTCTCGGCCTCGACGTGGCGTCGTCGTCGTGGTCCAGGACGCCCACGAGGAGGTGCGCGTTTCCGCGCGTGTGTGTGCGCGCGTGTGTGTGCGCGCGGAGCAGATGCCCCTAATGGAATTCCACGCCCGAGCTCGGTTTGTGTGTGTGTGTGTTTGTGTGTGTGTGAGAGAGAGAGAGACAGAGAGAGAGAGACTCTGTTGTCCTGTCCGTTGTCGTCCTCGCGACGCTAGGACGCCACAGAGCAGTGTCCCGGTCCTCTCCGGCCGCAGCGGTCTTAAAGATAAGACACCGCAAAGCGAAGCTGTTTACAGCTGTCCCTGCGACTCTGCGACTGTGAGGCTGTGCGACTGCGGCCCCGGAAGGAGAGGAGGGAGGGGGGAGGGGGGCTGCTGGGTCGGGGGGCCCACAGGCCCTTAGTTTTAAATGCATCCGAGGGCAGCTCAGCGCAAGTTTACCGCCTCGGCCGGGGCGGGGCTGGCTGGAGCGGACCAGGGCCAGGGCGGGCGCAGCGCGCAGCGGACGCACTTGAGGGGGGTCTCGGGGGCGGCGGGGCTGGCGACGGGGCCGCCGACGGGGCCCCGCGATGGAGACGGCCGAGACGAGCAGGACGAGCAGGACGAGCAGGGCCTGCGCGGGGCTTCCCTCCCTGAGCGGCACTTAACGCTATCGTGAGGCCATCGCGCTGAGCCGGGACCATAACAAGGCAAAAGCGGCAAAAGCGAGACCCGGAGCACCTCCCGCCCGCCGGGGCGCTGGTTCGAATCCCGCCACATTTTTTCGTTTTTCGCGGTGAGTCATTCACTGGCACCGCAACACACTGATTTCGCTCGCCGGCCGGGCCCTTCTTGCAGTGGATCGGCTGCAGTGAGACCACCGCCATGCCACAGCGGAAATGTGGGACAGAGACCGTTCGGGCCGGGCGGACACTGCACTGCGAATTTCCCTGCGAAACCCGTTCCTCAATGTGTCCGGGGCAGGGCTGGGAAATACCTAGGTAAAAAGTACCTAGGTACTGTACCTAGGTACTTTTTTGGTACCTATAACTGTACCTAGGTACTCAGGTCACAATTGTAACTGTACCTGTACCTAGGTACATTTTGGGCAGTAACTTTATCTAGAACTGCAGGTACTTTTACAGGTACTTTTGGGCGCGAATGTAGGGAAAGGCGGGTAATGAGATGCGCTCACAACAGTGCGGGGATAAAGAGAGACACTCAGAGGACTGCCTGTTTTCGGGGAAGAAACAGATATTCGGCCCCCTCCCCTTTTTATGTGCCTCCTCCGGGCTCCATGTGGCAGGTCTGGTCACCGCACGCACTGCCAAGGTGAACGCAGAGGACTTGCACTATGAAACAATGGACACAGCTCAGCAGGGATCATAGGGTTTGTCCCTAAAATGCGTTACCGGAACCATCCCATTATAGGAGCGAGGTCAAGGATGGTCCCTGGAGCCGCCGACGATGCGGCGTGACGAATCGGGGTTGTAAACAGCACACACGTTGGCATGAAAAGGGTCATTGACGCAAGAAAGTTTAAAGGGACGAAAAAGTCGCGCGAGGTTTGTTTTGGTTGCGTTACTGGGCGGATGTGTTGAAATATCAAAATATCTGAAAGTACCTGAAAAGTACCTAGGTATTTTGCCAAAGTACCTGTAACTGTACCTAGGTACTGAGCTCGATCAAGTACCTGTAACTGTACCTAGGTACTTTTTTGATCCAGTATCTGTATCTGTACCTAGGTAAAAATATAAAGTATCTGTCCCAGCCCTGGTCCGGGGCTCACGCTTGCAGTGGCGCGTCCACCCACCCACGACAAACACAAAACACGCAGCGCCAGTCTCTCCCCCGCCAGCAAGGCGCTCCGAGGAACTACATCCACTCATTATCATCACATCGTCGTAAGGACCGCTCTCTACAGGCCCTTAGCGGCGAGTTACAGGATGCCCCCTCGCGTCCCTAATGTCAGACCCCCCCGCCCCGCCCCGATTTTTGCCAGGGCACTGGCACTGATTGTCTCGGTCGCGAGGCCCGTCTCCTTGGAGAGGACCCTCCCAAACTTTCCCCGCCGCCTTTCAGTGTATCAACCAGCCAAGCAAACTTGCTAATATAATAGTATAATAATAGTATAATAATATGTAGCGGCGTGTCTTTGACGCCAAGCCAAACACAAGTCCAGAAGCCACGCTAAAAAGTCGTGAAAAATTCATCGAGTGCTTCTCTGCGGCGGCCTCCGCGGTTTTCGCGGCTCGGCTAACTTGCTTTCCAGACGCGTCGTTTCTTCGACTGCCCAAGGCGGATCTTCCAGTGCCCCCCCCCCCCCCATACACACACACACGCACTCTCTCTCTCTCACACACACACACACACACGCACGGCTTTTTTTCCCCGCCCCAGTGTGTCTCCCCGGTGACACGGCCGACGCACGGCAACACGACGACAAACACAACCACCAGTCACCAGTCGCTCTCAGCGCGCGGAGCGTGCAGTAACGAGCCAACGAGCGTCCCCCAACGACCGGCCGGCGCCGCCCGGCGTCGCCTCGCGTGTCGTCGTCTGATTGGTCGGTCGGAGGCCGAGCCCCGTCGGCTATCGGCGGGCAGCGCGATCGGTCCGTGTTTCCGCACTGCCGGTTCCGTTAAAGCCGAAACGGCCGAAACGGCGTCGTGGGGATGGGACGGGCTGGCTCGCTTTTCTCGCGCTCCCGAGGTGTGGCAGTGTGGGAAGGTTTCGAACGGCGGCTTTCCAGGCAGACAGTCTTCCAGTCACAGTCTTTTCTGACGGAAAGACAGACAGACAGACAGACAGGCAGACAGACAGACAGACAGACAGACAGACAGGCAGACAGTCTCTCCAGACAGACAGTCTTTCCCAAAGGCAGGCGAGCGCGGCACCACACTCCACACCAGTTAGCGTGGGTGTTGTTCTTCATTAAGCGCATTAATGGCGCTTTTGGCTGGGAGTGTGGGCGGCTTGTGTTTGCGGGTCATTTGAGCCGATTGGCGACCTCCCTGCCCCCTCCCCTCCCCTCCCTGCCCCTCTCCTCCCTCCCCCTCCCCCGCGACCGCAGGACTACCGCAGGGTCTGGAAAGAGCAGGTCTGAGGGCGAGGCGTATGACGGTGCCGCGGCGGCCAGGACGGCAATCCTGCAGCCTCGCGGAGCGCGCCACGAGTGCGACAGAGACGGGGCGACGACGAACGAGCAGAGAGAGAGCTCGTTCCTCTGATTGAGCCGGAACAGCTCGCTAAGAGGCTTTTTCGGAAGGATAGCCAGTCCGACTGCTCGGAATGTCGGAGTGCGGCGCTGGCTGTGTTTTGGCGGCGAGCCGTGCGGCCGTGCGGCGCCGGGTTCGAGCCCGGCCGGGGGCGGACTTGCATTTTGGCACGCAAGGAAAGCTTTGCATAATCCGAGGGGCATCAGCCCGCCAGCCAGCCAGACGGACAGACGGAGAGAGAGAGAGACAGAGAGAGAGAGACAGATAGAGAGAGACAGAGAGAGAGACAGAGAGAGCGCCTGCGGATCCGAGGGTAGGCACCGCGGCAGCACCGGCGTGAGGCGGGCGACCCACAGCTCAAACTGCAGGCGTCCCACAGTGGGTGAAGAACGGTGGAGGCGGCCATAACACAAGACGCGTTTTGAGCTCCAGAGTCGCTAAACAGGCATCAAACTGAACGTGTGACCCCACCAATGGATTCCTCGTTTGGAAAGCAATCCATTGGTGGGGTCACACGTTCGGTTCGAGTCCCATTTAGCGACTCTGAGCTCAAACCGCGTGTAGAGTTTCGGCCGCCTCCACCGGTCTTCTGGCCCACTGTGCGTCCGTCAGGCTACGGTCAGCTCCACTTAAACCTAATCCCCCCTCTCAAAAAGCGCGCCGCATTCGAACGCAAAGGGGGAGCCAAAACCCTCGTGCCCCTGAAAAGTTCTGTAAACTACTCACGGCCGAGAACGAAACGAAGACTTTGTGTTTCTTTGTCGAGGAATGACGGAACGAGTTTTGGCGCTCGTCGTTCGCCTCGGCCGGCCCGCTAATTGCAGTGGAATTGTTCGCTCGTAACGGATGGCTCTGCCGGGGCACGGCACCTGCGCGCCGCATAACCGGAATCCATTCGGAATCCGCGCAGCCTCCACCGGGCGGCCGGCGGACGGACAGACCGACAGACGGACAGACAGACAGACAGACAGTCAGACAGGCAGACAGAAAGACAGACAGACAGACAGACAGACAGACAGACAGACAGGCAGGCAGAGGCGTCTAATCTCGTTTAAACTTTGATTTGCAGGTGCTGAGGCTGGAGTCGGTGCAGCGCGCGGACGGCGGGATGTACCAGTGCTTCGTCAGCAACGGCCAGGAGGCGGCGCAGGGCTCGGCGCACCTGCGACTCGGAGGTACCGACCACCGCACAGCCTCGCCGGCATTTACAACAAAAATATAACAAAAGACAGTCTGCAAAGTTGACCACCAGGGGAAGCGCGACGGCCTCGCGGCAGGGGAAGCGCGACAGTGTCGCGGCAGGGGAAGCGCGGCAGGGGAAGCGCGACAGTGTCGCGGCAGGGGAAGCGCGACAGTGTCGCGGCAGGGGAAGCGCGACGGCCTCGCGGCAGGGGAAGCGCGACGGCCTCGCGGCAGGGGAAGCGCGACAGTGTCGCGGCAGGGGGAGCGCGACAGTGTCGCGGCAGGGGGAGCGCGACAGTGTCGCGGCAGGGGAAGCGCGGCAGTGTCGCGGCAGGGGGAGCGCGACAGTGTCGCGGCAGGGGAAGCGCGACAGTGTCGCGGCAGGGGAAGCGCGACGGCCTCGCGGCAGGGGAAGCGCGACGGCCTCGCGGCAGGGGAAGCGCGACAGTGTCGCGGCAGGGGAAGCGCGACAGTGTCGCGGCAGGGGAAGCGCGACAGTGTCGCGGCAGGGGAAGCGCGACAGTGTCGCGGCAGGGGAAGCGCGACAGTGTCGCGGCAGGGGAAGCGCGACAGTGTCGCGGCAGGGGAAGCGCGACGGCCTCGCGGCAGGGGGAGCGCGACAGTGTCGCGGCAGGGGAAGCGCGGCAGGGGAAGCGCGGCAGGGGAAGCGCGACAGTGTCGCGGCAGGGGAAGCGCGACAGTGTCGCGGCAGGGGAAGCGCGACAGTGTCGCGGCAGGGGAAGCGCGACAGTGTCGCGGCAGGGGAAGCGCGACAGTGTCGCGGCAGGGGGAGCGCGACAGTGTCGCGGCAGGGGAAGCGCGACGGTGTCGCGGCAGGGGAAGCGCGACAGTGTCGCGGCAGGGGAAGCGCGACAGTGTCGCGGCAGGGGAAGCGCGACAGTGTCGCGGCAGGGGAAGCGCGACAGTGTCGCGGCAGGGGAAGCGCGACGGCCTCGCGGCAGGGGGAGCGCGACAGTGTCGCGGCAGGGGAAGCGCGGCAGGGGAAGCGCGACAGTGTCGCGGCAGGGGAAGCGCGGCAGGGGAAGCGCGGCAGGGGAAGCGCGACAGTGTCGCGGCAGGGGAAGCGCGACAGTGTCGCGGCAGGGGAAGCGCGACAGTGTCGCGGCAGGGGAAGCGCGACGGCCTCGCGGCAGGGGGAGCGCGACAGTGTCGCGGCAGGGGAAGCGCGGCAGGGGAAGCGCGACAGTGTCGCGGCAGGGGAAGCGCGGCAGGGGAAGCGCGACGGCCTCGCGGCAGGGGAAGCGCGACGGTGTCGCGGCAGGGGAAGCGCGACAGTGTCGCGGCAGGGGAAGCACGACAGTGTCGCGGCAGGGGAAGCGCGACGGCCTCGCGGCAGGGGAAGCGCGACAGTGTCGCGGCAGGGGAAGCGCGGCAGGGGAAGCGCGACAGTGTCGCGGCAGGGGAAGCGCGGCAGGGGAAGCGCGGCAGGGGAAGCGCGACAGTGTCGCGGCAGGGGAAGCGCGACAGTGTCGCGGCAGGGGAAGCGCGACGGCCTCGCGGCAGGGGGAGCGCGACAGTGTCGCGGCAGGGGAAGCGCGGCAGGGGAAGCGCGACAGTGTCGCGGCAGGGGAAGCGCGGCAGGGGAAGCGCGACGGCCTCGCGGCAGGGGAAGCGCGACGGTGTCGCGGCAGGGGAAGCGCGACAGTGTCGCGGCAGGGGAAGCACGACAGTGTCGCGGCAGGGGAAGCGCGACGGCCTCGCGGCAGGGGAAGCGCGACAGTGTCGCGGCAGGGGAAGCGCGGCAGGGGAAGCGCGACAGTGTCGCGGCAGGGGAAGCGCGACAGTGTCGCGGCAGGGGAAGCGCGACAGTGTCGCGGCAGGGGAAGCGCGACAGTGTCGCGGCAGGGGAAGCGCGACAGTGTCGCGGCAGGGGAAGCGCGACAGTGTCGCGGCAGGGGAAGCGCGACAGTGTCGCGGCAGGGGAAGCGCGACAGTGTCGCGGCAGGGGAAGCGCGGCAGGGGAAGCGCGACAGTGTCGCGGCAGGGGAAGCGCGGCAGGGGAAGCGCGACGGCCTCGCGGCAGGGGAAGCGCGACGGTGTCGCGGCAGGGGAAGCGCGACAGTGTCGCGGCAGGGGAAGCACGACAGTGTCGCGGCAGGGGAAGCGCGACGGCCTCGCGGCAGGGGAAGCGCGACAGTGTCGCGGCAGGGGAAGCGCGGCAGGGGAAGCGCGACAGTGTCGCGGCAGGGGAAGCGCGACAGTGTCGCGGCAGGGGAAGCGCGACAGTGTCGCGGCAGGGGAAGCGCGACAGTGTCGCGGCAGGGGAAGCGCGACGGCCTCGCGGCAGGGGGAGCGCGACAGTGTCGCGGCAGGGGAAGCGCGGCAGGGGAAGCGCGACAGTGTCGCGGCAGGGGAAGCGCGGCAGGGGAAGCGCGGCAGGGGAAGCGCGACAGTGTCGCGGCAGGGGAAGCGCGACAGTGTCGCGGCAGGGGAAGCGCGACAGTGTCGCGGCAGGGGAAGCGCGACGGCCTCGCGGCAGGGGGAGCGCGACAGTGTCGCGGCAGGGGAAGCGCGGCAGGGGAAGCGCGACAGTGTCGCGGCAGGGGAAGCGCGGCAGGGGAAGCGCGACGGCCTCGCGGCAGGGGAAGCGCGACGGTGTCGCGGCAGGGGAAGCGCGACAGTGTCGCGGCAGGGGAAGCACGACAGTGTCGCGGCAGGGGAAGCGCGACGGCCTCGCGGCAGGGGAAGCGCGACAGTGTCGCGGCAGGGGAAGCGCGGCAGGGGAAGCGCGACAGTGTCGCGGCAGGGGAAGCGCGGCAGGGGAAGCGCGGCAGGGGAAGCGCGACAGTGTCGCGGCAGGGGAAGCGCGACAGTGTCGCGGCAGGGGAAGCGCGACGGCCTCGCGGCAGGGGGAGCGCGACAGTGTCGCGGCAGGGGAAGCGCGGCAGGGGAAGCGCGACAGTGTCGCGGCAGGGGAAGCGCGGCAGGGGAAGCGCGACGGCCTCGCGGCAGGGGAAGCGCGACGGTGTCGCGGCAGGGGAAGCGCGACAGTGTCGCGGCAGGGGAAGCACGACAGTGTCGCGGCAGGGGAAGCGCGACGGCCTCGCGGCAGGGGAAGCGCGACAGTGTCGCGGCAGGGGAAGCGCGGCAGGGGAAGCGCGACAGTGTCGCGGCAGGGGAAGCGCGACAGTGTCGCGGCAGGGGAAGCGCGACAGTGTCGCGGCAGGGGAAGCGCGACGGCCTCGCGGCAGGGGGAGCGCGACAGTGTCGCGGCAGGGGAAGCGCGGCAGGGGAAGCGCGACAGTGTCGCGGCAGGGGAAGCGCGGCAGGGGAAGCGCGACGGCCTCGCGGCAGGGGAAGCGCGACGGTGTCGCGGCAGGGGAAGCGCGACAGTGTCGCGGCAGGGGAAGCACGACAGTGTCGCGGCAGGGGAAGCGCGACGGCCTCGCGGCAGGGGAAGCGCGACAGTGTCGCGGCAGGGGAAGCGCGACAGTGTCGCGGCAGGGGAAGCGCGACAGTGTCGCGGCAGGGGAAGCGCGACGGCCTCGCGGCAGGGGGAGCGCGACAGTGTCGCGGCAGGGGAAGCGCGGCAGGGGAAGCGCGACAGTGTCGCGGCAGGGGAAGCGCGGCAGGGGAAGCGCGACGGCCTCGCGGCAGGGGAAGCGCGACGGTGTCGCGGCAGGGGAAGCGCGACAGTGTCGCGGCAGGGGAAGCACGACAGTGTCGCGGCAGGGGAAGCGCGACGGCCTCGCGGCAGGGGAAGCGCGACAGTGTCGCGGCAGGGGAAGCGCGACAGTGTCGCGGCAGGGGAAGCGCGACAGTGTCGCGGCAGGGGAAGCGCGACAGTGTCGCGGCAGGGGAAGCACGACAGTGTCGCGGCAGGGGAAGCGCGACGGCCTCGCGGCAGGGGAAGCGCGACAGTGTCGCGGCAGGGGGAAACGCGACAGTGTCGCGGCAGGGGAAGCGCGACGGCCTCGCGGCAGGGGGAGCGCGACAGTGTCGCGGCAGGGGAAGCGCGGCAGGGGAAGCGCGACAGTGTCGCGGCAGGGGAAGCGCGGCAGGGGAAGCGCGGCAGGGGAAGCGCGACAGTGTCGCGGCAGGGGAAGCGCGACAGTGTCGCGGCAGGGGAAGCGCGACAGTGTCGCGGCAGGGGAAGCGCGACGGCCTCGCGGCAGGGGGAGCGCGACAGTGTCGCGGCAGGGGAAGCGCGGCAGGGGAAGCGCGACAGTGTCGCGGCAGGGGAAGCGCGGCAGGGGAAGCGCGACGGCCTCGCGGCAGGGGAAGCGCGACGGTGTCGCGGCAGGGGAAGCGCGTTAGTGTCGCGGCAGGGGAAGCACGACAGTGTCGCGGCAGGGGAAGCGCGACGGCCTCGCGGCAGGGGAAGCGCGACAGTGTCGCGGCAGGGGAAGCGCGGCAGGGGAAGCGCGACAGTGTCGCGGCAGGGGAAGCGCGGCAGGGGAAGCGCGGCAGGGGAAGCGCGACAGTGTCGCGGCAGGGGAAGCGCGACAGTGTCGCGGCAGGGGAAGCGCGACGGCCTCGCGGCAGGGGGAGCGCGACAGTGTCGCGGCAGGGGAAGCGCGGCAGGGGAAGCGCGACAGTGTCGCGGCAGGGGAAGCGCGACGGCCTCGCGGCAGGGGAAGCGCGACGGTGTCGCGGCAGGGGAAGCGCGACAGTGTCGCGGCAGGGGAAGCACGACAGTGTCGCGGCAGGGGAAGCGCGACGGCCTCGCGGCAGGGGAAGCGCGACAGTGTCGCGGCAGGGGAAGCGCGGCAGGGGAAGCGCGACAGTGTCGCGGCAGGGGAAGCGCGACAGTGTCGCGGCAGGGGAAGCGCGACAGTGTCGCGGCAGGGGAAGCGCGACGGCCTCGCGGCAGGGGGAGCGCGACAGTGTCGCGGCAGGGGAAGCGCGGCAGGGGAAGCGCGACAGTGTCGCGGCAGGGGAAGCGCGGCAGGGGAAGCGCGACGGCCTCGCGGCAGGGGAAGCGCGACGGTGTCGCGGCAGGGGAAGCGCGACAGTGTCGCGGCAGGGGAAGCACGACAGTGTCGCGGCAGGGGAAGCGCGACGGCCTCGCGGCAGGGGAAGCGCGACAGTGTCGCGGCAGGGGAAGCGCGGCAGGGGAAGCGCGACAGTGTCGCGGCAGGGGAAGCGCGACAGTGTCGCGGCAGGGGAAGCGCGACAGTGTCGCGGCAGGGGAAGCGCGACGGCCTCGCGGCAGGGGGAGCGCGACAGTGTCGCGGCAGGGGAAGCGCGGCAGGGGAAGCGCGACAGTGTCGCGGCAGGGGAAGCGCGGCAGGGGAAGCGCGACGGCCTCGCGGCAGGGGAAGCGCGACGGTGTCGCGGCAGGGGAAGCGCGACAGAGTCGCGGCAGGGGAAGCACGACAGTGTCGCGGCAGGGGAAGCGCGACGGCCTCGCGGCAGGGGAAGCGCGACAGTGTCGCGGCAGGGGAAGCGCGACAGTGTCGCGGCAGGGGAAGCGCGACAGTGTCGCGGCAGGGGAAGCGCGACAGTGTCGCGGCAGGGGAAGCACGACAGTGTCGCGGCAGGGGAAGCGCGACGGCCTCGCGGCAGGGGAAGCGCGACAGTGTCGCGGCAGGGGAAGCGCGACAGTGTCGCGGCAGGGGAAGCGCGACAGTGTCGCGGCAGGGGAAGCGCGACAGTGTCGCGGCAGGGGAAGCGCGACGGTGTCGCGGCAGGGGAAGCGCGACGGTGTCGCGGCAGGGGGAGCGCGACAGTGTCGCGGCAGGGGAAGCGCGACGGCCTCGCGGCAGGGGAAGCGCGACGGCCTCGCGGCAGGGGAAGCGCGACAGTGTCGCGGCAGGGGAAGCGCGACAGTGTCGCGGCAGGGGAAGCGCGACAGTGTCGCGGCAGGGGAAGCGCGACGGTGTCGCGGCAGGGGAAGCGCGACAGTGTCGCGGCAGGGGGAGCGCGACAGTGTCGCGGCAGGGGAAGCGCGACAGTGTCGCGGCAGGGGAAGCGCGACAGTGTCGCGGCAGAGGAAGCGCGACGGCCTCGCGGCAATTTTACTTTTTTGTTTAGTTCTTATTTTTAAAGTTTTGCTTTTTAGTTTGGATTTAGTTTTTAAATCGTAACTTTTTTATGTAATTTTTTTGTTAAACTCGTGATTTTGTATCCGCAGACGCCGCGCCGATGCTGCTGGCGACGTTCCCCAACGAGACGCTGTCGCCGGGCGCGGCCTGGAGCGCGCGCTGCGAGGTGTGGGGCGCGCCCACGCCGCAGGTGGCCTGGACGCTGGACGGCGGCGCGCTGCCCGCCAGGGCGTCCGTCTCCAACCGGGCCGAGGGCGACAAGGTCATCAGGTACGCCACCACACTGCACAGTGGGCCAGAAGACCGGTGGAGGCGGCTTAAATTCTAAACGCGTTTTGAGCTCCTGAGTCGCTTAATGGGACTCGAATCAGACGTGTGACCCCACCAATGGATTGCTCTTGGAACGAGGAATCCATTGGTAGGGTCACCTGCTCGATTCGAGTCTTCCCGGTCTTCTGGCCCACTGTGCACTGCACTGCCCGTCCAGAAATGACGTCACCGATGAGAAAAGACGACTTCCCCGCCCCTTCCACTCATCATCCCGATCTCGCGTGACGTTTTTGTTGTTGTTTTTCAAGCGGGGCCTCATTGTTTTTGTTTCGTGACAGTGAGCGCCGGATTCAAAGTGCCCCCGAAGGGAGTTGTGTGTGAAATTTGGGTTCGGCGTCTCTCCCCCAGTCCCCGGTCCCTGTCGGAGTTTGACGGGCTTTGCTCCCCGCCGTGCCGCCGTGCTGCAAGCACGCCTCCCGGACACACCTGGTCCTTTCCCTCGGCCCCGCCGAACCGCCGAGCGAACCGCCGAGCGAACCGCCGAGCGAACCGCCGAGCGAACCGCGCCGCGCGACAACAACAACTCATGCTTTGTGCGCGATGCGCCACGCGCGATGCACCGCGGAGGCAGCGCGCCCATAAATAAGCAGATAGCGAGTAGGAATGGCTTGATGAAGAAACTTGTGTGCGGCCGGGCAGGCAGGCCAGGCACAGTACACACTCGCATCACGCCGCCGGACGGATAGAAAACCTCGGCGCACTGTGCGAAAAAACCACAGTGAATCCCGTTAATTTTTTTGCCAGGATTTACTGTAGTTTAGAACACAGGATCTACTGTGCCTGGCGACAGTATTTACTGTACCTGGTACAGGATATTCCGTACTCCACTCCTGTGGTACAGTAAATCCCGTACAAAGTACAGTAGATCCTGTCAAAAAAGTACAGTAAATCCTGTACTCTGAACTACAGTGACAGCTGTACTTATCACTACAGGATTTACTGTGATTTTTTCCCAGAGTGCGGCGGCGGAGTCTGGCGGGCAGGAATTGTGTGTATCTCGCTGTCCGATCCCTAACAGTCTCTCTCGCACCGCTGCGGCGCGCCACGAGAGTGAGAGAGAGAGCACCGCGCGAGGGCGAGCGCTGACAGGATTATAAGAGAGTGCGCGATGTGGGACTGGCTGACGTGGACGGCGCCGCGCCGGCTGCATGCAGTGTGGGGGAAGGGAGGTCTAGCGGGGCCGGCAAAAGGTTTTCATAAAGGGCAGCAGCCCGTGCAGCAGACTGATTCCGAGAGTCGTCGCTGTGTCTCTCTCGCACCTGCACGGGACGCCCCATGAGTGCGAGAGAGACAGACGCGATGAAAAGGGCTCTCGGATTCAGACTGCACTGCAGCTTCTGAGAGGTCCTTCCAGGTCCATCCCCCTTTCCTCCCGGCGCCGCGCTGCGTCCGCCGCTAGCCGTTCCTCCAACGGCCACGATCGAAGCCCGGTTCATCGCACGACAATGTTCACCGGCCCCCATTTCTCGGCTCCGTACTTTACTCCATGTTTTCGCGGCGTTATTTCGAAGCCGTCTTCCCAACTTTGGCCGCGGCGCCGTGGCGCCAGCCCCGCCAGCCACCACCTTCTCGCTGCAACTGGCCGCGCTAGTGGGGAATGCAGCCCGGCCCAGGCTTGTCCTAATTAGCCTTGTTTTCGTAGTAACATCATTTTAACACTTGTGACGTTCGCGAGCAAACTTCTCTGACGACCTGGCGGCTGGCGGACTGGGGCCGGTTGCGGCGGCTGCGAGTCTCTCCGGCCCGGCAGCGCCCGGCAGCGCCAGCGCCCCACCCCGTCGGTATTATTTTTCGCATCTCGGAGCAAGAAGTTGGCGGCGAGGCTCAAGTTTGACGTCGCTCGTCGCTGCCTGCTGCCCGACGCACAGTGGGCCAGAAGACCGGTGGAGGCGGCCAAAACTCTGGATGCGTTTCGTGCTCCAGAGTCGCTAAGCAGGACTCGAGCCGAACGTGTGACCCCACCAATGGATTCCTCGTTCCGAGAGCAATCCATTGGTGGGGTCAGACCGACACCTGTAAGGAAAAGGCACGCAGTAGCGGCCGCGCGATCCAAAAGGCGCTCAGTTGCGGCCCTGCGATCTGAAAGGCACGCAGTTTGCCGCGCGCGATCCAAAAGGCACTCAGTTTCCCCCGCGCGATCCAAAGCACGCAGTTTGCCGGCCGCCAGCCATAAACTCGTGTCTTTTGGATCGCGCGGAGCAAACTGAGTGCCTTTTGGATCGCGCGCGGCAAACTGCGTGCCTTTCAGATCGCAGGGCCGCAACTGAGCGCCTTTTGGATCGCGCGGCCGCTACTGCGTGCCTTTTCCTTACAGGTGTCGAGACGTACGATTCGAGTCCTATTTAGCTCAAGACGCGTCTAGAGTTTTGGCCGCCTCCACCGGTCTTCTGACCCACTGTGCGACGCCCCCCGCCCCCTTTTCCACCACTTCCGGTCTTTTAATCGAGCAAACAACACCGAAACTGAATTTCCGCAGCTACCTGAACGTGACCGCCCTGAAGCCGGACGACGCCGGCGAGTACACCTGCGAGGCGTCGAACGCGGCGGGGCGCGCGCGCCACTCGGCGCACCTGCTGCTGCGCGGCCCGCCGCACGTCAAGGCCATGCCGCCGAGGTCGCTGGTCGCCGGCCGCGACGAGGCCCTGCGCTGCCTCGTCGCCGGCCACCCCATCCGCGCCATCACCTGGGAGAAGGACGGTACGTCTCACATTCGGCCAGAAGACCGGTGGGGGCGGCCAAAATTCGAAACGCGTTTTGAGCTTCAGAGTCGCTGAATGGGACTCGGACTGAACGTGTGACCCCACCAATGGATTCCTCGTTCGGAGAGCCATCCGTAGGTGGGGTCACACGTTCGGTTCGAGTCCCATTTAGCGACTCAGGAGCTCAAAACGCGCCTAGATCTTTGGCCGCCTGCGCCGGCTGCTGGCCCACTGTGCGTCTGCATTGTAACCATTTCCACTTACTTGAAATTTCACAACTGTTTGAACCCGCAGGACGGCCGCTTCCCACGTCGCCGCACCGCCAGCGCGTCTTCCCCAACGGCACGCTGGTCGTCGTGGACGTGCAGAAGGCCGTGGACGAGGGCGAGTACGCCTGCATCGCCACGGCGCCGGGCGGCGAGTCGGCGCGCCGCAGCGTCGCCGTCAAGGTCCTGGGTGAGCACGAGCACGCTGCTGCGACTTGGCGGCATTCCACCAGCCCTGCGAAATACAGAAACGCCAGTGGCACACCACCAAAAAAATTGAACTTTCTGGTTTTGAACGACCAATCACTCGTTCTTTAATCAATTTCTAGAAGGCCGTGAGGTCTAGGCAGCCCCCGCCCTTAATCTCCCTCCCCCCCTCCCACTTTTTTGTCCCCTCCCCGACCCTTTCCCCCCCCCTCTCCTCCCCCGGCGACGCAATCACAACTCACAATGTACTAGCTCCGTTCAATTTCCCCTCGGCGATGGCAGCTTTTCTTATGGACGGCCAGGAGGACTCATCTATCCCCCCCCCCTCCGTGTCCCCGCAGGACCCGCACCTCGCCGCGGTGTTCGTTCGCACGACCCGGCTGGCTTCCTACCCGTCGGGACCCCCCCCCCCCCCCCCCGCCCTTGTCGTAGGAAAGGGTGCGGCACGACGGCACTCGACACGCCCAACTGATCCGGGGGCACCCTCCCCTCCCCCACTGGCCTTTTCTCTTTTTGTATTGGAGTCCGTTCCCTCGTTGGCCTGCATATGACATGGAGGAGCTTCCCGCGGGGGTCCTTGCGGCCGCGCCGCGCCGCGCCACGCCGCGCGGTACTACACTGCGAGCCCCTGCCCCGCGCCGCGTGCTACTGCACTGCGAGCCGCCGCGCCAGCTTCCGGCCGGGACGCCGCCGATATTATTCCAAACTTCCGTCCGCGCGGCAGATGAAGGCCGCCTCCGCCTCTGCCTCTGCCGTCCTCCTCGACTCCTTTATTCCTCTTCGCCCCCGCCCGGGACTGACCCTGGCGTCGACCCTCATCGGCTGACCCTGGCGTCTGGCGTCCCGCGTCCCGGACTCCACATAAAGAGCCCCTCCGCCTCCGGGGGCGCGCGGCTACGCGGAGGGCTGTCCTCGACACATCATCCCCGGCAGAGAATGAAAAGGGCGCCGACGACGAAAACAAAACAACGCCGCCGTGTTGACATGTCGGCCTGACGGCCCGGCTTGACGGCGCGCTTCGCCTCGGCGTGTTGCAGAGGCTCCCGAGATCGCGCCGCTGTCGGAGCAGACGCACTACCTGCGAGGCTCCAGGCTCTACTTGACGTGCCTGGCGACGCGCGGCGACGGCCCGCTGCGCTTCCGCTGGCTCAAGGACGGCGTGCCGCTGTCGGGGGCCGGCTCAGGTAAGCCAACCGCCAACTAGCAGTGTGCCGTCAGGCCGTCAGCGTCGAAAGGGTTGCCAACCTCAGCACGCTCAGGTAATGTCTGCGAGCTCAGATTCTTCCGACACCGGTGCACTGGTGCAATGAGATGTGCGTTGTTTCCATCGCGGCGACACTGCCTTGGGAGCGCCTGCGGACTCGAGGGTAGGCAGTCCCGGCGAACGCGTGCACGCGGCGCGCTGCCTACCCGCCACTTCGCGGGCGCTACGTTGAGTCTGCTTGACGCCCTCTGAACGCTCTGCCCGCTGCCCTTCCAGACGCGGCGGGCGCGCTCCCCGGCGGCGTGGTGGCGCGCACACTGGATGACTTCTCGACGGCGCTGACGTTCCCCGCGCTGCAGCCCGCCCACTCGGGCAACTACACCTGCGAGCTGAGCAACGCGGCGGCCATCGCGTCGCGGTCGGCCCAGGTCGTCGTCACGGGTACGCGTCCACCGCAAGCAGCCAGCGCACAGTGGGCCAGAAGACCGGTGGGGGCGGCCAAACTCCCGGACGCGTTTTGAGCTCCAGAGTCGCTCAATCGGACTCGAGCCGAACGTGTGACCCCACCAATGGATTGCTCTCCGAACGAGAAATCCATTGGTCGGGTCACACGTTTGATTCGAGTCCTCTTTAGCGACTCTGGAGCTCAAAACGCGTTTAGAGTTCCGTCCGCCTGCGCCGTGCCGCCTCGACTGCCGCTATGACGTCACGCCTTGTTTACAGTGGCGCCGACCTGGTCCGTGGAGCCGGTCCCCACGGAGGTCCTCAAGGGCAACACCGCGCTGCTGCACTGCACCGCGGGGGGCTTCCCCAAGCCCACCATCTCGTGGGCCGGGCCCAGCGCGTCGCAGTACTTCCGGCCGGAGGAGGCGGCCGTCACACACCCGTAAGTGCGCCGGGACGGGGTTCGATCCCCCGCCCCGGCCAAACGGCCGGACTATCTTTCGTCATTTTTCTGAGGTTGACAGTAACTGCGAGGACCGCGCGTCACCTCGCTCGCTTCGCCACTGAAGCCCCCGCTTCGGACGCGCTTTCAGTGTGCTTTCGCCGGGCTTTCGCCGCGCTTTCGCCGCGCTTTCGCCGCGCTTTCGCCGCGCTTTCGCCACGCTTTCGCGCCGCCGCGCCTTGCTACTTCCAGTCTGGAAAGTTTGGCGGCGCTGTTCCTCACGCTTAATCGTCCCCGCCGCTCCGCGCTGCGCCGCCCTGCGCCGCGCCGCTCGGCCACCTTGTTTGCCGGGCGACTCGAATTAATTGGACACGAAAAAGGCGCGCCGCTGCCCCGGCCCGGCCAACACGCGTTTAAAGGTTCAGGGTCGGATTACCGTTCTTTAAAAAAAAGGAAAAGTTGGATAAATCCTCCGGGCTTTGCGCACGATGATTGACGTCGCCTTTCCTTTTGCAGTGTCCTGGACAACGGCACGCTGCTCATCGAGGCGGCGGCGCGCGAGGACCGCGGCTTCTACCACTGCACTGCCAGCAACGGCATGGGCAAGCCGCTGAGCCGCGCCGTCTTCCTCACGGTGCACGGTCAGTCCGTCTGCCTGCCCGTCTGCCCGCGTGTGTACAGTGCGCCAGAAGACCGGTGGAGGCGGCCGCAATTCTAGACGCGTTCGGAGCTCCAGAGCCGCTAAATGGGACTCGAACTGAACGAGTGACCCCACCAATGGATTCCTCGTTCGGAGAGCTATCCATTGGTGGGGTCACAGGTTCGGTACGAGTCCTGCTTAGCGACTCTGGAGCTCAAAACGCGTCTAGAGTTTTGTCCGCCTCCACCGGTCTTCTGGCCCACTGTGGCGTGGCTGCGTGCCTCACAGTGTGCTCCCCTTGCAGTGCCGGCGCATTTCGACCGGCCCACGCAGACGGTGCGCGCGGCGCGCGGCTCCACGGCGGAGCTGGAGTGCCAGGCGCAGGGCGACGCGCCGCTCAGCCTGCACTGGACGAGGGAGGGCCGCCGCTTCGAGGAGCTCAAGCCCAAGGAGGACGCCACGGAGGTCGGCGTCACGTCCAGGTCAGACCCTACGCAATCTGTTTCATGTAAATTTCGCGGGTATTTTTGTTTTTGCTTTCGTCGACGCGCTCCTCTTTTTCGGGGGGAGCTGTGCTGTGCGTGTATTCCATTGCAAAGTGCCACCGCGGCGGAGTGAAATGTTGCGTGTTGCTGACACCGGCCAGACTCACCCTGCGGGCGGTGCAGCGCGTGGACTCGGCGCGGTTCGCGTGCGTGGCCTCCAACCGCTTCGGCGCCGCGCGGCAGGAGGTGGTGCTGACGGTGCAGGAGGCCCCCGAGGCCCCCCCGCAGCTGCGCGTCACGGGGCTGGCGTCGCGCGCCGCCAACCTGTCCTGGGAGGCGCCCTACGCCGGCAACTCGCCCCTCACCGCCTACCGCCTGTCCTACTCCAACGCCTCGGGCCAGTGGCAGGCCGAGGTGGAGCCGTCGCAGCGCGGCGCCCTGCTCAGCGGCCTGCAGCCCGCCACCGCCTACCAGGTACGCCAAAAACAATGAAAGGCCCGTGGCTTTGCCTGGCAGTCCCTTTGGTCGCAGGCGACCAGTAAAAAGCGCCAGGGAAATGAGGAAAACTTGCGTTTTTCTGGCCCTCACACTCACCCGCGACCCGCCACTAAAGTGGAGAACCTACACTTCCTCGGCACACATGGGGAGCAAGATCCTGGCTGGCATAATTCATGGTTTACCCTCTCGTGGCGCGCGTGTGTGTGTGATGGTGTGAGTGAGGGATGTTGACCGCGTGTTCCACCGTGTTCCACGGCGTGCCGCAGGTCCGCGTCCAGGCCGTCAACGCCCTGGGGGCGGGCAACGCCAGCCTGGTGCCGCTGCGCACGGCGGACGAGGCCCCCGGGGGGGCGCCCAGGGCGCTGCGGGCCGTGGCCCAGGGCCCCGACGAGCTGCGCATCGTGTGGGAGGTGAGTGCACTGCGAGGTGGACTCGCAGTTCATCGTGCCTGGCCGCCCGGCCTGACCACCGAGTGGCACGAGACAGTTTCGTTATGTCGTGACACTACGTCTTTGCAGCCCCCGGAGGCCAGCCTGCAGCACGGCGAGCTGGTGGGGTACTCGGTGCAGTTCCGGGAGCTGCCGCCGCTGCCCGAGTCCCAGGACGACGCCGTGCTGCAGCACGCGCTGGGGCCCGGCCTGGGCTCCAGCCTGGGCTCCAGCCTGGGCTCCAGCCTCGACTACCTGGAGAACGACATGGACGCCGTGCAGACCGTGCAGGCCGACCCGGGCCCGGAGCCCTTCATCGTCCTGTCCGGCCTGAGGGCATTCACCAGGTAAGCGGCGACGCCTGCGCCCGGGGTTCGAGTCCCGCCCGATGCTCACTCTTCTCTCCCCGGCAGGTACGCGGTGCGAGTGAGCGCCCTGAACCGCGCGGGGGCGGGGCCGACGTCGGCGGAGGTGGTGGCGGCGACGGACGAGGACGTCCCCGGCGCCGCGCCCCAGGACGTGTCGTGCACCGCGCTGTCCTCCAGCAGCGTGCTCGTGTCCTGGGCGCCGCTGCCGCCTCACGTGGCGCGCGGCCGCCTACTCGGCTACCGCGTCGTCTTCCGGCCGCTGCCGCAGCAGGCCCTGCAGGTACGCGTCGAGGTTGGGGAGTTCGGGGTCCTCGCTACAGTGCAGTGCCTCCACTTTCACGTCTCGGCGTTCCAGGACGAGCTGCTGTGGCCCGACGAGGTTGACGGCGAGGAGAACGCGCTCACGACGCGCGACCTGCGCCTCGCCCTGCTGCACCTCGAGAGCTACCGCAACTACAGCGTCGAGGTCCGCGCCTACACTGGCAAGGGCGACGGCGCGCCGGCCGGCCCGGTGTTCTGCCGCACGCACGAGGACGGTGAGTCGAATCAATCATTGGTGCGAGAGAGACGGAGCGACGCGAGCGGCTGACGGTGGCCTTCCCTGCTTGCAGTCCCCGGCGAGCCGGCCGACATCAAGGCGCTGGTCATCGACTCGGAGTCCATCATGCTGTCGTGGCGCTCGCCCAGGCACCCCAACGGCATCCTCAGGAAGTACAAGATCTTCATGCGGTCGCTGGACGGGATGGGGCTGGTGCGTGCGGATAGCCGTGTCGAGTCGCTAAAGTTCCCGGAGCTAGTTACCATCGTCGTTTTAACCCGCAGGCCAAGGACGAGTTCGAGGTGCCGCCGTCGCAGAGCCACTACCGCATCCTGCACCTGCGCCTGCACCACCGCTACGAGTTCTGGGCCGCGGCCATGACGGCGGCGGGCTTGGGGGCGTCGTCGCGGAGGGTGGTGCAGGCGCCGGCACAGGCCGCCCCCGCGCGCGTCGTGGACTTTGGCGGCCGCGTCGTCGCCGAGGTGCGGCGCGACGTCAAGCTGCCCTGCCGGACGGTCGGCTACCCGGCGCCGCAGCGCGCCTGGACCCTGCAGTCGGACCCCGTGCGCGGTGGAGACCGTCTGCAGGTACGTGGAGTCGAGGACGCCGAGGGCGGAGCGTGGACCGGCTGATGCACGTTGGCCTCCTTGCAGGTGACCGCCGACGGGGAGCTCCGCCTCGTCGCCGTGCAGGCCTCGGACGCGGGCAACTACACGTGCGCCGTGGAGAACACTGGCGGCAAAGACGCCATCACGTACTACGTCAGCGTGGACGGTAGGTGGAACCTCAGATTCCCAGACACTCGCCGCCAAAACCCTATTTCCCCGTTACTGAACCACTTTCTCGGCCTCTTAGTTTGACTGACCCTTCTGTAATCGGTGTGCTTCTCTCCCTGCTGCCTCTCGGACTGCAGAGAATCGCAACAAAGGAGGTAGGTCGTTCGTTCCCTCGTTCCGCGACACTGCTAGGACGACCCCGCTCATCGCCGCTTTGTTTTGTTCCAGTGCCCACGACGCCGCTGGCGCTGCGGGTGGCCTCAGCGACGGTGTCGTCACTCAGCATCCAGTGGAAGCCCGGCTCCGGCGTCGCCTCGCCCACAGGTCGGTAGCACACTGGAAAACGTCTAAGCAAAGCGCCTCTGCTTGTTGGTACTTCTATCGAGGATGTCTGCGCAGGCTACTACCTGCACTTCAAACGCGAGTTCGGCGAGTGGGAGAAGACGAAGCTGTCCGTGGACCAGGTGACGACGAAGAACGGCTCGGACAGCGCGCCCGTGTGCACGCACAGCCTGCTGGGCCTACTGTGTGGCACCAAGTACCAGATCTACGTGTCGGCCTTCAACCAGCTGGGCACGGGGCTGCCCACCGCCATCCTGCACGCCCGCACGCAGGGCTCGCGTAAGTGGACGCCCGGGTTCAAATACCGGGCCTGCTCTTTTTTTTGCTAGGACTCGAACCGAACGTGTGACCCCACCAATGGATTGCTCTCCGAACGAGGAATCCATTGGTGGGGTCACGGTCAAACTTTCGGTTCGAGTTATTTTGGCGACAATGGAGCTCAAAACGCGTCTGGACTTTTGTCCGCCTCCACCGGTACTCGAACCCTCGTCCCTGCCCGCAGCGCCGGTGGCCCCGGACGCCGGGCAGCTGCTGCGCGTCAACTCGACGTCCATCGCGCTGTGGCTGGGCTCCTGGCAGGACGCCGGCTGCCCCATCAGCTCGCTGGTGCTGGAGTACAAGCTGCGGCACGAGCACGCCTGGACGCTCGTGTCCAACAACGTGCAGGTGGACCGGCAGGAGTACTCGGTGCTGGACCTGAGCCCCGCCACCTGGTACACGCTGCGCATGACAGCGCACAACAGCGCCGGCTCCACCGTCGTCAACTACGAGTTCGTCACGCTCACCAACTCGGGCGGTGAGAGAGAGAGAGAGAGACACTGCGAGTGAGGTAGACGTGGGCGCGGTCGTTACCCCCGTTTCTCCGTCTTGTTCGCAGCGACACTGCCGCCGGAGCCGGGCGGCCGCGCGGGCGGCGGCGCCCCCGCGTTGGGCGTCGCGGGGGTGGCCAGCCTGGCGGGCGGCGCCGGGGCGCTCCTGCTGGCGGGGGCCGGGCTCGTCGTGGTGCTGCTGCGGCGCCGGCACCGCGCGCGCCACCCCGGCGGGGACAAGGGCCACGGTAAGGGCGGGGCGTGCACCTCCCGAGCCCCGACGGCGGGCTGTTCTTTGGACGAGGTACAAGTCGGCTGATGATTGCAGGCCCTGACTTGACGGAGCCGCCGCTGGGCAAGGGCTCGGCGCCGCTGGGCGGGCTCCGCGGCGGCGTGCCGGGCCACCACCACGGCGGCCAGCACGGCCAGCACGGCCACCACGGCGGCCGGGAGCGTGACTCGGTGCGCGACCCGGCCGACGCCGCCCCCTTCTTGCCCACGCCCATGCGCGTGTCGCTGGGCCGGCGCGAGGACATCAACCCCTACGCCACCTTCAGGCTGCCCGGCGCGGGCGGCACGTCGGGGACCCCGGGCACCCCGGGACCGGGGCTGTCGCCCGTGCACCGGCACCCCCTGCAGTCCCCGCAACACACCGTGTGCATGGTGAGCATACATTTGCAGAAATTTTGACAAGTTTAAGATTAGTACTTACCGGTGCTTCGCGGTGTTGCAGTACGGCAGCTGCGGCGACGCGGTCTACACCAAGATACGCGGCAAGGAGGAGTCCCCCGACTGGATCCCGCTGCACAGCCTGTACCAGGAGCGGCGGTACTGACTAAAGCTCGAAGGCGGCGGGGGCGGCAGTTCTCTGTACAGCCTGTACCAGCACTACCAACAGCTGCAGCTGGAGCTGCAACGCTACGAGGACCTGGACCTTGCGTTGGACCTTGAGGTCGGCCGCGGCTTGGACATGGCCATGGCGCCCCGCCGCTCCAGAGACAGAGCTCCCAGGGACCACCGGGACCTCCGGGCCCAAACCCTCCAGCACGGACACCTGCCGCATTGGCTGTAGAGCCACCATCCTCCGTCTTCGGTTTTGCTTTTGGCGAGTGTAGAGACGGTCTCGGAGACCCCATGTGAAAGCATTAGATTGTGCACCATCGCATGAGGAGACATTCATGGAGAAATTACTTTTCCAAGGTTGAGTAATGAGCCACTCTAGAGGTGCTCTTGTTGTGTTTGGATTAATGATTTATTAACAAGTGAATTAGTCGTTATTTTTGTGATGGACGTCTAACAATGACGTCTCACAATGAGAAAGCAGCCTACATCTATCTGACGAATTTACTGCCTCACAAGGGAACGTTTTCAGGTGTCAGGAGCCGATTGCTCCCCTACTTCGGGATCTTAAAGACCACCTTAAAAAAGAATTTTCGGCACCCACAGTTCGTGCTGAAAGTCACTACAACGTCCTAAAATGAAAGTTAAAAGACCAATTTTCATAAACTTGACCAAAAAATTTAACTTCAAAGAACGTCCATGAAAGCAGATGATTCTTAGTTCCCGACGAAAAAAATTAAGAGCAGAAATTACAATTTGCCATGGTAATTGTTTTAGTTTGAAAAGGTCTTATGAATTTTCCCAGCCTATTAAAAATTGAAAATGAAATATATTGGATCAGAAGAGGCTTTCCAAGGACCCACAGCACCGTGCGGGACACCATTACCCCTGCCACACCGCAGGACCTCTGACCATCCGAGCCTATCCTTTCCTCGTTTCGTTGTTTTTGTTTTTGGGGGTGGAGCACAAATACCCCAGGACATCTCGCAAGTGCCCGCGCCCGCGTACAAGCTCAGTGGGGCTGGCTAGGAGGGTCATCGAGACGGTGCTCGGAAGCGGCCTTCTGGCATTGCGAGAGACTCTGAAGAGGCAACTCGCTCGCTTGCCCTCGCTAGACTTAACGACATTGGGGAACTCACTAGGCGCAGACGAGCAAGTACGACAATCGCACAAGAAGCTGGCTAGAGGCCCACTAGAAGTTTGGAGGCTCAACTGGAGCCAGGCACGCCTGACCTTTACACCCGAGGAGTCGCCACAGTCCCCAAAGGCTTGCCAGAGCAAGCGCCGACCCAGGCAAGGTGCACCAGGGATGAGTGAGCCACCCTCAGAAACAGAAACAAAGGAACAAGAAGAGGGTAGGAAAACAGGGATTCCGCAAGATCGTGCAGTTTGCGAAGTTGATTTCCTTACTGTTCAGGTTTGACCAAACAGTGGTGGGGTGGATTTCGGTATGACCCGCGGTGGCAATGCCAACGGCCTAGTGGCCTAGCAACACTAGGAGTGACAACTCGAAGTGACACACGCACTTTCGCCGTGTGACCCGACTGACTGGCCACTGGCCGCCGTCCGACGGCTTGGCCAAAACGGGCCGGCCCTGACCTTGAACTTTCATTTTAGGGCGTTGTAGTGACTTTTAGCACGAACTGTGGGTGCCGAAAATTCTTTCTTGAAATGGTCTTTAAGATCCCAAAGTATGGGAGCAATCGGCTCCTGACACCTGAAAACGTTCCCTTGTCAGTAATTTCTAATTTTGTCAAATATTCTTTTTGATAGGCTGGGGGCCTTTCTCTTCAGCTACCTATTCTTGACGAGCTGCTAGCTGCCAAGCTCATATAGAGTGATATGTGATATGTTTATTTTTTTTATTTATTGTTCGAAAAGTCCCATAAAAAAATGAAAAGTATGCAGGCAAATTGTTAATTACCCTGACTGTTGTTTTATGTAAAAGGGTTATAGCTTGTGATATCCTGATAAGTGTTCCAAAGACTGAGGAACACAGTTTCAGTTCTATTATGTGCAATATTCACAGTATAAACACACTGGTTACTAATACTTTTATCTTGTATAGCATTGTCTCATGTAATTGATGTCTTCCATTTTGGATTCATGACAACTGTATAAACCATCAGAAGGCTCAAAATGGTTCAAATTGTACCTAAACTTCTGTGTAACATTCCAACATAAGAAATAGAAGTTTCAGTAAGCCTGGGTGGGTGAGTTCAGAAATCAGACACTGAGTAGTTTGTCATTGGAATGTTGGTTCAAAATCACTCTGAAAGAAAATTGCATTGAATTGATTTTCTCACCAGTATTACTTGTTAAGTAGCTTTTAAAATATGTAAGATATGATTATCATATAAAGTTTACAAAAATTGAATATTGTAAAAGAAAATCTTTGTGGATGTGAAAGTCCCCAGAACCAATGGCATTGAAATAATATATTTTATCATAAAAAATAAAGAATGTTCCCTAAAACATCAAATGACTCCTTTACTTAAATAGACGCACTCTTCACTTTTCCCAAAATGCCCGAAGATGTAGGCAACACATCATGGTTTTTTAACGTTTTGAAAACTTTAATAAATAATATATATTTTTAAACATAAAAAATATATCCTTCCAGAAGGAACATCACAATGAGTTTAACATTCATCAATAAATTAGAATCTGTACTTCTGAAAACCGAGTTACCTTTGGCCCAGCAACTAAAAATGTGATTTAAGTTATGAGCCGAACTTAAATTGAATTTCTAGCCCATGGGCCAAAGTTTTTCCGGTTTACGGTTTAGTAATAACATTTGAGGGTGATTGGCCCCAAGTTTCGACTTACAAGGATAATAAATAAGTAACGAACCCAGATAATTTGTAAGACCCTAGACTCACTTTACCAGCGCATCATACTTCAATACATTTGTCAGCCGTTGTAGAATCTTCAATTCTTCTTTTCCTGCGCTCACATTTCGGGCATGGTAAATTTTCCTTCAAGCACGTTGCATGAAAAACTGCACTACATCCTTTGCACTGTAAAAAATAAAAAGAAAGGAATCAAATGACACTATCAGCCTCGCCTCTCTTACATCTGTCTCTCTCTCACACAGAGAGGCTTACACTTACCCTATATGTGTTTTCTGTATCAAAGGGATAAATTATCTTTGGGTTGTCACAGACTTCACAGAAGAATCCTTTCTGAGAACACAATCTACAATTGTAGACATGATTGCGTGCAAAGGTAATAACATGTTTCAAATGTTGGGCTAAGATACCACTGGGTATTTGAAGAAGATCCTAAAAGTACAGGGTAAAAGTCCATCAGATTTCATTCAAAAATTAGGATATAATGTGACCATTACCAGACTTACAGAAACTGAATACAGATGCACATGTTCATAAAGGTATTCTCTTGGCCAAACCATTTTCTGAAGCTCTTCAATAACAGGTTCTCGACATGTGAATAGATAAGCCCGGAGCAAATTTAGTTGATTTCTCAGTTTCTGCAATGAAAATTATTGACAACACTAGTAGAATGTATGTTTTCTCGCAATGAACTCAATTTTGTTTTGGAGACAATGGTAAACACACACCTGGAGCTCAGATACCTCATCAACAGTAAGGTAGAGAAATGGGTTAAGACTCTTCAAATCTAGAAGAGGATGATGCTGAATTTCTGACAAAAAAGAGGCTGCCCTTTTGGATACAGTATATCGCTTGTAATCCCAGTTCAACAAAACTCGGGCTGGTACAATCCATTCATCTCCCGAAAGAACAGTGCAGTCATCACAAAAGTAATGGCCGGTTAATCCACACAACCTGCAATTGATAAATGGCAATCAATTAAAAGACAAGCTCACTAAAGATTTTATCAGTTTTCTGCACATGTGAGACACAGTACCGTGGGGCACCAAAGGTGAATCCTATGGGCTGAGCGCAACCAAAGCACGTGTATTGTTGAGCATCCAGTCCAAGTTCATGGGGTAGTTTTGTCAATTGTTTTAAGAGATTACCAAATTGCTGGATAAAAAAGACACAAGACAGCTTCAGTACAAAACAACAATAACACTGTAGAAAACAATAGCATGAGCATATTTTAAAAATGAACCACATGTAACAAACATAAACACAACTAATTCCCAAGAACTACATATGATAAATGACATCCATTCTCATGTACAAAAAATCATGCAAAAGAAGAAATAATTAATCGCAGTAATAGGTGGAATTACTCGTACTCACAGGCTCACATGTTGCAGGAGTAGTATCAATAATCTCAAATCCAAGATCTTGAGGGTATGATAGCTGTAGTAAAGTGATAAGTTTATGAATGGAATACATGCATAGATATCACAGAGAAATGTTCAAAGCAAACCATGAACAGACCCTAACATCACAAAATTAACATGCACTGTCACCATAAATGACATGATTTCCCAAAAGAGACACAAAACATTGGTAATTGTTTGGAAACACAACTTACATCGGTTTCCTGAGCAAGTGAGGCAAATGGACTGGAAAAGCTGTTTGGCTCAAACTTTGACAGAAAGTCATTTAAATCTGGCAAGTTGTTCCCAGAAGATGAAGCAGTATTGTAACTTTCTATAAGTGAATGATAGCTCTCCAGCTTTTTCTTGGAATGGACTTTGCTAGAAAACACATTACAGGTATGAAAAGTACCTTGCAACAATTTGTTCAAATAACATACAAATAACAAAGTTTCTAAAGGGTCCACAATTACCTAACTTTCTCTTTATTTGCCTCTTCTTGATTCACACCTGAATCTGACATAGTTTCTTCGAAGGATGAGGACCACCCTAGACGACCGATAATGGAGTTACCCATTGAAGCATTGCCCTCATCCTCAGATTCCTTTTCCTTTCTCTGCTCTCCCTCTGTGGTTGGCTCGGTCTGTGTGTGAGGGCAAAGAAAAGGCACTACCAGTCAGTCAACTAACTGAGCTTAAAACAAAATTGAAGGGACGGAGACAATAAATCTCATTCACTTACCGATTCGGGCTTAGACTCTTCACAACTAGCAGGGTCTATGCTTTTTTCCGGAGGTAATTTTGTGTCATTTGTATCACCTTTTTCTGCATTGCTTTCTTCAGCTCTTAGTTTAGCTGCAATAGGTGTTTCATTAACTGGAGTCCCAAGAATTATTTTCAAAGCCTCCTCTTCATTTAATGCCATCATCTGTAAACTCTTAGAATATTAAAAATTGTGTAAAACGTAACATAAACAATTCAAACAAATCATAATATTGGTGATCATAAAAATATCATCACTGAGAATCATAAAAATGAATATTTGTAACTTACTGGACTATGGACAAAGCTATTGTGGGATGCAAATGATGCAACAGATACTGCATCAGAATTTAATGAGTCTTGTTCCTCTCTCTCTAGAATCTGGGCAACATCTGTGGCAACAGCAACCGCATCTTTAGAGGCGGAGGGCCTGATTGGCGGCGTCCACAATCCTGCTTGGAGTAGTGGCTGAAGGGTCCACACATCAAGCAGACTAGAATTTACGGGCAAGTTGAACGGAAAAGATTCAATCCCTTCTAAAAATCGCTGTACAAGTTCCAAATTTTCAACATCGCGCAGAAGTGCACCTTTCCGGTAGTAGTGACTGCAATAAAATTTCAAATTGGTTTTTGTTCCACCTTACAAGAAAAAGAAGAAAAGTAGATTTTGAAAAATCCATGTACCTTAGTGCCCGTTGTCCATCACTCCTCATAGCTTCTAAGTATCTTGACAAAACACCTTCGTTCAATGCTAAGCGTAACCAAGCTCTTGATCGTCCAACATCCGTTTGAACCAAACTTAATTTCATTACCTTTCGAAAGAAAGAGAAAATGAGTTTCCACAAAAACTACCATAATTTGAATTTGAATAACCTACCTCATCTATAACGTCCCTATGAGAAACTTCAAGTAAAGGACCCCAAAAGTTAGGGTCAGGTCGGGCATCTAAATCAGACATCACTGCTTGCGAGACTCTCTGAATAAAACTTTCTTTCAAGCCATGAATGAATATGGCTTCCAGAGCAGTGCACAATGAGCTGACTGCTTCAGAAGAGTTGTCATCATTGCTGTCTGGGTCCGCTTGCTCCACCTAATGACAAAGGAGAGAAAAGAGGAAACTTAGTAAAGTGATAATTAATTAATAAACAGATAGCTGTTGCTGCTTCAGCACTGAGACTCCTTACCAGAAGGTCTTTGACACAACTTGACAACTTGGCCACAAGCGTATTTTTTATCGCCAAATCTCGCCCGCCTAAAGATGAACGCATGGATCTCAGAAGTTGACTCATTTTGAAAGGCTTGTGAAAGACAATGAATTGTTTATCTTTCTCAACCTTAACCAAAACAAAGCAATGGGCATTTTAGTGCATTTAACGGAGGGAAGGTGGGGCGTGCATATTGGCAGGAAGATCTGTGAATAATCACAGGGACCGGCGCCCAGCGCCATCTGTGAGCCCAGCCTAGAACTATACAAGGGGCATTGTGTATGAAAAATTACTGAATCGGAACTAAACTTAAGCAACCTAAGAAGACAAGGACAAGAAAAGTTGAAGCATTGAATGAACTGACTGAATTTTTTTAATTTATTAAGGTAAGTCCTCTTCTGGATGATTTTCCTTGATATTGAGGTTGTCATTTGCCACTCCTTATTGTCAATTTCGACAAAACTTCCCTGGAATATGTCTCACTTTCCACCATAACCTTCACCAAGATGTGGATAACTTTCTCTAAAATCTCTGCTCTCGTGCCTTGACCTTGACGAGACCCTATATTCCCACATTCGACACCTGATTGGAAATATTAAAACGAGTTCAATTGGCTATCTTACTTTTCTCTCACAACCTTAATCGGGGTATTTTTGTTTCATTCACTTTCCTTGATGAATTGGTAATTTTGTCGATGCTCATGGTTGCAATTTTTTTAGTGTATTCTGATCCATAACATCTCAGTTTTAGCTGTTTCATTTCCCTAATTTTCCACTCTTTTCACTCAGAAAATTGTTGTCCTTCAGTGCGATGTTTGATGAAGTGCAGTGGTGTTGCATCAGAACATCTGTCCACATTCTTTATTTTGTGCTGTTCTATACTGTGTCATATTTGACTGTAAAGTTTTAAAAACTTGTCTCAAAATTTAACAAAACGTTGATGCAGCAATTGTTTTAGCCTTCAATCTAAAATTTTAATACATGATGTTGCTTGGGCGGTTTTCCACCCCCTCATACTTTTAGCCCTGTGCAATACGTTGTGTAATGGACTGTAGGCTGGCATGAGGTGTCTGACCTGTAGTCAGCCTAGCTACCCCTCAGTACTACGCTCAGTACGATCTCAACGGACTTCCCTCTCTCAGTCGGGTCATTCCAAAGTCAGTCATTATATTTGGTATCTACATTTTTTTCTAAGAAAAAGAATTTTGCCATATTGAAATGGATAGATTGTCAAAAAAGTACCGCTACTTGTTTCAAAATTGTTCAAAGCACTTGAATTTGTGTGCCTGGTCATAATACCACTATTTTTCTTCGCACCAGTTTTTGGATCTGTGAAGTTTGTTCTACTTCTCCCAAGAGTGCACTTTGCTTGCAAGTGGCCCTGTACTTTACAAAGTGGCGAGCCTGTCGAGGCCTGCGTTCAATATTTCTCTGTCTGCACGGCGGCGCGGCGCTGGAACTCTGGAACCTCTCGAACCTTGACGCCGTGTCGGGCCTGTCGGGCCTGGTTGGGGCCAGAGCGACTGGTTCGCCTTGCTTGCAGCAAGCGGCATGCTCGCAGCTTCAATGGAAGGGGCCCGCATGGCGCGGTGTGGCGTGGCGTGGCGTGGCACGGCGGGCATGGAGGGGCAGGGGACTCCGGCGGGGCGACGCAGACACAGACAGCACTCAGTCGTAGTGTACAGTCAGCCGCCGACGGTCGTCCCATCCGAGTAGTTCGGCTACTCGGCCCTGTGTTCGCGTTTGCCGACGGCACGCGCGTGTGTGTGTGTGACTGTGTGTGCGCGTGTTACCAGTTTTTTTACCGCTGACTTGTTCTTCCGCGGTCCTCGAAGTGCGAAGGCTGTAGGTAAGGGCGACGTTACTTGGTAAAGACTCGGAGAGTGGCAACTGGAAGTGAGTGGGCGAGGGTTCCACTAAGGCCGAAAAAACGATGGCAAAACTTGCGATTTGCGTGGCAAGACTTGTATCGGCCTATCTGATGCCACAGGGCATCCGCGGCGTATGTGTTCCTGCTGGTCGAGCTGCACTCAAAGTGACTGGAAAGGCTCTCAAGGAAGCAGGAATCTGTGGCGGAGCGCTGGACTTCCCCGTGCTGTTGGTCCCTCTCGCACTCATGGATTGTCCCGCATTGGTGCGAGAGAGAGAGACGAAACCTCCTGGAGTGCACGTCCGTTCCCTGCCCGCGCCGCCCTGTGCCTGACCTCGGTCACGTTGTCCTCGACGTGCCGAGACGCGAACGCGGCGGAGGCGCGGTCGCGGGTTCGAACACCAGCTTCGGCTTCCCTTTTTCTCTCCGGTGTTCTAAACGCTGTGATTGGGTCCTTGTCCCGCGTGCGTTGTCGCCGAGGGCCGAGGCCACGACTGCAGTGGGCCAGAAGACCGGTGGAAGCGGTCAAAATCCCTCACGCGTTTTGAGCCCCAGAGTCGCTGAACAGGACTCGAAGCGAACGTGTGACCCCACCAATGGATTCCTCGTTCGGAGAGCAATCCAGTGGTGGGGTCACACGTCCGGTTCGAGTCCTGCTTAGTGACTCTGGAGCTCAAAACGCGTCTAGAGCTTTGGCCGCCTCCACCGGTCTTCTGGCCCACTGTGCGGCGATCTCCGCGGACTTGCATCACGACGGCCCTCCTCTCCTTCCTCGGGGTTTCGTCACTGGCATGACTGGCACGCTCTGGCTATTTTCGCATCCCGAACGCCTGAATGCCTGAATCGGCACCGAAAGCCCCCCCCCCCCCGCTCCGCGGCCACGTGACTCCAAAGCACGGCGAGCCCGCCCCGCCGCCACCGCCTGGAGGAGGACAAGTCCTTGGGCAAGGACTCCGCGACTATCATTTCTGTTTTGCAGTGGGTGCGTACGTGACGCACTCGCCGTTGCGAATGGCGGCTACCTGCAGGGTGCGGCCTGTCTCTCTCCCTCCCCATCGGGCGGTAGGTTCTCTGTCTCTCTCGCCCTCCCTCTCCCTTTGGCCGAAGGGCCCGTGGCGTGCGAGGCCGGGGGATGGCTTCGCGGCTGACACGTGAGTCGCGACACGCGACGCGGGATTTGCAAGTCGGAAGGAATCGGTGTGTCGCGACCGATAAGACTGATGGCGCGCCTCGCCAGGTTGCCAGTCCCTTGTTGTTGTTGTTGTTGCTGTTCCGAGAAAGGCCCCAGCGGATTGTGTCACCATGCACAGTGGGCCAGAAGACCGGTGGAGCGGCCGAAATTCGAGACGCGTTTTGAGCTCCAGAATCGCTGAAAATGACTCGAACCGAGCGTTTGACCCCACCAATGGATTGCTCTCCGAACGAGGAATCCATTGGTGGGGCCACGCGGTCGGTTCGAGTCCTTTTCAGCGACTCTGGAGCTCTAAACGCGTCTCGAATTTTGGCCGCTCCACCGGTCTTCTGGCCCACTGTGCCATGGTGTCACCGCGAGACTGGTCCTGCCGCATCTCATTCCCAGCCAACCTGTCGCAACCCTTTCCAGGCCGAATTTTCGTCCTCTCTTTTTGTCGCGGGGTCTGCGTGCGAGTTAGAAATCGGCCTCGTTGTGGTCCAACATCGCCGCCCCGGTAGGCCAGGGCCGGCCAGGGCTATGCAGGTCACTGTGCGGCAGGCCGTTCCCTGGGATAGATCACGTCGATCGGGAACGAACCCGAACGGCCCCCGCAGGGCTCGCGGACCCATAATTTGCTGAATGCGTTGTGTCTGGCGGGGCCCTGGCGGGGTCCGGGCCGGAGGTCAGCACCAGCTACGACTTCGCCTGGAAGGTTCGCGACGCGGTGTCGGAGCCTGGGCCCCCGCCGCCCCGCGCCCCGCCGCCCCGCGCCCCGCCGGCCCGTGTTCGCGGCGAGCAGGGGGAGCAAGGGTGACCTTCTCTGCCGGCTGCTTTATTTCTCTCCGCGACCTCTGCTCGTGCACAGAGCGAAAACAAAACCAAAGGAGTGGAGCTGTCGGCATTTTTTTTTGCAAGCAAAATCACTCAAAACTTCTTTGAGAAATTCTCATGACAGCTTCCTCGTCGAAATCTTCGACAAATGTCGGTTATCCAGCTGTCATGTCTCGCCATGACAAGAGGCGCTTGGGTTGTTGTTTTTTTTTCGCAGTGCCGCTGGCACGGTAATAATGCTGGTCGTGTTGAGAGCGGCACGTGGGGCGAGTGAAAAAGCGTCGGCGGGGCGGGGCGACGTGCGCCCCTGCTACATCCGACACAATTAGGGCTGGAAGTGCCCCACGGCCTTGGCGACCTTGGTGGGCTCCCGAGACTTCCGAGTAAATCAGCTGCGATTTTTAAAACGGAGAACTTTTCCGGCCCTTTGGCCCTTTTGGTACCCGACGCACAGTGGGCCAGACGACCGGTGGAGGCGTCCAAAACTCTGGACGCGTTCTGAGCTCCAGCGTCGCTAAATGGGACTCGGACTGAACGTGTGACCCCACCAATGGATTGCTCTCCGAACGAGGAACTCATTGGTGGGGTCACACGTTCGATTCGAGTCCCGCTGGCGCTCAAAACGCGTCTAGAGTTTCGGCCGCCTCCACCGGTCTTCTGGCCCACTGTGGGGCGGCTGGAGGCACGCTGGCGCGCAGTCAGGTGGGCGCGGCGTGACGCAACGGCGATGGACCCTCATACTTTGTTTGCTGCCGCCCCCCCTCCCCCTCCCCCTCGCGTCTCGCTCCAGACCACTCTTACTTTCACCGCTCGGTGCGCCGCGCCACGCCGCGCTCACCCTGGGGCACGAAGACCGCCGCGGAAGCGGCAGCGCGGCAGCAGACGCGCCCGCTGATTGGTCCAAATCCAGCCTCACTCAAATAAGCCACTTGAACGCCGTGGCCGGTCGCACGTCGTGAAAGACAGGAGTCTACTCTTCGACGCGGTGGCCGGCGGCTCGCCGGAAAAGACAATATTGTGCTTTTCTAGCTGCTAAGCGGCCTGGCCCTGGCCCTGGCGGGCCCCGCCGAAATGGCAGACGGCGCGGGGGAGTCACCAGGTTGACGAGTGTGACGGCGGTGACGGGGAGAAAGCGGAGGTCCCCGTCGAGGCGCCGGCCGAACCTGGGCCGCGCCGTACCGACCGGGGCCTGGCGCGGCTCCTTGCCGTTCGATTCCGAGCAGAGCCGCCTTCGTTGTTTCTCTGTCTCTCTCGCACCCCGCGTGGCGGCGCGCGAGTGCGAGAGAGAGGTCCGAATAAGACGGATAGCCGTGGCCGACTGCCGTGGACTGGGCGACCTTCGACCGCCGTCGTGAACCGCCGAGCCTTGCTGGACTCCTGCAGCATCACGGCGTCGGCCGGGCCTAACCAAAACAAACACCGAGTGGACAGGTACCCGAGTGGCCGCGCGGGTTCCTGGAGAAACTGGAAGGCCCGTCGGTGTGGCGCGTGTACCTCTGGAGCGCCAGCGTCACAGTTTACTCCAGCGCCTGCAGACGGCAGCATAGGCCAGCCCGCCGTACTCCAGTGTGGCGCGGGACGGTCTCCAGCGCCTGCAGACGGCAGCATAGGCCAGCCCGCCGTACCCCAGTGTGGCGCGGGACGGTATCCACCGCCCGCAGGCGGCGGCCTGGCCTGGAATTCTGGGCCGCGCTGGAGTTGACCTAGTGGGCGCTGGATTAAGTGTGATGCAATTCGCGCAGAGCTCGGCACCTTTGAGGTCAATGCGTCTGTCTGTCCACCTGTCCGTCCGCCTGTCGCGGTGCCGTACCATGCATGTGGTGTCCGAGGCGGTTGGCCGTGGGGCTGCCAGCCTGGTGGCTGAAAGTGAATGTGTCGCGCCGCCTCCGCGTCCGCGGCCAGCACGGCGGCCCTGGCCCAGTGCAGGGCCTCCTCGAGGTCCTCCAAAACGACCGTCATTTAAAATGGCGCCGACTGACTGACATTAGTTTGAAAGGCGACCGGGACGGCCGTGCCAGCCAGTAGCCCTCCGCGATGACATGCGGCTTCGGCTGAGCGATTACGCTCCGTCTCTCTCGCACCGCCACGGCACGCCCCGCGAGTGCGAGGGAGACGGCGCTACCGGGAAGGCGATGGCGTGGCGCACTGCGAGGCTTCCCCCGGCCGGCGCCCCTCGTGGGCCTTGCCGGCCTTCTTGGCGTGCTGGACGTGCGTCGCCGAGCCGGCAAGCCGCACAGTGGGCCAGAAAACCGGTGGAGGCGGCCAAAACTCTAGACGCGTTTTGAGCTCCAGCGTCGCTAAATGGGACTCGAACCGAACGTGTGACCCCACCAATGGATTGCTCTCCGAACGAGGAATCCATTGGTGGGGTCACACGTTCGGTTCGAGCCCTGTTTAGCGACTTTGCCGCTCAAAGCGCGTCCAGAGTTTTGGCCGCCTCCACCGGTTTTCTGGCCCACTGTGAGCCGGGAGCGCTTTCCCCGCCAGGACATGACATGTCAACAAGGCCGGCTTGTCGGCACACGGTTTCGTCGCGACGCCGTCGCCCGGCTGCCTCCGCCGACACGGTGGCGCTGTCTCTCTCACTCGCAGAGGTTGCCCCGTGGGGTGCGAGAGAGACAGAGCGATGTTCGGAATCCACCCGCAGGACACTCTTCCGCCCCGCCGCCGAGCGTTATGCAAAGTGGGGCGGTATTTGTGGACGCAGGAATGACCCCTTATCTTTTTACTGGTCTTTTCGTCGTTGCAATACACTCCGTCGGTAAGCCAGTCGTCGAAGGGCGTTCCCCCAACGACCCCTATCGGCACGGCGCCGGCCGAAGGGTGAGGAAGAGAGGGGGGGCGGCTTGGCACGCGCTCCCATTCACCTGCGTTACGTGACGCGTCCGACACACTGCAGAATGTCACGCGGTCGCCCTGCCAACTCATGCAACACACCGAGCAAAAAAAAAATCATTTCGGCCCCTCGTTATCATATTTGCTGTGAAGTTTCGGGGAACGAAGTTAACTTAAATTATTTTAATTTTACAAAAAAAAAATTTAGCAAAAAAAAAGTTTTGGGTGTATTGTATTGATGTGCAAAAAAAAACTCTTATGATTTTTATAATAATTGATCTTTGTTGGTGTGGCGAGGATAGTTTGGTCTCGTGATCCTGCCTTACCTCACCCACTGCCCCCTCTTTCTCCCTCTCCCTCCCTCCCCCCGTCGCACAGTGGGCCAGAAGCCGGTGGAGGCGGCCAAAACTCTAGACGCGTTTTGAGCTCCAGAGTCGCTAAATGGGACTCGAACCGAACGTGTGACCCCACCGATGGATAGCTCTCCGAACGAGGAATCCATTGGTGGGGTCACACGTTCGGTTCGAGTCCCATTTAGCGACTCTGGAGCACAAAACGCGTCTAGAGTTTTGGCCGCCTCCACCGGCTTCTGGCCCACTGTGCCCCGTCGCCTGCAGCGCGCCTCTTTATTTAGCGAGTGCCCAACGGGTCGGCGAGACGTTGATCTTCGGCGCACTGCAAACAGGCGGAAGCGTCTTCCTCTATCCATACAGTCCTTGGACGCCGCCCCGCGACCGAAAAAAAAATACAACTAAAGTAGATAAGGTTCTGCCGAAACGAAAGCCCGACATAGCCCACTATTTTAGAGTAGCGCTAAATTCGGCCGGCGTATCGCATGAAATCTAGTCGTTCTCCGCGAGTGAGCCCGCAAATATTTTTTTAACTGGGCGATGTCAAAAGTAGCGCACTGTTGCGCTGTGTTGCTACGGGGCCACCGCTGGTAGCGGGCATGCATCCTGACTGCATCCTGCTCTGGAACCTGAGAGCAGTCAAGGACACTCTGTGGCCACCGGTATTGGTATCCGCCGAAAAAAAAATCTCAATTTTTTTTTTAAATGCATTCTATTGATATATCATCAAAGCACAAAGTCTCGTTAGATTTTGGTGTTTTTTTTTTTGTTTTTTTTTTTCAAATTTTTGGACGGGGAGAAAGTGGTGATTGATTTTTTTTCGCAACATGACTCCAATGTTGCGTATAGTGCCGTGTGTGTGTGATGCGGTGAATCTGTCTGATTCTGCCAGTCACTATCGGCTGCCACGCCCCCCCTATCACTACTACGAGTGATGCGCTCTTTTCAGTGATAGCGTGATAACGATTAGTGTCGGTGCCTCGGCCCTGCCCGCCTGGGCCGCTGGGTCGGGCCCATTGACTTGCAGTGGGTCGGAGGGTCGGCCATGGTCAGGGGCAAGGCCGGGCAAGGCCGGGCAAGCCGCTCTAGTATCGTGTACACTCGTGGGACAGTCGGCAACTACACTCTTGCACGTGTGTTTTTTCCACTGGTGTCGGAACGCCGCACCGCCACAGCTGTGTTCACACTCTCGGGCAAAGAATTTGTGATTCGGTGCGGTTTCGGCGGTTTCGGCGCTCCAGCTCGGCCGAACGGCGAGGCACTGTTAAAATGCATGAACCGGCGAGGGGGCGATTTGCATGTCGAAGTGTCGTTGCCGCCGTTGGCGTCGTCGGGGCTTGCACCGGGCTGCACTCGGTGTCAAGTGGCCGACGGCGTACTCGTCATCATAATCGGCCACGCCGTAGGCGTCCGTCCGTCGTCCGTCCGTCCATGGCCTTGGAGTGCGGGGCTGCCCGGACTGTGTCGCGGTCGCCGCGGAGGCCACCAAGTCCGTCCCGGTGGTGGCGGTCTGCGATCGGCAAACCGATACACCGGAACCTTCTGTCTGAATCCGCGGCCCGCGGCCGTGCATGCTCGGAGCACGGCTCGGAGGAGGGCACGGACGGCAAGCCGGCAGTGCGTCAGCGGCGGCCGCGCTGCCCGGTGGACGGAATTCCCTGGAACGCCCCCCCCCCTCCCCTCCCCGCCCACTCGCTGCTCGCCTTGTTATGTTCTTGCGGCACCGCGTCGACGGGACACGCTCCGCGGCCACGACGGCCACCGCGGCACGCCGGCCCCTTCCTGCATATTGAAGCCCTCCGCGGCGTCCGAACCGACAGGAAGAACGTCAGCGCCGAAAACAAGTGCGCATCGAGCGCGTTGTGCCGGTGGGTTCATTTGAAGGGGTCTGCTCGGTGAACAAGTGCGTAGCTAGCGCCCTGGCGCACAGTGGGTCAGAGGACCGGTGGAGGCGGCCAAAACTCTAGCCGCGTTTCGAGCTCCAGAGTCGCTAAGTGGGACTCGAACCGAAAGTGTGACCCCACCAATGGATTCCTCGTTCGGAGAGCAATCCATTGGTGGGGTCACACGTACGGTTCGAGTCCTGTTTAGTGACTCTGGAGCTCGAAACGTGTCTAGAGTTTTGGCCGCCTCCGCCGGTCTTCTGGCCCACTGTGTGGTGCCTCATTCCGTCTCTCTCGCACTCGTGGGGCGTGGCGGAGGGGTGCGAGAGAGACGGAGCGACGAAACGGTCCTTCGGAGTGCACTTTGGCGGTGCGAAAGTGGCAGGGATGCGCGTCCTCTCCCTGCCGCGTGACGTCACTGTGAACTAGGAGCAGGCCGGCACGTCAACAGCACGGCGTGCGGCATAACACGCCCTTCCTGCGCGGCCAAAGGGCCCAAAGGGGCCAAAGGGGCGGTGTGTGTCCAGCAAACAGAGGGCGAGGACGCCGTCGACGACGGAGGAATGCATGTGGCCCCGCGCACCGGGACCACGCTGTCGTTAGACGCTTTGCGCGCGGCCCTTTGGATTAGCGGGATTGGCGCCGAGAATCCTCCACTCGAACCGCCTCCTCTTGCGTCCCCGTCGACGGGGTCCTCGACCTGGTTGTAGACCCGGCTTAGTTTCGACGGCTGTCTTGGCGGGGCTGCAACAGCCGCCCGGTGGCGGGGACGGTCTGGTGGAGGTCGAACGGGCGCGCCGAGTCTGGAGTGCAGTGAGGTGTACTTTGAGTCGCGAGCCTCGCGGGAGCACTCCGAGATAATGAAAATTGCGGATCTCTGTCGCAGTCCCGCCGGGCCGTCACGTGACTCACTGGGCCAGTGGTTCTCAACCTTAGGGTCGCGACCCCAAGTGGGGTCGCGAAAAAATTTTAAGGGGTCGCGGCGAGGTAGCTGGGGTCGTGTTTTGGGCCGATTTTAAGCAGCCACTGCGTCTGATCCGAGGCGGGCATTTTGCTCCCTCAACGGGCAATTGGTCTTTGAACCTTCCTTTAGCATGCCTTTGTTACGGAGTGTGATTATCAGTCTTAGTTTGGGAGCAGTATTGTCTCAAAGTTTACCAAAACGGTCAGAAATGTCTTTGAAAAATCGTGTTTTGGGCCGATTTTAAGCAGCCACTGCGTCTGACCCGAGGCGGTATTTCGTCCTCCTTCAACGGGCAATTGGTCTTTGGACCTTCCTTTAGCATGCCTTTGTTACGGAGTGTGATTATCAGTCTTAGTTTGGGAGCAGTATTGTCTCAAAGTTGGCCGAAACGCTCAGAAATGTCTTTGAGCACCCGTTGTGACTGTTTTGGTCAACTTTGAGACAATACTGCTCCCAAACTAAGACTGATAATCGCATTCCGTAACAGAGGCATGCTAAAGGAAGGTCCAAAGACCAATTGCCCGTTGAGGGAGCAAAATGCCCGGCTCGGATCAGACGCAGTGGCTGCTTAAAATCGACCCAAAACATGATTTTTCAAAGACATTTCTGAGCGTTTTGGCCAACTTTGAGACAATACTGCTCCCAAACTAAGACTGATAATCGCACTCCGTAACAGAGGCATGCTAAAGGAAGGTCCAAAGACCAATTGCCCGTTGAGGGAGCAAAATGCCCGGCTCGGATCAGACGCAGTGGCTGCTTAAAATCGACCCAAAACATGATTTTTTAAGACACTCTGAGCGTTTTGGCCAACTTTGAGACAATACTGCTCCCAAACTAAGACTGATAATCGCACTCCGTAACAGAGGCATGCTAAAGGAAGGTCCAAAGACCAATTGCCCGTTGAGGGAGCAAAATGCCCGCCTCGGATCAGACGCAGTGGCATGCTAAAGGAGGGGTCCCGTGGGGTCGTGAAACTTTTCCTGGGGGTCGCGGAAATTTTTGGCTACAAATTTGGGGTCGCGAGCCGAGAAAGGTTGAGAACCGCTGCACTGGGCCTTGGGCACCTCCCGCGCCGCGTGTGCGCCGAAGACGGGGAGATAAATGCATTTCCATTCTCGGTCGCCTATTGGAGTCCCAATTTCGGATGGGCCACCTTATGCCAGACGGTCAAGGAGCAAAGGGCTGGGCCCTTGGCGACAAATTTCTTCGGCTGCCTACGGCCTGGGATTAGGGCAAGCCGAGCCCGCCAAGTCCATCATGGGGGATGAGTTGTAATCAAGCCGCTCCTACGTGATTTTGCGTCCGTAGCCCTCATTATCAAGGCGATAAGGCCAGGTCGGGGATCGGACAAGCCTCTGGCCGCCTTGGCCGCGTGGACGTGTCTGCGATCGTGCGCTCGTCCTTGGTCCTTCGCCGATACGCCCGCCAGGCCGCCAAGCCGCCACTCGACGCGCCGGGACCGCACCGCCTGGATTCGCGCGGTTCGCAAGCTCCTCTCGAGTTACGGATTCGCGCTCGACGCTTTGGCATGACAGCGGTCGCTTAAGTCAGTCTTCCTCTTCGCCCGCAGCCTTCGCCATGTGTCCGCTGTGGCCGCTCCACTACCTGCTGCTGTACGCCATCATGCTGTGGCCCCTGCTCATGCTGTCCTGCGGCGTGGCGGCGCAGCTCGCCGGCGTGGCCAAGAACGGCGCGGGGCTGCGCGCGCGCTCGCCGCTCTACTGCGAGCCGCCCGCCGGCGCCGGCTACCTCAACGTGCGCTTCGACGCGCTGCTGGCCAACGGCACGGTGCTGGACCTGTACGACGGCGACGGCAAGGTGCCCATCGCGCTGGACGCGACCGCCAGGCTGCGCTTCAAGACGGAGGACTTGGACCCGGTAAGCTCAAAGTTCGCTTTATGGTGGGCCAGAAGACCGGCGCAGGCGGCCAAAACTCTAGACGCGTTTAGAGCTCCAGCGTCGCTAAATGGGACTCGAACCGAACGAGTGACCCCACCAATGGATTGCTCTCCGAACGAGGAATCCATTGGTGGGGCCACACGCTCGGTTCGAGTCCTGCTTAGCGACTCTGGAGCTCAAAACGCGCCTAGAGTTTTGACCGACTGCACCGGTCCACTGTGCGCTGGAACCAGCCGACTGACGGCCTTCCCTCTGTGCCCCTGCAGAACGACGTCCTGGACGGCGAGCTCTACCTGGAGGCCGTCAACCAGCACGTCGCCGGCGCCAGCCCCAAGAGCTACGAGATCGCGACGATGGGCATGGACGGCAACTCGCTGGCCAGCAGCTTCAACGTCACCGGCCTGTCCCTGGGTGAGTGAGGACGATGTTGCCTACCTTTGCATCCGCGCCTGGAGTGAGGTGGTAAAACGTTTTTCTTTTTATGCTCCTTTTACCTCTTGTTGATTTTGTTTTTGTGTGCGCGCAGGCAAGACTGACGTGCGTCTCCGCCTCCGCCACAAGAGCGCCGCCGTCGCCAACGGGGTGGCCTCGGACCGCTTCAGCGACTGCGTGCCCGTGGTGGTGACGCGGCCCAAGCGCGTCATCGACACCGTGTTCACCGCCAGCGTCGCCACCCTGGTCGCCATCATCTTCATCAACTTCGGCTGCGCCCTGGACTGGGACGTGGTCAAGAAGACCGTCAAGCGGCCCATCGGACCAGCCATCGGCTTCACGTCACAGTACGTCGTACTGCCCCTGGTACGAGGAAAACGCCAACAACAACTTTTATTTATGCTTTTGTCTCTTGCCTGGTGTTTTTCTCAATGCTCCATTGGCTCCCGTTTGCAGATAAGTTTCGGTTTGGCGAAACTGTTGTTCCCCAACGACGTGGCCATGCAGCTGGGCATGTTCTTCACAGCAATCAGTCCCGGTGGAGGCGCCTCCAACATTTGGACCTACCTGCTCGGAGGGAACCTCAACCTGAGCATCGCCATGACCACCATCAGTACCTTGGCTGCGTTCGGTGGGTGCCATTCTCTGCAACAGGGCTTGCTAGACATGTTCTCCACGGTGTTAAATCACGTTCCTTATTTTTATTTCCAGGCATGATGCCGTTGTGGATATTCACTCTGGGTCATCACATATTTCTAGAGGGCAAATTATCTGTGCCGTATGCACGAGTCATGGAGGTTGCGGTGGCACTTGTCATACCTGTTGGTATAGGATGGCTCATTCAAAGATATTTGCCTAGGATATCCAAATTTTTGGTTCGCATTCTGAAACCCTTCTCTACACTTCTCATTCTCTTCATCATCGTATTTGCAATCATCACAAATACATATATATTTGAACTGTTCTCGTGGCAGGTAATTATTCATATTTCCTCTACACTCTTTTATTCATTCTAATATTATCTTCTTTTTGAAATGTTACTTAACTCCCCTTATTTTTTGTCACAGATCGTTTTAGCTGGCATGGGGCTGCCTTGGTGTGGATATTTGACAGGGTTGTTACTAGCCTTGGTATTCCGTCAACCCACACCGGACATGATGGCAATATCTGTTGAAACAGGTGTTCACAACACAGGAATCTCTATCTTCATGTTGAGATCTGCTCTTCCTCAACCAGAGGCAGACTTGACTACAGGTAATGACACAATTTTTACCCCTCATAGATCTTTGTAAGGAACCTGCCAGCTTATAATATTTTTCTTCACATTTCCCAGTCATTCCTGTGGCTGTAGCCATCATGACTCCAATTCCACTTACTCTTTGGTATGTGGTAAAGCAGTTGCGTTCAAGATGGACTGTAAAAAAAAACGCCCGATACGAATTGAATGATGAAGAAAGGGCACCAGTTACAAACCAGACGGAACCTCTCACAATCATCACCACATCTAAAGGAGCATCAAACAATAACCATGATAAGTATTAGAAATTGAAAACATTCCGACCGGGCACATGAAAGCTGGAATGTTAAATTAAAAATTATTCATTTCATGCACTTACATCTTCAGTACCATTCATACAGTAGTTATGGGCATTTAAGCCAGTAAGGAAACAGGTTGTTTTTTTATTAAACCTTGTTTACTGTACCATTAGATTTAGTTTCTTGTTCTTTAGATTACTAAAGACCCTTCCACTTCATCTAAACTTATTTTTATATTTTCATCGAATGAGAAGAACATTAAGGTCTTGGCCAAAGGCATTGATGCATGTATTTGAGATAGTGTTATTGAACTGCTAACTCAAAGGAACTTAAAAGTAAGAGGTCACATTTTGTTTTATGTTTGACTTATGACCTGACCAAATGTATAGTGAGTACCTCTTCTCCTTTGTGAACAAAAACAAATTGTTGTACTTAATTCTGTTAAACACTCTCGGCAAAAGAATACTTTTTGATTTTTTTTGCTGGTAACAATTTGGTACAGTATCTGTCTTTTGTATGTACAATGAGGTTACTCTCAATCCTTCAAATAACAGGGTTGTGAACTTTTGTTTTTAATGTAAGTTCTTAATTACGTAGTTGTATTCTGTATTGACCAGTATGACAAGTAAGATACAGTCCAACTTGATCAAATCGGCTAATTTCTGATAATTGAGTGAACAAACCACCCTTTTTTTTATCTTGTACAAATCATCGAATGTGACAAGTCCTTTTCTTAAAGTGATCATCTATTGATTGATTCAAAGGAAAACTATCTTCAGAGATGATACCAATCTAAAAGAAAAGAACTAAAGTGTTTTAGATTTACATTTAATACAGGTAACAAAGTGGGCTCTTCCAGCCGCTGTCCCCTGTAGCAGCTCTCTAGTATTCTTTCTCAATCATACAGTTTCATCCAAAATCCTTGAGTCTGTGCAGGCACGAATAGGTAAGCGGGCATCTTGTACCACATCGCCCTCTCCTTCCGCCACTGAGTCTGTATGAATCATAAATTTTGCCGCGCAAATCAAGTCTGTGACTCACTTTTTAAGCGGGCATGTTCATAGCAATATATCCTATTCTTGTTCAGTTATTTATTTATTTTGGCAGAGAAGGGTAAAAATTCCGTCTATATTGTGGACTGTACTTGATCTCATTGAATTGAAATGTCAACATGGCTGAAATTAAGCTGTCTCCTAGAATTTGTTTCCAAGGGAAAAACTGTTGTTATTTCTTTGTTCGTTTTATCTCATTTAAAAGTTGAAACTTGTTAAATATTTTTTTGTAATGTCCTGGTGACATTCAATGTTGAAAGAAGCTGCAGCTTGATAGTATTGTTAAATTGACTTTGAAAACAATGGATTGATTGGGTTTGGTTTCCCATAAAATGGGACAGTATTTGTTTCCTTAGTGTTTCTGAGTTATTTTAAATAATTGAAAACCTATTGGTTAGTAAAAAAAAACTTTATCAACCATCTACGTGTTTTAAATCTTTCTCTGGACATAATTCCCACTGTCACATGATCATCTGTACACTGCACTTCTTACATGGCTTACTATAGGACTGTCCAGCAAACATCAGCAACAACTTACACCAAGCAAGCAACAGCCTATATCATGATTCCCCAAATGATTTATTTTTTTATTATATCAACGAAACCTCAATATGGAGAAATGGAACAAATTGGATTAAGTTTGGTACAACAGAAGAAATATGTCTGATTAGAGCAGATTTTTTTATTGAGTCTTGTTTCATTGCATTTATTACATTTTATTTATTACATTTTCTTTATTACATCTTGGGTTTCTGGGCAGAATTCGCCAGTTGGCCTATCCAGTAGCAGTAAGTGGATCCCTAAGTTCCATATAATTCTCTAAATTCTTATTCTAAATCACAGTTTACACTAGCGCTTTGCTGCATAGACAACAGCGGGTACTTTTGCATTAGACACAGACAGTCCGTAGGTAAGTAGCGTAGCCTATTCAAAAATTTCCAGCTTGGAGGAGTCAAAATCTGACAGCCTCCTACATTCGTTGTCTTTCTCACAAAGAACTGCCAATCAACGCGATTGAAAGGGAAGTCCCAAGACTCACGATTTAACTCCCAAGGTGGCGTGGCAGCTTCATCCCAATACAGACAGATGGCAGCACTGGCCGGAACTAGGCCTAGGCCCGTCCGACCATGGAACATGGCAAGTCTCTAGAACCTTAGAAGTAATTCCCTGCCTTCACGACAGATGGCCTTCGAGAGGCAAAGAAGCATCGAAAAAGACTATAAAAATTTCTGGACTTCGAAGGAAGACAGCCCACTCCGCGTCGTCGTTGTACATAAATGGTAAAAAATAACTTGCAGTTTCACTTTAGTCACAAATTTGGATTGACAAACTTTCAACGGCAGCGCCACTTGGCTACAGAGAGTCCGAGCAGGGGGTAGAGACGGCGCGACGGGACTGGGGGGTAGACTGGGGCGCGGGGTATCGACAACGTTATGCAACTTGCTTTTACTTCTCTGTTCGTTCTGTTCGGTCTTATCACACTTGGAGTCGCCCCTGCTCGGCCCGAGGCGAAGGGATCAGAACACACTAAGGTGGCGGCATGCATGCGCCCTGAGGGCCTCGAGGAGGGCGTGGAGGGACGGCGAGCGGCAGTGTAGGTTGTTCGTGTTCGTCGTTGGGTGCGGGGGGCTGGGGCGCACCTCGGCTGGAACGCCAAGGCCGGAGGGACGTCACCGCGAGGCCGAAGGGCCGCAGGACCGAAGGACGGCACGACGGGCAGGACGCGGCCAGGATCACACGGCGGTCGCAGTCATCGCATGCCGAGGCTGAGTCAGGGAGGGCAAAGTTTCCCGCGTCACATGGCGGGCTTTACAACAAACAGCCTATCTGTGGCCGACGGGCCGACGGGCCGACGCGACGCTCGCAGCGCGCGGCAGGGCAGGGAGTCCGCGCTCTCCGCTGTTCAACGGCAGAGCCGCGGACAAAAGCACCGCTTTCACCGCGGGCAAGTTGGCAGTGGCGTGCCCTGGGACTTCCCTGCCACGCCCTGGCCGAGCTGGGCGCTGGGTGGGGCACTGGTCACTTGACACAGTTTGGAATAGCCACCGACGGGCCGCGGGCCAGGCCCCTGGAGGTGGACTTGTCACTGACGCACTCGGTCGGACCGCGCGAGCCGCGAGCGTGTACAGTCGCCCAAACGCGGTTCGTCCTTGGCCTTTGTCGGCATGGCCTCGCCCGGTCGACGGGCAGGCTGGCTCGCCTGGCCTCGAGAAAGGAAGCATCTTTGCGTGTGGCGGCGGCGCCGCGCCATGGGATGGGCCGTGCCATGGGCCGTGCCCCGCCACTGTTCGGGCGCCAGGCGACTTCCGGGCAAGACGTCGCGTCGCGCCGAACCGGAAGCGAGGCCACGGCCCTCCGGAACGCGCCGAAAAGAGAGGCCCATGTGCGGCGCGGCTCAGGCCTGGAACAAAAGGAATCTGTGAAGATCGCCGGTTCGAATCCCGCCGTGACGTCAGTTTGGCGGCACGCAGTGGGCCAGAAGACCGGCGGCAGGCGGTCAAAATCCCGGACGCGTTTTGAGCTCCAGAGTCGCTAGGACTCGAACCGAACGTGTGACCCCACCAATGGATTCCTCGTTCGGAGAGCAATCCATTGGTGAGGTCACACGTTCGGTTCGAGTCCCATTTAGCGGCTCTGGAGCTCAAAACGCGGCTAGAGTTTTGGCCGCCTCCGCCAGTCTTCTGGCCCACTGTGCGACGGGGACACGTACGCTGCTCGCCTAGGTGACGACCTTCTCGTAGGCGGGCGGCGGCTGCTCGTCGAGCATGGCGATGTGGTACGGCGGCGGCGGCTCCGTGCTCAGCTGCTGCTCGGCCAGCTGCTCCTGCTGCACCTGCTGCAGTAGCTGGTGCTGCTGCGTGGGCTGGCCCGTCCCCAGGCCCGGACACGAGGAGTCCATGCCCGGCCGGTCGATCACCACCTCCTGCGCAGAGACGCCGGTGGGTTCAAACACCGCCAGTTTCGCTTTTTTGCGTTTCACCCGGTTCCACCGCGCAGCCTGCGACATTACCACGAGGTCGCCGGAGTCCCCGAGGTGCCCCCGCCGCAGCGCCCCGGGGCCGGGGTCCCTGAGCGCCGAGGCGGTGGCGGCGGCCGCGGCGGCGGCCAGCTGCGAGTTGACGCGCGCTCGGCAGATGGACGCGGTGCAGCCCACCATGAGGAAGATCATGAGCAGCAGCGACAGCACCATGGCCTCCATGCCGGAGCTCTGCGCAGAGGGAAAGAGTCAGGACGCAGTGTAGGCGACGGGGCGTTTTGAGCTCCAGAGGCGCTAAATGGGACTGGAACCGAGCTTGTGACCCCACCAATGGATTCCTCGTTCGGAGAGCAATCCATTGGCGGGGTCACACGGTCAATGCGAGTCCCATTAAGCGACTCTGGAGCTCAAAACGCGTTTAGAGTTTCGGCCGCCTCCTCCGGTCTTCTGGCCCACTGTCCGCACCTGGAAGTCGAGGTAGAACTTGGTGCCGGCCACGAACACGGACGCCAGCGCGAAGGACGCCCACAGGCCGCAGGTGAAGCGGTCCATGAGGACGGGGGGGCTCTCGTGCACGGGCAGCGGCAACGCGCCGATGCCGAACATGTCGGCGCGGTCCGAGGCCATGCCGCCGGCCGAGGCATGGTGCAGCGCGGCGTGGTGCGCGTGGTGGGCGTGCGGCCCGTCCAGGGGGATGTCCACCAGCAGCGCGGGGTGGCCGTGCGGACGGATGCCCGACCCCGTCGAGCCTCTGCAACACGCAACGCCAAAATCACCTCCAAGCCACATTCAAACGCCTCCATTAGTAACATTTATCCCCACGGCCCGCTACGTTGGAGAGATGCCTTTCCTCTTTGCCAGGCTGTTTACGGGCCGTCCCTCGCGCGTCCATTTCCCCCGAACGCCAAAGGAATAACTTGGCCGTCCTCTCGCCCTCGCCCGGTGTCGCTAGCGTCGCCGGGCCTCTCGGCCAGGTGCTTGAACCCGCAACCCGCGCGCCGGCCGAGGTACGCGTACGGCGTCCGCGGCACGCGGCGGTAGGCTACGCAGGCACGCGGTGAAGCCCTGGCCTGGCTGCCCCTTTCCCAATGCGAGGCGGAGACGCACCGAGCTGCAGGCTCAATCCGAACAGGCTGACTCCCTCGCACTCGTGGGGCGTCCCGCAAGGGCGCGAGAGAGACACGACGCTAGCCGCGCGCAAAGTCACTTTGAGGCCACTTCGGCACTTGGGGGCCGCGAACTGCGCGCTGCGCACACGGGGGTCGCGGTAGGAATGCGACATGAGATGCGACACCAGATACAGTCATGCAATCGCTGCCCTGCCGGCCTGCCCGTGTTCCCCTGTTTGTTTTGGTCTAGGGAGCGCGGCGTGCTTCGCGCTTTGCGCTGGCTGCGCTTAGAGTCCAAGTCCGAGTACGCCTGCTGGGTGGGCGAAGGAATGTTACCCTCGGAATACAAGTCTAGCCGTTAGGCAGCTGAGGGCCGCTGAAAGTACCATACTTTTGTTGCTCACTCGTTGAGTGAAAGGGTGTGCCCTACAGTGCCATGGCCCACCGTGCCGCCCTGGGCCGCCCTACAGTGTGGCGGGCGTCGCGTCCGCGTCACGCAGGTCATGAGGCCCACGGTGGCTGATACGGTCGCGGTGCCGCGGTGCGGCGATAAGGTGACTCCGCGTCTCGGCGACTCGGGCGCGGACTTTTGCACCGGCACTGTCACAAACGCAAGTGCAGCGTAGAACGGGGTTGAGGGGCTGCGGCGCGGCGTCCGTCTCGATAAAATTAAAACGACACGGCAGCGGCACGGCCAGCTGCCGGCTAGGTCGCGGATAGGTTATCCCCGGGGCATCTCAAATCTCAAACGGAAACAACAGCCCCACGCGTCCGGCTGTCTCTCTCGCACCTCTACGGGACGCCGCCCATGAGACCGCGCGACGGAGGCAGATTGTTTTCTATCAGTGGAGTGGGCTCGGGACTTGCTGAGGACAGGCGCCGGTCCAGGGTGTTTGTAAGGAGGAGGCGATTTTTGCCAGTCCTGCCTGTTGCCTGCCTTCCAGGCGGTCTGGCTAGTACCCAGGGGGTAATTCAACCTTCATTCCCCGCCTGGCTGATGGAGCCTGCTCTACGTACATGTACGCGAGGTGGGGCCGCGGCCGCGGCAGTGCGAGGTGGGCGCGGGCGGCGCGGGCGAGCAGCGGCGCTGGCGGCAGTCCGGGGGTCCCCGCCGTCACCGAGGGCACGCGCCGCGACCCGCCGGACGCCCCCGAGGAGGCCACCAGGCCGGCGGCGGTCAACGCCGACGGCGCCGTCGTGGTCCCCGACGAGGAGGCGTCCCCGTTGCCGCGGTGCACCCCCGGCGCCGTGGTCTTGGCGGCATTCTGCGAGCTGGAGCGCGACGACCGGCCGGGGCGGCGCCGCCGCTGCTGGGCTGCTCCGGCTGCAAGCAATGACGGCCAGGTTCAGACAGGGTGGCGGTTCGCCGGCGGTGGTCAACAAGGAAAACAACTTTCACATGAATTTTTCTCCGCGGAAATCCCTCGCGGCTGCGTCGCCGCCAAAGCCAGTGCACGGCCAAGGTGGCCAAGGTGCAGTCCTAATTTGGTCTGGCGCTAATGGCCAAGCGTCTCGGCTTCTCGGCGTCTCCATGCGCGACTCCGGGCCGCCATGACGTCACCGACGCGGCCAGGCCTTCCTGGCCGCCGCGCGTGCCGCTCGCGACGAGGAGTGTGTACTTTGAGGCGTGCGTGCTGCTGGCGGGATGGCTGACGCTGCTCTGCAATTTCGCTCTCCGAGGACGTCTACCATCCGGCCAATTGAGACGCGTGTTTTCTGGAGTCGCTCGGATGGGCAGTCATTTGCGTAGTACTGTCTTTAAGCACGGACTTTGCATGGAAGCTCCGTGACACTGTATTCGAAGCACACCAAAAGCACGTCCCGCTACGGTTGGGAAAGGCATGCTGACAACACACACAGCAGAGTGGGCCCAAACTTGCAAAAACGAAAACCAATCATTTTCAGGTCGCACACGAAAAGTCACACGCACACACACACACGCACACCCGTGCAAGTATCACACTCCAAAATGCACAGCACGCCGCCCAGTGTGTGTCGAGACCCCTGGAGTTGCCGCTGCGGACTGACTTGGGACTTCCCCGGGGAGGTGAGTGAGAGAGACTTACGAGGTAGCCTACTCGAGGACAGCGAGGCGGACACCCGCTGGCTGTAGCGGCCCCCGTGGTGCGGCACCGAACCGGTGGCACCACGCTTGTCGATCCAGAAGTGCATGGCGGCTGTGTCCAAATCTGGTGAGACAGACAGACAGAGAGACAGGAACCTGAGAGAGAGAATGAGTGTGGCGGCGGTGGGCCCACATGGCGGCAGACTTTGGATGGGTTGTACAGTGCTTGTGCGAAGCGTGGTGCGTTCTCTCTCTAACGTGTGGGTGGCGTGGGCGAGCAAGCATACTGCCAAGCTATGAGAAAGGAAAGCAGATTTGGGTGGATAGAGCTAACAGATGTAATAATAATCAGAACTTAGATACTTCAAGAAAAAATTACTGTTTGCTCTGAACCCTTTAATTAAAAAATTAATAAAAACCACAAAAAAAATTTCAATCGATTTTTTAAAAATTATTTCCGAGATTTTTGTAGATTTTTGAGCTTTGCGCCCCTGCAAGCGCGCGAGTTGCGTAGCGACACAGCTGTACTCCGCTGGAGAGTCAGAGTCAAGGTTAGGGCGCATGCCCCTTCCCCGAGGTGGTCTACTGGCAAGGCGTTTGGCGAAAGCTAAATGAAAAGCAGCACCTACCCCGGTACCGCTGGCTTCCTCTGCTCACATTGGACCAGCTCGACGAGGCGGGGGTGCACTCTGCCATTCAAAACCGAGGGGTTTGATCAAAGTTGATGGGGCGCAAAAGTGGGGGGAATCAGCTCTCGGCATGGACGCAGCGCCCAGCTGGAGAATTGGCCTGCTGGTGCCAGGGTTCGCTCCGCGCTGTGAGGGCCGTCGACGGACACGCGGACGCCATTTCTGTGGTCCCACGCTGCTCCAGGATACTCCAGGATACTCCAGGATACTCCAGGATACTCCAGGACGGCGAGGGGCCTCGGGAAGGGCCGAGGGAGGAGGAACGCGGTGCCCGTCGACGGGGCTGTTTTTCCGTCTGCGCGCGAATGTAGGTCTACGAGGCGCTGGCCGCGCTGGCCGTGCTGCGCGTAGGGCTGGTATGCTAGGGCTGGTATCGATCGGGGAATGGGTTGGAGCCACGGCGGAGCCAGTGTGGTGGTGGTGGCGGCGCCGGAGCTGCCCTGCGCCCTGCGCCCCACTGGCCGCCGCCCCCGCCACCCCCTGCCGCCTCCTGCCACCCTCCAGCAGGGCGAGTCGCTCTGTCTCTGTCGCACTCACGGGGCGGCCCGCAGGCCGCAGGACAAAGAGGCGCGGCGCTCCGGTTGCAAGCCGAGCAGCCTGGCGTGGCGGCATGCGACCAACCGAGTCACTTTCCCGAGTGCATTCGGAGAGAGGCCAGCGGCCCAGCGAGCGTGCAGTCACTGCACAGTGCAGGTGCAGCAACCCGCCTGGGAAAAACGGAGCCAGACACCGAGGCGAACCGACACTCGGCGCACTGGGCCTCGCGCGGAGGAGTCGCGTCGCAGGCCGCTTCAAAACGTTCAAAACCCGCGCGGCCCACCGCGTGCCCCGCAGCGGCTTGCTACCAACCTCGCGGAAAATGTTGCGTCCCTGCACGTCGAAAACCAAGTGTTGGCCGCCGTTTCTGCAGAAGAAAATTCAAACTTCAATTTAGTTTTCTGAGTCGTCTTCATCATAGAGTGAAAGCAGAATCAGTGACTTTGAAATTTCGAAGTGGTCGCAACTGGTCAGATTGTTTCGGGACTGGCAACACTGGGTGTACAGGGTATAAACTGGAACGGACCCCTGTATCGATTTAATGAAAACACGAATGGCTGTCGAGGTCAACTGTGTGTGTTGTGATGTGCGTGTATCAAAGTCTCGTCTATAAGTGAATCGTTTTAAAATGAAAAGTATTTAGTTTGGTTGTTGCACTTCTAATTATGCATTCAATAGTATACACGGGTAGGCTTTTGTCTCGAGCGATATGGAACGGAATAACAAATTATACTACAACTTCAGCGGAGGCCTCTGTGAGCAGAAAACGGGAACCACATTTAGTACATGCAGTTTGTGGGTTCCCAAAAGACTTTACTCAAGCCATTCTAAAAAAAGGACAGTTCGGTGACGATGCCTGGTTCCATGCGCTTAGCAAAACCACCGATGTCATTGGTAAGTGGATATTGTCAATGTGGGTCTTGGTTGGGGCAGTGGCAATCGTGGACGTTGATGCTTCCCCGCACGACAATGAAAGTCACGGGCATCCATCCGGGTATTTCACAACACGGAATACAGCGTGGAATCGCGTCACAATGAATGAATGTTTGTCAAATTTGGTTGCCAGGAGGTCCGAAATTGGGGGAATATCGTTGTCAAGAGGTTATATTTCTTATTTAAGTTCCTAAGAGAATTGCACATTTGACCTCTTCTTGTTTATTATTTCTTTGGACTTGCCCAGTTAGCTCTCAGCATTTCATTTTCTATTTTTCTGTATCATGTTGTCTAAATGAGGCAAATCAAACAGCATTTCTTTATGATTATTGTTTGCTTTATATTTTAGGTGTTGCGGATGGTGTTGGTGGGTGGAGAAATTATGGAATTGACCCTGGTGAATTTTCGTCATTTCTCATGAAAACATGTGAGCGCTTAGTGTGCAGTGGTAGATTGAAAAATGTATTGCCTGCAACTCTACTTGCCAGAAGTTATTATGAACTTCTCGAAAGCAAGCAACCTATATTAGGTAAAAATTCTTTCATCTCTGATTATTAAAGTTAAAATGGTAAAACATTGTTTTATCTTATCATTTATTTTCCACAAAATTCCAGGAAGCAGTACTGCCTGTGTCATTGTTCTCAACAGAGAAACCTGCCAAGTCTATACAGCCAACATAGGGGACAGTGGTTTTGTTATTGTCCGGCATGGTGAGGTAGTTCATCGATCTGAAGAACAACAGCACTATTTCAACACGCCTTTCCAACTCTCATTACCTCCCCCTGGGCGCAGTGGCTTGGTGTTGAGTGACAGGTAGGAAATTCTGTTTTACTTGTGTAAAGAACAAGTTTCACTGTAAAAGGATGTCCCACTTATTTTGGGGTGTATTCAATCAACTATTTCGATTTAATTTCCTGTGTATTTCTATCCAGCCCTGATGCTGCTGACACATCAAGTTTCCCAGTAGAAGATGGTGATGTAATTCTTCTAGCCACTGATGGTGTGTTTGACAATGTACCTCAGCAGTTACTTGTAACAGAGATGACAAAATTGCAAGGTGAAAAGGACCCATGTAAGATTCAAGGTGTGGCAAATTCAATTGCCTGGATGGCTCGCAACCTAGCGTTTGATAGTACTTTCATGTCGCCATTTGCCGAAAGTGCTCGGCACAATGGAATTGAAGCAGTAGGTGAGTTTGCAGAGACCTTTCTATGTTAATACCATAGCCAAATTTACATATTGAAGAAATGTTACAAGTTTTAAAGCTGACTTCTAGACGAGTCCTGTTAAAAATTAATTGTATTTTGTTTGTTTCAGGTGGCAAGCCAGATGATATAACAGTACTATTAGCAACTGTTGCAATATGAGGTGGCTCCATTCGCTTAGGTTGTTGTCATTTGTTTGTACCATAAGTAGTTCCCTCTTGAGTAGGGGTAGGCTCATATTCATCAAGAGGTTGTGTGTTTGGGACTGAAAAGGGTTGTGTCATTGCAATATTGAAATTAATGCAAAACCCTTTGTTAGTCCGATGTTACCAGAGGATTAAATCAGTGCCAGGAAGCAGTCAGTAAAAGTAATATTTACTTAGAATACTGTACTTTTAATCATTATACAAATGTGATTTTTGCACAAATGTTTTGAGATTTTTATCCAACTTGCTAAGAAGACTGGTTTGTTATCCTCTATGATTGTGATGTGCACTGTTGATAGTTGATAAGATTGCATTGTTTACCTATGGCAAGCGTTTGCATTTGTCATTGTCATTAGTGCACCGTTGTTGCCACGTCATAAGTACGCTTATTGACTTGTGCACATCTTTCATGGCAAATGTTCAGTCGCTGTCCTTGTTATTGGGAAGATAAATATTTTTACTTCCTTGTTCATGTTATTAGTGTTTTAATACCATTGTCTGTAATTGTTTGTCATTCAGTGAAGAATCCTCCATTGTAAATATTTTCCATTTTCACCCTCAGAGATGTTAAACAACGGCAACTTTTGTAAGAGAAAAATAAGTTTTTCATTGCATTTACTCAAAATTGTTACTTTTGTGTAATTTAGTTTATTTTCTTTATGTTTTAATTTTGTCTGAAGGTATTTGTATTGTGTGATTGAAGGCTCAAGTGAATGTTATTAAGGAGAATGAATCGAGAGGAAAAATAATGGTTTGCCCAAGAGTTGTTTTGAGTTTTTATTTTGAATAAGGATACGAGCTAATGTGATAGTTTAGTCTTTGTAAGTCCAGGTGCTCTGATAAATGACATCAGTTCTTAGTTTTGGTAGCAGGATCTTTTTGAAGAAAAAAGGAAATAAAGAGGCCTCTCAGAAAGGAAAACAAATCCCGGTGAACATGACATCACTTAAATTTGTATAGTGGTGTTGAAAGTGAAAATGCTATCCAGTGAACAATATTGAACAATGCTTCATCCTCGAACTAATGAACCCATTGCATATAATCAGGCATCAGTAGTAGTGAAATAGTTAAGTTGAGTGACTGAGGAATTAATGCTCATGTGTCTCAAGGGCCAAGATAAGTAACGCAGGTGGGGGTCTGCAATGCCCAAAGTCATGACAGTACTCTAAGTCTAATCTGATAATGTTCAGTCTAGTTTGGAAACTCAATGCATGCTCTCGTTTTTCCTGATATTTTATTTTGTACCTAGTCAGTTCTGCAGAGTGTGAAGAAAGATCCATTATATTGGTGCTAAAAATATTTCTTGGAAGAAATTGTGAACCAAGGAGGATTTTGGGAAGTGAAATTTCAGAATAAAGAATGCTTGGGTCCTCTCCTGAAACTTCATTTTACTTGCAATGAAAGAAAAATCATTACATTATGCCACAGGCTCTCTCTGCAAGTGACAAATTTCCTTGATTTCTTTTGGCTTAGATGCAAACAAAGTAATACATTGAAAAAAAAATCTCTCTGTACTTTCATTTCATGCAAGTCAATTGATTAAAAGATTGAAAAGCTATTTTGATGAACAAAATATGGAAACAGAAATTAAACTGGCAATCTTACTTGGCCTAGTCAATATTTAGACAAAAGTGGTGGGGAAACACGATATAAGCTACAAGATGCACAGCTACGCATCAACATATGCCGTCAGATATTTAATTCATGAATTCTAAATCACACCTAACTCCTCATGACTGAGTAAATGCTTGATTACACTGAAGTGTTATGTTCCACAAATAATTTTTAAGAATATTTACACACGCTAAAAGATACAAAAAAAAGTGATAAAGGCTATTAAGGAGCATAAATCTTGAGTGTTCTGTCCATACTTGTTGAAGCAAGGTATTGAGCATTGCGGCCAAATCGAACACCTGTAGCCATGGCAGTGTGATCATTGAATACTTTAAGTTCTTGCCACTGTTTGCACAAGTAGACCCTAGAAGAAAACAATGCAACCATGAAATACTAAGTAGAGTGAAGAAACTCAACAGATAATGACACATCAACCTAACAGCAACTCACCTAACATCTGTACCAGCAAGAGCAAGGTATGTACCACTTTGATCAAAGCACAAATCTTTGATTTCAAAGTTATTGTCAAGTTGTAAGGTCTTAAAGTTCTTCAATTTTCGTAGATCCCATAACTTAACACATGCATCATCGGCGGCTGTTGCAAGGTAATAACCATTCTCAGAGAAAGAAATGGCAGTGATAGGACCAGAATGACCTGTGGGCAAAAGAAAGTAATGTTAGTTAGTACAGTTGGAAGATGCTCTTTAACATTTCAGTTTCAATTTGAAGGTGTACTGAAATGACATACCAGCAAAGTTAGCAACGTTGGATTGCTCCTTCAGGTCCCAAATCTTAACTTGAGAGTCTGCAGTACCAGTACCAAAGATTAAACCATCAGGGTGGAACTGAGCTGTTGTAAGACCAGTGGAGGCTTGATCAATGACCTGAAAATATATTAAAACATGTGAAATCAAGGTCTGCATTTGCATTAAAGAGTATTTTTAAAATTCAAAGAAACCCTTTTTGTAGTTATTACCTTAGTGAGAAGCCTTCCTGAGCGAATATCTGAGAAGGCCCAGTGCTGGTCAGTAGAAGTAGACAGCACAAAGTCTCCAGTTGGGTGAAGGGACAATCCTGTGACAGGGCCATCATGAACACGAAGGAGCTGAGTTGTTTGAGATACGGGAACATTCCATACTCGGATGGTAGTGTCAGGGGATGCTGTGATAACCACATCCTGAAATAGTAATACAAAAAATGAAACGTGTTAAAAAAAAATGATTGTGAAATGCAATGACAACTATTTTCATGATTGCCTACCTCATCCGGATGATATATGACACGTGTGACTTTCTTGGTGTGACCCTTCAAAATAGCAACCACTTGTTCTGTATCTTTGTTGAAGACAGTGGCATTACGATCGTTTCCTCCAGTGAGGATCTTGCTTGTGTCAGAGCTATGTACATCCAAAGAGAGGATACCAGGAACACTCGCACTGTGTAGACCCTGCACAAAGCAAACACTACAATAAGTACAGACACAATAAATCATTCGATTAAAAACTTGTCAGAAACATAAAAACAGAAGTAAATTGGTAAATATGAAAGTAACAAAAGAATTCTTACGGGATGAGAAGAAATAGTATGAAATCCTCGAATGGCATCAACACCAATAAGGTCTTCCGGTACTGTGCGACCCCTCTTCTTACGCTCTTGAGTCAAAACAGTGGCCTTCTCTTGGAGTTTCTGGATAACTTCTGCAGTCATACCAGCTTGTTCGGCCGGCTGAATAGCCACACCAGTAGCCTCGGCAGCAACAGCCTAGTGCAATAAAAAATTAGAGGTAAAACAAGAGCACTTCCCACAATATTAAAGTATATTTATGTTTGGAAAAACATCTAACCGGCTGCGGCACTCCAGCTGGGGCAGCCATGGCACCAGCTTGAGGTTTGAGGGTTGCCAGGGCCTCACGAGCAGCCATGACTTCCTTCTGCAGACGAGCAATAACTCGGCAGGCAGCATCGTGTTGGTAAAGGGCGTGACTCAGTTCCTGCCTGGCCGTTTGGAGTTGCTGTCTCTGCGTGAAACTGTGCAGCATCACGGCGTCCCACTCGTCCTGAAGGGTCTTTAGGATGGCAGGGATGCTAGTTGCGGAGGGGGGCTTAGGCTTTACAACCGCTGGAGCTGTAACAAAGCTATTGCGTTAGTCCAGGAAACAAATGAACATATGGGTGACTTGCTGACAGGTCAGTGATGAGTTCTTACACTTGATGTCAATCAACATTTCTGCTGATAGCTCCTTATTATTGATGGGATCGACGCCATTTTCAATAAGGTATTTTTCGATAAGTCTCTTCTCAAAGATGGATCCCGAGACAGGAGAAACCACTGGATGCTCTGGCACCTCATTGGAAACTGCGGGAGAAAGAGATAAAATCTAATTAAAAGATGAAAACAACGAAAATTCTTCGATAAAACAATAGTAAAGTGGAAGAGAGGGGGACCACAAAGATACAAGAGAATGAACAGGTTATGGAACCAAACCGACAGACTACATAACCTCAAAGCAATTGACATTATAGCCCATTCCAAGGCAAAACAGAACAAAACCAGCACTTAAACAGAATTGGAGCATAGAAAACACCTAATTCCAGCACACTGGGATAAATAGGAGGACAGTGTAAACAAATTCAGCGAGCTGAACGAAGTCGGGACACCGACGCGCCAATATCGGCGCCTCCGGTAAAACAATGAGCCCCGTTTACTTACTGGCGCAACAGAGTGACATTTTGAGGCTTTGCTGTCAAAACTGGCGGCACGCTCGGGGCGTTGTAAAAAGCCCTCTCCGACGACCCAGACGAAGAGAAAACTTTGACGAGCGCGACGCCGGCACCGCACCACACACGCTTTTCCAAACACCCTGGGACTCCACCACGTGCGAAATGACCTATCGCTGTCCCTCTCGCTCCTGCGCGTCGCGATACGGGGAGAGACGGAGACGGAGATAGGCGGATGCGGACGCAGCCGCGCGTGGCGATCTCGGTTTTGATTGGCCAGTTCGGCCGCCTGGAAAGCGCGGGCTTATTCAAACGCTGTCGCTCACGACGCAAGCAACGAACAAAGCTCCGTCGCTCTCATTGCTCTCATTGGGCGTTCCGCGAGAGTCTAAAAGAGAGACAGAGCGACGAAACGATCCTTCAGGATATCTCGGCTGCCAGTGTGCCATCATGGAAAGGGACTATCCTGGGCTTTGCTGCTGCATGGCCGTCAGGCCGTCCTCATGTCCTTCGTCCTGCGTGGGTGTGAAGCTATGCATTTGTCGGATGACACAAGACAAAGGTGTGCGGTGCCTCGCTAAGCGGCCCTTTCGCCCGATTTCGATTTCCACCTCCAGACCTTGTCCCTGGCCCACTTTAAAGTAACACAGTTCCTCGCCAAGGCTGTCGCGGGTTTTCTTCCTCCTCCTCCTCCGAACGCGGAGCGATGCGCGATGCGCGCGGTCTGGCGCGGGTGTGTCGCCAACGATTCCGGTGGACTCTGCCCCCGCGAGTCCGCCACCGCCACTCGCGCGCTCGTCGCGGATTTTCGTTCTTTGTTACGATCCGCGATGACGTCACAGGGCACAGGGCCTTCGCCGCCTTTAGAGGCCTCAGCCGCCTTTAGAGGCCTCAGCCGCCTTCGCCGCCTTCGCCGCGCGAGCCATGGCGTTAGCACTCTAGCCCGAAACAGCAAACGACAAAATGACCTCAATAGCAATCGGCTGGCTCACTCGCTGTTTTCGTTGGGTTTTTGCCTTTTTGTTTCTCCGACGAGCGAAGGGTTGCCTAACTTCCGGGGGCTGCCCGACGCCCGCCGGAGGGCTGGGGGCGGCCGGACGTCCCGCGCAAACCGCAAACCACCGGACGAGGCAAAGGGTCCCGGCTAGCGTTTGATCAACAAGGGCCCGAAGGGCCGCGAGAGAGAAAGACAGACTCCTCGCTGCCCTCGCACGTCCCACAGTGGGCCAGAAGACCGGTGGAGGCGGACAAAACTCTCGACGCGCTTTGAGCTCCAGAGCCGCTAAATGGGACTCGAACTGAACGTGTGACCCCACCAATGGATCCCTCGTTCGGAGAGCAATCCATTGGTGGGATCACACGTTCGGTTCGAGTCCCATTTAGCGACTCTGGAGCTCAAAACGCGTCTAGAGTTTCGGCCGCCTCCACCGGTCTTCTGGCCCACTGTGCGTCCGCGTGCGTCTCCCCATGTTCGGCACCCTCTGTCCCTCTCACTCTGTCCCCGGTGGCCTTCTAGCCGGGTTCATAATTTCCTTCGGATAAATCTAATCGGCGGCATCGAGTTCAGTTTGGCCGCCGCAGCTGGAGCCGAGGCATGGAATCTCACCCGACACATCGCGATGGTGCGGTGAGGTCGCGCTGCGCTGATGGACGTGCTGTCTCTCTCGCACCCGCGGGGCGTGCCGTGGGTGCGAGAGAGACAGACGACCGAGCAACACGAGTGGCCGTCGTGGACAGCGCGCGCCGTGCGCGACACCCGGTGGGACACGTGGACACAGTGGAGGATCTTTCTCTCTCGCACTCCTGCGCGGCGCCCAGTGGGTGCGACCGAGAGAGAGGGAGACAGAGAGCAGAATAGGGAATGGGTAGTCGGCGTGGGGCACTTGTCGGCGTGGCGGCGTCCACGTCAAATGCTAATGTCGCTTCACCTAGTGCTGGCGGCCTGGCGGCGCGGGCTGGCGCTTGACCTGGTGCCGCTTGACCCGCGAACAGCGCGAACCTCTGTCCGCGAGCCTCACCTCGGAAAGGCCGAACGGCGGCACTTTTCGGTTCGGGACGGAAACGCCCCAAGTCGGCGGTTCGCGACGCCGCGCCGCCTCGCTCGACAAACAGCCGCGGACGACGAGTGAGGCTTCACTCCCTGCTATTCGCTGCGGTCGCCGACGAGAAAGATGAATGACATTATATTTCAGCGCTACGCGTTCATTGTGTCCGAAGGGAACGGCCTCAAGTCGAGCAGCACCGGGCCGACGGCTGGGCCAGAAGACCGGTGGAGGCGGACAAAACTCTGGACGCGTTTTGAGCTCCAGAGTCGCTAAACAAAACTCGAACCGAACGTGTGACCCCACCAATGGATTCCTCGTCCGGAGAGCAATCCATAGATGGGGTCACACGTTCGGTTCGAGTCCCATTTAGCGACTCTGGAGCTCAAAACGCGTCCAGAGTTTTGTCCGCCTCCACCGGCCTTCTGGCCCACTGTGCGACGGCTGGGCCTGCGACCTCGCGACCCCCCGAAGGTACCCGAAGGCACCCGAAACGCGGCGTCGCCGAGTCTCCGAGTGACGCCCCCGTGACCCAGAGAAAATTGCAACCGCAGTTTGTTGGGAATAACTGGGTCCGCGGAGGTAGGAACACGTCAATGGCAATTGGCTCTGGAAATTACACCCACACACACTCACTCACACACGAGAGAGGATTTTTACCGCAGTGGGGTCGGGTCGTCAGTCGTGGCGGGCCTGCGTCTGGCCTGACCACGGTCGTGCTTACGGTGTGGGACACCGACGACACCGCGTTCGGCAACGCGTTCCGTGACGCGGGCAACGCGAGGGAGTAACCGATGCAGGGACCTCGCGGTAATACGTGTGACGTGGAGGGAGCCCCCGCGGCCCCACGTCCGCGTGTCAACGTGTATGTATGTATGTATGTATGTGTGTGTGTGTGTGTGTGAGCGAGTACGTAGGACCACACGACGACATCTTGACACGACACAGCCTTGCCCGTGCCTTGACCCTTGTACCCAAACCATCTTGTTTCACAGTGGAGGAGAGGAAAAGCTCCTGCGCGTCGCCATGGCGACGCCGGACCCTTTCTCTGGGCCTCTGGGCCGCCCCTGTCCCTGCCCGCACCCTTCTCCAGTGTCCCGGTTATCACCACCACGCCGCGCGGACCGCGTTCCTGGAAGTTTGTCTGGAGCTGAGCGGCTGAAGCTGCTCCGTTTCATCAGCCGGGTCGCTTGGCAAGCTTGGCAAGCTTCGCGTGCTGCGCGGAGCGGGCAGCGCTTCGCAGAGCTTCGCGCGGCGCGCAGCTTCCGAGCGGATACCCGTCGCGCACCACCGGCGCCACCTGCACTGTGCACGGTACGCCCCACCTGCCCCGATGACACACTGACTGATTCCGAGAGTCGGATCCGTCGCGCCGTCTCTCTCTTTCACTCACGCGGCGTCCCGTGTGGGTGCGAGAGAGACAGAGTCGGTCCTGGCGCCGCAGGGAAGTGCCAGCGCCAGCATGAGACTAGTCTCATGGCGCCAGCCAGGCCGCTGGAAGAATCGGCTCTACTTTCGGGGAGTTCAGTGTTCCTCTTGGTTTCGTTTTGGTTTTTTAGTTTGTCCAGGTCAAGCTGACGCTGGCTCAAATCCTGCAGAGAGAGAAAGAGAGAGATGAGAGAGATGGGCGTAGGGCGTTAGCGACCAACCACCTGTTGCGTGCTGCTGGCTGCTTGCGCGCGCGGCCGCCAGAGCGCGCTGCCGGCGGCAGACGGGCTGACGGAGAGAGAGGCAGAGCGAGAGGAGAGAGAGAGACGCGGCGACGCGAACGCGAACGCGAACACGTCCCAGTCAAGTTCAGGCAGTGGTGTTGGAAGGAGCGTTGGCTCGCGCAGAGACAGACTTCTGTCTCTCAACTTGATTCCCGTGCGGGTTTCAACAGGAAGACCGCGGTAATTTCAATTTCTCGTGAGGGCTCGCAAAGAGGGCGAGCCTGGCTTCGAAGCCCAGCCCTGTCCGGCCCGCCAGGTCCCGACATTCTAACCTCAACGCGGACGCGGCGCTCCGTCCGTGACACCTCCACTTTTCAGCCTGTGAAATATTTCATCGGAGAAACTGTCATCGTTTCCTCCGTGTGTCCGCCAGTCCGTGACGTGAAGTGAAATTTTGCAGTGAGTTTCGCCGACGCCGTGGTGTGTTGGGGCGGCCGTTCCAAAGTGCACAAGTGGAAACTTTGAGGAAGTTGTCAACTTTCTCTGGCGCGTCGCGGGCGACAGTGCTCGACTCATCGTTCTCGGCGGATTGTGCTTCAAGCAGCAACTTAAAGTGTGAAGGTGAGTGCCTCGGCTGCTGTGAGTTTCGCTGCCCGCTTCCACGAACTTGCACGGGTTCTGCTTCTCCTCCAAGACCTTGGCAGACGAGCTGCGTCGTCAGCAGTCAGCAGCAGTTTGGAGAGGGAGAGGGGGGGGGGGACGCGGAGGGGGGGAGGGGGAGTTTTGTGGAATACTCCTGAATGAAGCCCCGCCTGTTGCACTTGCAAAACACAAGTTGCCACAGACTTTGAAAAAAAATAAAAAAAAAATGGGGACATTCTTAAGTTGTAAATTGCTCTGCCGCACTAGGTTTTTCCATGTTGAATAAATTTGTCTACAGTTCTGAACTTATTCCTATGGATGACTGTCATTTATTAGTACAGTACGTATTTGTGTGTTACTTTTTCAGCACCTTGCATTATGTATTTCGTAGTAACTTCTCTGGAAATCTATTGGGAATGTAACGGTTCCAAACGATCAACAACGTCAGTCAGTCAGTGCACTCTCAACGTTATTTAATTAATTTTTTGCCAGCTCCAAGTTGAAGGCAAGTCCACGTATCATGTTGGTTTAACTTAAAAGGAATCATTCAAGAGTGGTATGTAAGGAGAAGACCTGTGCGGTGCAGCCAAATTATGAATGTCTCAGTGACGCGTAATTTTTGTCGCCACTGTCTGGGTTGCGGAAGGGTGACGGAATGCCTGGCTGGTGCAGGAAATTGGAGTGGTGCCGTGTCATGGTGACGTCGTTCGGCAGACGGTCGGCAATGCACCGCGTGGTAATGCATTGCTTCATTATGAATAATGCAAGGGAGGGGAAGGGAAGCCCGTGGCTTACGTGAGGGCAGTCGGGAGCAGCCTGGGCACAGCCTGGCGCGGCGCGTGCGGGCAGGGCCGCCTGGGCTGACCTGCCAAGGGAGCACACTTTTCAATCTTGTTCAAATAAAATAGACAAATTCACATTTTTTTCAAAATTGAGGAATTTTGGTGTAAAGGGTTTGAAGGCCTGCGCGTTGAAGCCCATCAATTTTTGGGGACTGCACCATGTGGTGTTGAGGTCCTCCGAGGCCTAGGCTAGACGTCCAGGCTGGGCTGGGCTGCGTTGGCGGTGTGGTGGTCCAGGTCAGAGACCCCGCTCCTCGCTGAGGCTGAGGCTGAGGGTGTTGTAGTATCCAGGAACGCGTTGCGTCGCGTTGCGTCAGCTGGTGCCGCGCTGCGCCGCGCCGCGCCGCGCTGCGGGCTGTGATGATGATGGCCTGTGACATGGCCGGCGAATCGGACCCGACCAGGTAACACGAAGAGTGGCTATTCTTATCGGCCGCCTCGCGTCGCGCACTTCGAGCGGCTTGCGTATCTCAGGCGAACCGCGGCTCCGCTCGCTCCTTGCATCTCGGCGCACAAATTTTCCGCGCTCGCGTCGCGATACGCACTTACGCGCGTTCCGCCCGCCTGCCTTCCGCCGCTGCCGAGCGACCGATTTCGCTCTCTCTCTCTCTTGCACTCCTTTGGGCACGCCCCGCGAGTGCGAGAGAGACAGAGCGACCCCCTTCCGGTGCTTTGCGGCGGCCCGCTCGTCCGTCCAGCTGATCAGCGCCAGCTGATGGTCGTGGCGCGCCAAGAATAAAGGGGGGAGGGGGGGGGACTTCCCCCGCTGTAGCCCCGTCTGCTACACTCTGAAACAAATCTCGGGAGTGACTTTTGGTCGAGTCTTGGCGGCGCTATCGCGCACCGATGTTTGCACATGCCGATACGTCGAGCTGCTCATGAGAGGTTTTTTTTTCGGTCTCGTTCTCAAGTACCACGGGCGGGAGGTCCTCTGTGTCCTTCCATTCATGGGCAGCGTGGTCGTGACAGTGAAACTGTTGCACAATTGTTTCGCTTTTCCTTGAAAAAATAAAATAAAATAAAATTAAATTAAAAATTGGAAAGCAAAAGCAGTGTAAGCTCGACGCAATTTCCATCCCGCTAGCCTGGCTTCAGAACACGCACAGGGAAGTCCAACACTCGCGATCGGTGTAGTAGTCAGAAAATAGATTCACTGTTAAGGTTCCTTTATTTTTTTGGTTGCTAGCGTGAAACACTTCAGTTTGAGTTGTATTCGGCCCCTCGACGGCTCAAAAGAGTCCAAAACAGCGGTGTTGCTGACGTCAAAAGAAGGCGATTGGCACCTACCGCAGGTGCTGGATCTTTGCAAGGGCGGATCCAGAATCGGGGGAGGCACTTTTTTGCCTACTGGGCAGGGACACTGTAGAGTCCTTAAGCGCTTAAGGACTCTAGGGCACTGTTGCTTTTTTGCCTACCTCGAGTGGGTAGTAAAGTGCTGCCTTTTGCCGCGGCTCTCTGGGGGTCAAGGGGTGGACCTTTTCTTGCATTGTGCCGCCGCGGTGGCTGTGCCGGTGGCGCAGCAGCAGCGCTGGCGTCAGCAGCATCGCACTGTTTTAATAATATGATTGGAGGTAATCTGTCCAATTCGGGATCGGCGACCGTGGCTGTCGCGGCCGTCGCGGCCGTCGCGCGCGGACCTTGAACCTCAAACGGCTCAAATGAGTGGTGCTATCAGTGTGTCGCTGGCGGCCCTGGCGGCCTCCCTTCGCCCGGCCAAGGGCACCGCATCACCACGCGGGTTCAAATACCCACATTGTTTTTTCTCTCTCTCGGTTTACTTCTTTTTGCTGCCTCGCCGCCGCGGCACGCGAAGCGCGCGAACCCGTTTCCGCCTCTGCTAATTGCATCGTTCGAAGTCAGGTTCAGTTTGGTGCTGTATAGTGTACTCCACGTGCGTCTTGAATGGGCGCGACGATTTTGGGCCATGCTCTCATTGGCGATGCCGAAGCGTCGCGGTGTGGTTCACTCTGTCGCTCATGAGGCGCCCCGTGGTGGGAGTGCGAGAGAGACAGAGCGACGAATATATTGCTGTCATCAACCTGAGCCGAGCACGCGTGGGGATGGCAGGTCGTTTGCCTTGAGTCCGGAGAGCGTTCCCGCGCATTTAAATGTTTCTCGCGGAATCAGAAAATGAATAGTACAAGTTAATCGATGGTTTAATCAGCCCGACTTGGCCATTGTGTTTGTCTCGCCGCTTCTTTTGTCTAATCTGTAAGTGCGGGGAAAATTCGGACGAGTCAAACGGATTTTCCAAGAAAAAACAAAACCAGAAAAAAAACCTTGACGTTAAAGAATTTGCTCCTGTGGAGTGTGAATTTTTCCCTAATGAATTTTAACTGTCCTTTCCGGGCCGTCTGCCAAGTGTACTGTACTAATCGGCGAGGCACAGGTAGGCCAGTAGTGTTGTCGCGTAAGCAGGCGAAAATTCCCACGATGCACCTGCGTCGATTGGGTTGCCTTTTGGGCAACTTCTCGCGCTCAAACATCGCCTGGCGGGCAGGCTGCGGTTGGCAACCCCTATGGTGGCGCGGCGGGGATTTGGGTTTACATGTGTGGCAACACTGGCAGCGCTTTGGCGCGTCGCTAGACTGTTAGACTTTGCCCGCCGCGGGCCGCGGGGCCCGGCGTGCAACAGACTGTGTCTCTCTCGCACTCACGGGGCCTTCCCTACGGGTGCGAGAGAGACAGAGCGACGCGCTGGCGTGCGCACGCCCTGCTCATCACGTCCACCGTGGACTAGGTCAGACTGGGTCGTCGGTATTGTCCGGGCCTGTGGCCCTTCGACCTGCTTGCCGGGCGTGGCGTGGCGTGGCGTGGCGTGGCGTGGCAGAGTCTTCCCAGAGTTACGGTTTGCTAATGCCCCCGCCCTGCCTGGCCCCGGCCCGCCCCGTCCCCGTCGCCCGGCGCGCCCCGTCATTCCGATGTCCACGCGGTCGCACCGCCGGCCGCCGATTATCAAACGCCGCGGCCAAACCAAAAAGACGACAACCCGAACAAAAGCTGCACGATGACGTTTCTGGAAGGTCCGGTTTTTCGTTCGTCCAGCTCGCCTTCTCGATGACTGACGGTGTGGCGGTGGCGTGCGCGGCGTGCTGGTCAAGTGACCGCGTGCTGTGCGCGGCGCGCGGTGTGGCCCGCGTCGTCGCGTGGCTGTGTTCTGTATTCGCCTCTCCGCCGCCTCGCCGCCCAAGGCCGGTTCTGTTGACGCGGTGCGCCGCCGGGCGGCCGGGCGGACCGGGCGTCGGAAGCGCGAGCGTGCAATCTGCACGGCGATTCGTGTGTCTGTCTCTCTCGCACTCGCGGGGCAGTCCCTACACGTGCGAGAGACAGCGCACAGTGGGCCAGAAGACCGCGGTGGCCAAAACTCAAGACGCGTTTTGAGCTCCAGAGGCGATAAACAGGCCTCAAACCGACTGTGTGACCCCACCAATGGATTCCTCGTTCGGAGAGCAATCCATTGGTGGGGTCACACGTTCGGTTCGAGTCCCGCTTAGCGACTCTAGAGCTCAAAACGCGTCTGAGATTCTGACCGCCTCCACCGGTCTTCTGGCCCACTGTGCAGCGCTCTGCTCCGCCTGAAAAGTAGGCAAACGCACTCCCCCTCCCCAAGTCCCTCTCTGGACCCGCCACTGGATTACCAGAGTCCTGGAAGCGGCGCCTGGAGTCGCACGGAGCGGCCGGCCGCCTCGGAAGCTTGGGGGACGACCGGGTCTGTGTGACTCCGGAACGCGGTACTCGCGGTGTATCCGGCCGGTGGTCGACCTTTCGATTTTTGGCGCCTCTTTGGCGGCCCGACTGGCCCGGCCATGGCCAGGCGCGGACACAAAGGGGGAGGGGCGGAGAGGTTTTCGCCCGTCGGAACCTGGAAAACGTTAAAAACCGTACAGAGTTTGCGAAAAGTTCAACTTTGCCTCCCCCCTTGAAAGTTGTCACTGATCCTGGCACGCCCTGGTGGCGACGAAATGCCGTTGAAAGAGGCTAAAACGCGGAGCTGCCCGGTGCACTGACCGCCCACTGACGTAGCTTTTGTTCCTTGTGCTCCAGGATGGCGGACAAGGTGGAACCCGTGGAGGCCGCGGTGGAGCCCGAGGCCGAGGCGCTGTTCGGGCTGCTGGACGTCGTGATCCTCGCCGCACTGGCCGCCTTCGGCATCTGGTGGGTCATGAGCAACAAAAAGAAGCAGCAGGAGCAGGCCAACGCCCACAAGTCGTACTCGTTGCAGTGAGTATCTCCACGGCGTCGACTCCTGCGGTGGAGTATTGCCCTCAGTTTACACCTTTTTTGTTCATTTTTCAAATTGACGTTGTTCCTCTCTCTCTCTCTCTCCGCAGGCCCACGTCGATGGCAGCCGCCGCCACCGACAACTCGTTCCTGAAGAAGCTGAAGACCTCCGGGCGGTCGCTGGTGGCGTTCTACGGCAGCCAGACCGGCACCGCTGAGGAGTTCGCCGGCCGCCTGGCCAAAGAGGGCATCCGATACCAGCTCAAGGGCATGGTGGCCGACCCCGAGGAGTACGACATGGTGAGCGCCGGCGTGGCGGCAGTGTTGTGACGGACGGGAGCAGCGGGGCGGGGCGGGGCGCGAGGTAGGCGGGAACCACAGCCAAAATGAAGACAAACTTAATGGTTTCCGCGGGTATCCGACGCCGGGCTGGGTCCCTCGCTGTGGCCGCCCAGTCCAGGACAGCCAGGACAGCCAGGCCAGCGCGGGGAGGGGGAGGGGAAGGGGCAGGGCGTCCTGATGGAACGCGTGTCAGCGGCGAGAAGGGGGAGGGGGGGGGGCAGTCACAGTCTGACCCTGTCCTGCGGCCCCGTTCTGTACGCAGTAGGACTGCTGTTGGACTACATTGGTTGGGCCGTAGGGCCCAGGACGAGCTCAGGAGCTCGTGGACCACGTCGTCCGGATGTGTTAGTGGAAAAAAGAGGGGGGGGCTACGGTTAGTGCACCGAGGCTGGTGCCCTCGTCGCTCTGTCTCTCTCGCACTCGCGGGTCTCTCCGAAGGTGTTGGAGTGAGAGTGTTCGGCACCAGGCTATACAGTGGCGGTACCTGCCCGCCGACCTCTGTTACGCCGTCTTGCATAATGCCGTCTTCCGACGGGGAAGTTATCTGGGTAAGCAGGTGCCCAGTGTGGTGGCCGTGGTGGCGCCTGGGACTGGGACGCGGCGGGGCGGCGGCAGGTCGGGGTCCGACACCCGTCCGAGACAGTGGGGGGAAGCGGGATGCATCGGCCATGTAAAAAAAAAAAAAAAATTGCAGCCGAATTAAAATAAAAGCGCAGTCGGAAATGAACTTTTGAACTTTTGCCACGGATTGTTGGGCGGCTGCTTCGTGATTGCGAAGCGTAATCAAAATCCTTTTGCAAACTGCGAAGTGAAACCTTACGCAATGCTGCTAAATCCTTAGCAAATACAACGCAATCCTCCGAAGTTGTTGATCATCGTGGGCGGCGTGTCTGCCTCTGCTCAAGTGAAGGTCGCGTCCGCGTCGAGTGTAGTGGTTTCCGATTGCCCGAACCTTTGGTTCCTCGCGAGTGCGGCCAGTGCATGCTGTCTGAAATTCCGGGCTGCAGCCGCTATCAGTGTGCCGAAGGCCCTTGCCGTTATCTGCCGACCGGCGGGCGAGAGCGCCGCTCTGTCTCTCTCTCTCTCGCTCGCTCTCGTGGGGCCTGCCGCAGGGGTGCGAGAGAGACAGAGTGTTTGCCGTTGCTCTCGACGCTCGGCACCACCCGGCGCACGCGTGGCCAAGGCCGGATACCTACGGCACAGTGGATTTGCCAGAAGACCGGCGCAGGCGGTCGAAATCCCGGACGCGTTTTGAGCTCGGTCGCGAAATGGGACTCGAATCGAGCGTGTGACCCCACCAATGGATTCCTCGTCCGGAGAGCAATCCATTGGTGGGGTCACTCGTTCGGTTCGAGTCCCATTCAGCGACTCTGGAGCTCAAGACGCGTCTAGAGTTTCGGCCGCCTCCACCGGTCTGCTGGCAAATCCACTGTACGCCGTGCTCGGGGCCGTCCCGCAACGCCAGGCGGTCCGCAATCGAGAGCGGAGTGGTCGAATTTTCTAGCAGCAACGACCGACCGGCCCGGATGCCGCTCTTCGTGTTCGGCCGTCGGCGCCGTCGGCCGAGTGACGCAGGCGGGCAGGTCGCGGGCCGCGCGGGCGGTGCTCCTGCCGGAGTCACCTTCACCTTGCCCGGCCGGCCCGCCGCCACGCCGCCGGCGTCACGGACTCGGGGGAGGGGAGGGGGAGGGGCAGGGCGTGGTGGCGATGACGTCGACGACGACGCCTGGCATGGGGACGCCGACGGGGTGGTTGGCGTGCGCGGTGCGTGACCTGCGCTGGCCTGAGGAAGGAGGAAGGGGTGGGGGGTGGGGGTAGCCTACCGTTCATGCGGCTATTTATTTGTCCTTTTACCGATCCCCCTTCTGGATCCGCACTTGTGCGTGACTGACAGCGTACTTCCCATTTCGCAGGAGGAGTTGGTGAACCTGAAGGACATCCCCAACTCGCTGGCCGTGTTCTGCCTGGCCACGTACGGCGAGGGCGACCCCACCGACAACGCCATGGAGTTCTACGAGTGGCTGCAGAACGGCGACGCCAACCTCACCGGCCTCAACTACGCGGTAAGGGCTCACTCGCTTTCTTTGCGCCGCGCAGTGGGCCAGAGGACCGGTGGAGGTGGTCGCAGTCCCGGACGCGTTTTGAGCACCGGAGTCGCTAAATGGGACGCGAATCGAGCGTGTGACCCCACCAATGGATTCCTCGTTCGGAGAGCAATCCATTGGTGGGGTCACACGTTCGGTTCGAGTCCTATTTAGCGACTCTGGGGCTCAAAACGCGTCTAAAGTTTCGGCCGCCCCCACCGGTCTTCTGGCCCACTGTGCGGCGCTTAGCGCAGGAAGCGGTCGTGTGCGTGTTCCGCGCGGGGCGCTCGCCTGCTTGTCTTCGCCGTGGTCCCGCGCGGTGGGACCGTCGCTCTGTCTCTCTCGCACCCACACGGGACGCCCCATGAGTGTGAGAGAGACAGACAGAGCGAAGAATGGGTGACTCGGCGAGCGATGTCGCCGCGTTGCCTCGAAGTCCTTGATTCGGGAATGAGGGACAACCAGCCGCTTGGTTCCGAAGCCGCGCGTCGTTCCGTCGCGCCGTCTCCGTCGCACTCCCGGCGGCCCCGAAGGGACGCGAGGGAGACGCGACTCGCCGGAACCGCTGGCGGCTAGCGCCTACAGTGCTACAGCGGACTACGTACTGGCCCGGTACAGTACACCGTGAGTTGCCTTCCGCTTGTCGCGTGTCACGAAAATCCTCTGGGAGTGCGACGGCGACAGCGCACAGTGGGCCAGAAGACCGGTGGAGGCGGCCAAAACCCCGGACGCGTTTCGAGCTGCAGAGTCGCTAAGCAGGACTCGAACCGACTGTGTGACCCCACCAATGGATTCCTCGTTCGGAGAGCAATCCATTGGTGGGGTCACACGTTCGGTTCGAGTCTCATTTAGCGACTCTGGAGCTCAAAACGCGTCTAGAGTTTTGGCCGCCTCCACCGGTCTTCTGGCCCACTGTGCAGCGCTGCGGCCCGCTCGGCGTGCTCGGCCTGCTCGGCGTGCTGGTGGTGCTCTGAGTGCGGTGACGAGGCGCGCTCCCCGCCGGCCCGATGTCACCAAGAGGCGGCCAGCTGTCCGCGCCGTGGTCGTGTTCGTGGTCAGGATCATGACGAAGCACTGGCCTTCTTGCCCCAGGACCGGTGCGGCGGCCTGCTGGCAAAACGGTGAAACTGGAGCGGTCCTGGACGGACGCCTGCGAAGTGCCGGGTAGGCCGCCAAGCAGCGCGCCGCTGCGTTGCGGACCGGCCTACGCCGCGGGCTGCAGGCGCTCCGGCCAAAACTCAAGACGCGCTTTGAGCTCCAGAGTCGCTAAACAGGACTCGAACGGAACGTGTGACCCCACCAATGGATTCCTCGTTCGGAGAGCAATCCATTGGTGGGGTCACACGTTCGGTTCGAGTCCCATTTAGCGACTCTGGGGCTCAAAACGCGTCCGGGATTTTTGACCGCCTCTGGCCCACTGTGCGACGCTGGCGTGGGCCGCGACACGGTGGCTGCAGCGTGCGAAGCTCCTCGCAGCCCCGCGTCTAGCGTGCCCCCCGTGGGGCCGCGGGGCCGGTCCAGTCGGTCTAGCGCGCGCCGCGGCAAAGCCCGCGCCGACATTGCGTAACTGATATTACTGCATCCAACGTCGGCGGCAAGGAGGGCCACGGCGGCCGCGGCACGTGGAGGGGGTTACGGGCATGCCCGTGCACTCAGACGCACAGTGGGCCAGAAGACCGGTGGAGGCGGCCAAAACTCTGGACGCGTTTTGAGCGGCAAAGTCGCTAAACAGGGCTCGAACCGAGCGTGTGACCCCACCAATGGATTCCTCGTTCGGAGAGCAATCCATTGGTGGGGTCACACGTTCGGTTCGAGTCCCATTTAGCGACTCTGGAGCTCAAAACGCGTCTAGCGTTTTAGCCGCTTCACCGGTCTTCTGGCCCACTGTGAGACGCCACACGGCCGACCGCGAGCCCGGCGGAGCCCCCTCCCCCTTTTCCCTTGCAAAAGGGAACGTATCAACCGCTAAAAACCGTTTCCACGGAGGGACGACGCACGACGCCGAGGTCTATAAATGTTAGTTGCGCGCGCGCGTCGCGTTCCATTCCGGTTGCGTCTTTTTGTTCGGGTTTGACGCCCGCCTGGCTTGCTGCCCGTCGGGCGCGGCGCGGTGACGTCCGGACCCGGTGCGCGAGTTGTAACGCCGCGGCCGGGCCGGGTGCGTCGTCCCCGCGTGGTGAGGTGCCCGGCGTTGATGAAGACGAGGCGCTTGGTCTTGAAGCCCGCGGTCCGCTTCGCTGCTCGGCACGGCCTACGGCCTTATCGTCCGGGACCTATTCCGAGAGTCGCTCTGTCTCTCTCGCACTCGCGGGGCGCCCCGTGTAGGTGCGAGAGAGACGGCGCGAGTCTGCTGCGGCCAGTGCGCCAATCCGCGGCCCAATCTCGCGACCCATCGTCTGGCGACCGCGCTGATGGCTCTGGACTGAATGGGGGACAGGCTGTGTGTTCCGTCGTCGCTTTGGTTTTGCTTCTTGCTTCTTTTCGGCCGTCGCTGTCCGCCGGCCCAGGGGGTGATGCGGCCCTGTATTGGCGGCCGCGGTGAAAAGCGAACGTTATGTGACAGACACCGCGGTGGGGGACTGAAAAATAAGGGGGGGGGGGTCGCGCGATGTGACTTGCCATTATTTCACGCGGGCCAACGGTAAGCAAACGCCGCGCCGATATGGGCGTCATCGGGAGCGATGAACCGCGATAGAATGGACGCGTCGCGGACTGACCCCGATCCGATCCGAGAAACGAGAAATGAAAAGTACATAATTGCCAATTCATGTATGTTTATTTGTGGGTTGCTGACTTGTGTTTAGTTTTTAATTTATTTATTCTTGGGGGGGGGGGGATAAGGGTGGACGCGTTTTCTCGCGCGTGGTCTTGTTCCTTAAGAATGGAATTTGTGGTTGGTTTTGAGGTCAGCTTAGGGTTACGTTTGTGAACCTGGTCGGGAAAAAAATGCGTCAATTTTGTAGTGGGGTGTGTTTTTCTGCTGTTTGTTTTTTGAGGAGCGAGTGTTGATGTTGCGCTTATCGTGACTTTGTAGGACATTCCGCGGCCCGCTTTGCCGTCTGCTTCTGGAAACGTGCAATTTGGCTGTCGCGTTGCCCCGCGGCTGGCAGACTGGGTCGGAGCACAGTGGGCCAGAGGACCGGTGGAGGCGGCCGAAACTCTAGACGCGTTTTGGGCTCTAGAGTAGCTAAATAGGACTCGAACCGAGCGTCTGGCCCCACCAATGGATTGCTCTCCGAACGAGGAATCCATTGGTGGGGTCACACGTTCGGTTCGAGCCCTGTTTAGCGACTCTGGAGCTCAAAACGCGTTTGGAGTTTTGGCCGCCTCCGCCGGTCTTCTGAGCCTTGTTGAATGAGTGGGGCCTGTGGGCCGGTCTTATGCAACGTCACGACGGTCTGCTGTGGTCCGACGGGCCGACGGGCCCAACCCAGCACCCAGTGGCCTGGGCCTGGGCAGCGCCATAGCGGGCCCGCAGCCCGCAGCGCGCTGGTGCTGGTGGCTCGACTTGGGCTGGCTCGAAGCTCTAGCCTCTCGGTGGCGGGGAGCGTCGCTGCGCTGGGCGGGCGCTCGTCTAGTGCCAGCTGACTTGCTCCGAGAGTCGTCGCTCTGTCTCTCTCGCACTCCTGGGGCGTCCCTTCTGGCGCGAGAGAGACGGAGGGACGGACACTGCTCGCGCCATGAGTCAGCGCGCACCGCACCGCCACCGCGTGGAGGCCCTTCTGCGACCGCGTGGACGCGAACTCGCGACGACGGCCGCAGTGGCGGAGTGGCCAGCGCCACTAATTATAGATCCGAAAAGAAAAGGCGTGATAAGATAGAGCAAATTGATTGGGTGCGCCAGCCTTGTCTCGTATTCTTGCATGCTTTTTGCACTCGTTTGCCCGGGAAGGTGGAATCCTGCGCGTGCCGGCGGCGTGTTCTCCCTCTCTCCTCTTCCTCCCGCTGGCTGCCGCGCGGCAGATGATGGCCGTGACGCAGCACTTCCCTGTCTGTCTCCCTCTCTCTGTCTATCCATCCGCTCGCCCAGGACCGAAGATGCTGGGTTTCCCCAGTTCCGCCCATCCCAATAGCCCGGAATAGTTGAGCCTAGGTGTCTCAAATGTTGCTCATGAATGAATCCTTGATGTTCGGTCGCAGTAGAGTCCCAGGCTGGCCTCATTTCCAGTGGCCTCACGTGCATTCAAACATGAATGACACTGGGTTCCAGGCGCCCGCCGACAGTGGTTCTAACTGTGTGTTTTCTTTTGCTGATTGCAGGTATTTGGTTTGGGCAACAAGACCTACGAACATTACAATGAAGTGGCAGTGTATGTCGACAAGCGCCTGGAGGAGCTCGGAGGCACCCGAGTTTATTGTTTGGGCCTGGGAGACGATGATGCAAAGTAATTTATTTTTAAATTTCTTTTTCTCTATTCACACTTGATATTAATCTTCTAACTTATTGTCAACAGTAATATGGTGAGGTAATACCGGTGTTGCTCTTTACTTTCAGCATTGAAGATGATTTTATCACTTGGAAGGAAGGCTTCTGGCCTGCAGTGTGTGAGCATTTCGGTCTTGAGACTATGGGAGAGGACGTCAGTGTCCGCCAGTACAAGCTGACAGAGCACTCCGAAATTAATCCTGACCGTCTTTACACTGGAGAGGTTGCTCGTCTTCACAGTTTTGCTAACCAGCGCCCGTAAGTTTAATTGAGACTATTAATTTGTTTGTATTACTCTGTGCAGAAATTTACCTTTACTTTTTTTGTTCTGTTTTCAGACCATTCGACGCTAAGAATCCTTTCCTTGGAACTATTAAGGTGAACCGCGAACTACACAAGACAGGCGATCGCCAATGTATGCACCTGGAGTTCGACATTGAAGGGTCTAAAATGCGCTACGATGCTGGTAAGTTTTTTATGTGAAAGTACATTTTCGAGTCATTTGTTATTAGCTTGTATGTACTGTATGTACTAACGCTCTATTTCCTGCAGGTGACCATATTGCACTCTATCCCGTTAACAACAGCGAAATTGTCAACAAGCTTGGAAAGCTCCTTGACGCTGATTTGGATACTGCCATAACTTTAACCAATACTGATGGTAATTTCTTCTGAATTTATTTTATCTAAACTAGATAATCCATTTGAGTTTATAGTTACACTAAATTTTATATCATTTTGCAGAGGAATCGAGCAAGAAACGTCCATTCCCTTGCCCAACAACTTACCGCACTGCCTTGACTCACTATTTGGACATTACATCTAACCCACGTACTCACGTGTTGAAGGAACTCGCCGAGTATACCAAGAACAACAAAGTAAGTTGTTTTTTTATGCATCCCATAGTCCCCCCCCTCCTAATCTGAGGACTAATTAGTTACTTTTTATGTTTTAGGAACAAGAAATGCTTCGCTTGATGGCCAGCACATCACCTGAGGGCAAAGCTCTTTACCAAGATTGGATTATCCAAAATAATAGGAATATTTTGCACATTCTTGAAGATTTGCCATCGTGCAAGCCCGAAATTGACCATGTTTGTGAATTGCTTCCTCGTTTGCAGTGCCGCTATTATTCCATTTCATCATCACCTAAGGTATGTTCACATGCCTTCCCAATTCTCTATTCCCTGCACTTCTTTCACTGTTAAAGTGTGTTCCATTGTACTGGTAACATGTATCTTATTTTATAGCTGTACCCAACAACTGTTCATGTTACTGCTGTTGTTGTGGAGTATGAGACTCCTACCAAACGCATCAATAAGGGTGTTGCCACTACATGGCTGAGGGACATGAAGCCTGTTGACCCAGAAAAGAAGTTCTTGGTTCCCGTTTTCATTCGTAAATCCCAGTTCAGGTACAGTGCAGTTTCAGCCGACTAGCCGTTGTGCAATTTGGTGTGTTGATAGAAAATCTGTTCATACATTTCGTTTTTACTGCCCATGTAGGCTTCCCACCCGGACACAAACTCCTATCATTATGATTGGTCCAGGCACTGGCCTTGCTCCCTTCCGTGGCTTCATTCAGGAACGTGCTCTGGCAAAGGAAGAAGGTACATTTTTTTCTATTTGATTCTTTCTGTCCATTAGTCTTTTTAGCGATACTAGTAATAATGATTTTATTTCAGGCAAACCTGTTGGTGAGACCATTTTGTACTTTGGATGCCGCAAGAAGGCTGAGGACTATCTTTATGAAGAAGAGCTGGAGGACTATGTCAAGAAGGGCGCTCTGAAGGTTTGGAGCTATTTCATGCAAAGTTTTTTTTTTTTTTTCTTAGCTTCTTTAACTTTGCTTTTTAAATTTCATTGTCTTTTTCTTTGTAGCTTCACCTTGCTTTCTCACGAGATCAAGCACAAAAGGTATATGTAACCCATAAGCTTAATGAAAATGCTGATGAAATTTGGCGTGTTCTTGGTGAGAGCAATGGCCACATTTATGTATGCGGGTAAGTTATGTTTTACAGCTGTCTTCCATTGCTTTTCTACTGATTGCTGCAAAATGTATTTAATTCATTGATCTTATCCTTATTTCAGTGATGCCCGAAGCATGGCCAAGGATGTACATAACATTATTCTCAAGGTAGTTCAGGAGAAGGGTAACATGAGTGAGCAGGAAGCAATTGCATATGTGAAGAAAATGGAGGCCCAGAAACGTTACTCAACTGATGTCTGGAGTTGAGCGGTATTTTGTGAGGGTCTGTGCTGGTCACAGAACAGAATAATTCTTGCCAGAACTGCCAATTTGATGTCAATGAATGGGATCAATTTGTCAAGGTATCTCTCTTGTATGGCTTTAAGATTTTGTTCTTCAATATTATCTTTTGTTTATTTTTTTGTTTTTCTGTTGTTAAAAAAATCAGTGTACAAATCTTTTAATGTTAAAATTCTATGACATTTTATTTTTGAAATAGCTAAGTCACAGAGAGTGAGATATTTGAAGTTTCTTTTAACATATGTGTATTAGATAATTACCTCCAGAATATTTGCTCATGTTTAAATTTATTTGACATTCCACTTGAATGATGATTTTCTATGTAGGTAGAGAACTGTTATGCTTACCATGTTGGCTATTTTTTTAACTTATACTGTGTATGTGTGTATTGTGAAATTGAGTGTGTGCTTGACTATGAGTATGAAGTAGGCTACTTATAGCCTTAGGATGCTATTCTTCCATTGCAATGTGTCTTACTTTCAAATGTCAGGACAGCCTGACTTATTGTGATATTCTAAAAAAAAAAAAATTGAAAAAAAATTACAGATTTAATCAATTGTACATGTGATTCCCTCCACATAGACCACATGTCTGTAATTTTCAGTCTCATTTCATGGGCATGGGGGCTTTGAAAGTATTCATCTTGTAAATCAAACTGCTGCCAATCTGTCCTTCAGTACTTATGATCAAGTTTCTTAGAACAAATTTTTTAATCAAATTTTATCAATATCCGTTGTTTTAGAATTACCTTGTTTATACTGTGTGTTCCAACATCGTTACTCTATTGTTAATAGAATTTATGGGTGAAGCTCTAGGTAGCCTATTTACAGTTGGAAGAGTACTTCTTCACAAGGTACAAATGATGAAAAGGTGAATGTATATATAAAAATGGCAAATGATAGTTACTGGGATTTGTCTCAACCTTGGAAGAGGAGCAATCTCTATTTTTTTAAGCAAAATTGGACTACATTTTTTAATGGATTCATCATGTTATTTATGAAATAGAACTTGTAAATCTGCCAAGACTAGCTTTTTAATGCTTTCCCATCCTACTCTGAAACCGACTCGATCAGGGGCGTCAACGCTACCTTTGCGCACTCAGCCACCTCTTTTTTGTTTTTGTTCAAAAAGTGAACTGAGGAAAATGTTGACATGGCCATTCAAGTGTAAATAGACAACTTTTAAAAACAAGTAACTCTTTTATTTGTACAAATCAGTATTTGATAACTGAAATTTTACAGACTTAAATCATCACATTTTTATCTATGTACACAATTACTGTAACAGCACATCCTAGGTATGTACAGATCGGCCATAGGCGTAGACTATTTGGACACATAAATATTCTATAACAATTATTTCACAATCAATTTACAATGCTTATCTTGCTCCAGAATCTCCAGGAGAGCTTTAATTAACAATAAAATTACTGTGACTAGAATACAGGAAAAATATGGTAGGTTTACCAATGTTTCTACACAAAATAACCTGTTCTTCAACTGGTTATATAGCTTTTTTTTTTTTTTTCTGAAACATTGAATAAACCAAGCTAGTGACAATGATTATCGAATATTCCACAAAGATCCTGTCCTACAGCTCCTACAAGTGCACAACATGGTTTACTTTCGATATTTCATTTTCCTTTCAATTCACTAGTTTACAAATCACTTCAGAGTCATATCACTAGGTACAGTCTATTTAAGAATTCTAAAATACGACCACTGCACTCCATATGTGACACAAATTACAAAGCACAACATATGAAATCCAAGCAAACAAAAACTTTAAAATCTGACTAGATTTTAGACTTCTAAATTCCTGAATTCCTGATTTGATGGTTGTCTGTACAACTTGTTTAGTCCCAGAACTCGTACATAAACAATAATAAATATTAGTTATCATAGCCCATTGCTCTACAAAATTTTAACTGGCCTAAATTACATACAGTATATGAAGGATAATGCCTGGGGACTGCACAAAAACCTAATAGAGTGCACCTGCACCGCAAGTGCTTTCAGAGCTGAAAGGTTTACACACAATATTAACATAATAATGTATCAAACCAAAATTCTAAACACCATCACTTATCTGATATTTCTCAGGTGAAATCTCATGGAGAGAACAATGTACGTATTTCCTTTGCCCTGGTTCATTGGTGGGGTTGACAAAAAGCATAGTCATTGTATTGGGGAGTTCTTAAAAATGCAAGGCCAGACTGAAGCTGTGATGGCACAAAATGTGGTGGAGAATTCTTGTTGGGTTGAATGTGGCTGCGATTCTGAGGATAAGAGAAAGCACCAAGTTATGAATTTGCTAAAAAAAAAGCTATGTTTCATGTACACGAATGAATTCAATTGAAAATAGGAACCTTTTGCCATGGTTGTCCTTTAAAATTTAGGGTAGTAGCTCGTTTAGGACCTGTACCTTTGGATACTTCTGCAACAATAGAGCACATTGTTTCCAGTTAGCAACAAAATTTCAAACTCAAACTTAACTTAGTAAACCTTTTATTAGGCATTACCGTTTTGTTGGTAGGTGTCTGAATAGTGGCCGGCATGGCCTCTCTTGATGTGAGGAGTGCAGGGTGCTGGTTCACAGCTGCGATTCCAGCTCTGTGGAAATAAATTGAAAATAGACGTGAGACATACAAATGAGATAAACAAAAAATTTTAAAACAGAATCTCTTTTTTTTTTCCAGTTTGAAAACTTACTAAAGAGGGGAAAGGTAGATTAGGAGGGGGGCTGATTAACGAAGAAGGCATAGACTGTCCACTTTCCACCAGGGTGGTGGTTGCGTATGCCACAGTGCTACCAGACCCATCCGAAACACCACTGGCACTGTTGCTGCCACTACAACACTGCGATTCACAATCACAGCTGCAGGGGCCTCCACCCTCAATGTAATCCACTCGGCAACGTCCGCCACCGCTGCCACTGTGGGGTCGGCACCTGTCTGCATGTCCTGGGTACTGGCCCTGGAAGGTACTTAGCAACGAGTACTTGCTTCTCACTTCCGCATACTCGGAGGTGCTACCAGACCCTGAAGATCAGAGGAAATATTTTTTGTTAGCATGCAGAAATTTCTCAGGTAACAACCAACCAAAGAGGAGAGAAAAAAATTTACCTGCACATTCACTTCTTAAAGGTCTTGCTTCGGCATACTCGGGTCCACTGATAGAGCCTGTTCCACTCAAAGTGTTGTTGGCACCCCAAAGCATTCGAGTGCCAGGCCGAGGGGCGATGCATAGGGGAGCCCCTTCCACTTCCGCTTCTGCTTCCGCTACCTTAAGGCTGAGGACACCTCCATTGGATCGGGAATCTAAAAATGAGAAGAGCGTCGTGTGAAATCTTGAACAGGGACACAGAAACAAACAGTAAAATAAAAATTCTTTCAGAGGTTTGATCCTTACCATACATATGTAAATGTGGATATCCTCCTTTCTTGGCACGATGTTGGCGTCGGTGAAGGAACAAAATAGCCGAAAACAGCAGCACCATGACTGCAACCATACTTCCAAGGAGAGCCATAAACCATGTTTCAGTCACTAGATCATTGCTGTTATTTCCAGCAGATACTCCAGGGTCTTGTTGTGTTGGGGGGTGACTACTTGAAGAATGGTTATGATTTGTTTCAGAATTTGTGACATGCCTGAAAATAATTAAGACAGTGAGTTTCAAATGCATTTTAAGTCAGAAAATAGAGTATGATATTCAAACCCTTGTCACAAATTATCTTACCGATTCTGTCCAGCTGGAGACTGGAAGACGATAGGAGCACCAAAGGGTCCCCTACCAGCTGAAGTAACAGCTGCAACTACGACATGGTAAATCATTTGCTGCGACAGATTTGACAACAATAGCTGCTGAGAACCAGTAGTATCGGCTGCAAGAGTGACGTTGCTCAAAAGTTCTGGAGGATCACCTCCTTTCACCACCACCTAGAAAAAACAAACAGAGAGGTGAATCTTCTACATTAGAATAAAGCCGCAGTTAAAAATAGAAACTTTTCATTTTTTCTCTAAAACTAAAATAGATTGTGCATTCACTTAATATAATTTCAGCGTATTGTTTACCTCGTAGCTTTCAATAAGTCCATTATGGGAAGCAGGAGGGGGAGCAGTCCAGGTGATGGAAACGGTGCTGATGTTCAGGAATTTCGCCTCCAGCTGAGAAGGTGGAGCAGTTGGGGCTACAAAAAAAGCAGAAATAAATGTGTTTGCTCCGGAGAGAATAAATAAAGAATATGGGTAAATAAATAGAGAAGTTCACATACCATCAGCCAACGTTCGGACTTCTTGCATGTTTGAAGGTCTTCCTTCCTCCACACTATTAAACGGCACCAGGAAGAACTGGTATTTTGTGTAGCAGCTGAGACCAGTGACAATGAATCCCAGTGATGGAGGACCAGACTGCAGAACTGTCAAAGTATGGAGCGACTCCTCATTCACAGACCTCCAATAAATGCTCAGACCTGTCACTTGTTCTGGATCAAAAACCTATTGAAAATAAGAGGACAAAAAAATCACAGTGAAACTACATAGCACCATTTACAGCTTAGGGAATATGTTGCGGCAAAGATGACATACCTCCCACAGCAGTTTCACTGAGTTAGCAGACACAGGAAGGACTTTTGTAAGCCTGACAATAGGTCCATCTTCCACTGATGCATCCTCTTCTAGCTCCGATTCGATGCTGACTTCAGTTTCGTGGATGGGGAGAACGATCGGCACAGATAGGTCAGAGGGTAAAGAGAAACCATGCGAATTTTCAGCCCGAATCACAAACGAGTATGCCACACCGGGTGTCAAATCTTTTTGCATGTATGTGGAGGTGGGGACTTTCTGAGCTGCTACTTCCCATCCGTCTTTCTCTGGGCCAAACATCTCCACCTAGAAGGACAGGAGGAAAAATGAGTTAAAAATCCCGTTTCTTTAAAAGTGGCACAGTAGGAACCAACTGAATACGTTACCTGGTATCCAACGAGAGGGGAAGAGCCTGCCTTGTTGTTCCTTCGCCACGCCAGCGTGACACTGGTGTTGGTGCTGCTGACGATGTGGGGCCGGCTGGGAGGGCCTGGGGGGGATCCCTTCCGCTCACTTTTGTCAGGCGCTGCGTTTGATACAGTCAGCGAAGCAGATAGAGATGAATGTCCTCTTTTCGATGAAACAATGCATTTGTAAGTTCCACTGTCCGAAATTTCCACAGCTGAAAGAAAAAAGAACAGGTTGTTGAAAAGTCATTGGCAACATAAACAAGTGCAATGTGGATGGATTTTCGTCGCCAGCTCACCTTGGAGGTGCAACGAGCCATCCGAGTCCTGCCTGACTCTGGGCGGCTTTCCCGAGAGAGGCTTCTCGTCCTTGTACCAGGCGACGGTGGGCTGCCCCGAGGCCTGGCACGGCAGCACCACGCTGGCGTGCGGCGCCACGGTCTGGTTGGTGGGGCCCAGCTCGATGACGGGGGGCGGCACCTCCTCCAGGCCCAGCACCAGGAGGCGCGTGCGGGCCACCAGGGCGCCCGCCGCGTTCACCGCCGAGCACACCAAGACCATGCCGGTGTCCGCGCGACTCACGTTCTGCAACAAACCAACAGTCCGCGTCAGCGCTGCGCCGTCAACGCACCAGACAGTGTGTTGCCCTCGGTGGCCTCGGTGGTGGTGCCTACCTTGACGGTGAGCAGAGCCGATCCGTGCGCGGATTGGTTGACGGCCAGGCGGCCCGCGCTGGCGCCGGGCTCCAGAAGCGACCGGTTGCCCTTGAGGGCCCAGAAGACGGAGGGCGTCGGCGAGCCGAGCGCCCCGCAGTCCACCACGGCGTCGCTGCCCTCCTCCACCGTGAGCAGCCCGGGCGGCGTGGGGCCCAGCACGGGCATGGCTGCGGCAAAGAGGGCAGTGAGTAACTGGCGGCGTCCCGTGTGCCGGTGCACAGTGGGCCAGAAGACCGGTGGAGGCGGTCAAAATTCTAGACGCGTTTTGAGCTCCAGAGTCGCTAAATCGGACTCGAACGGAGCGTATGACCCCACCAATGGACTGCTCTCCGAACGAGGAGTCCATTGGTGGGGTCACACGTTCGATTCGCTGGACTTACCGATGACGGTGAGGGTGGCGGCGGCGGTGAGGGCGCCCGCCTTGTTGTCGGCCTCGCACACGTACTGGCCGGCGTCGCCGAGCTGCACGTTGGTGATCCTGAGCGCGCGGGTCTCGGTGACGTGCACGCGGCCCAGCGGCATGGCTAGAGCACTGGTGGCGGTGGGGCCCGCGCCGCCGGGGGGGCCCTCGCTGCTGCGGCGCCACAGCACGTCCGGGGGAGGGTCGCCCGTCACCGAGCAGGGGAACTCCACGTCCGAGCCGACGAGCGCCGTCGTGTCCTGGGGGCCCTTCTGCAGGCTGGGCGGCACTGGAACCGAAAAAACAAAGTTGCAGCCGCCGCCGAGATTCGAACCCGCGGCCGCCTCGCCACGACGACACTCACCTGCCACCTGCACCAGCACCTCCGGCGCCTCCCTGATCCCCGCCAGGTTCTGCGCGACACACTGGTAGCGCCCCGAGTCGCTGGACCGCGCGCCCTGGATGGCGAGGTTGGCGCCGTCCACCAGGCGCACCCTGAAAAACAACAACAACAAGTGTCAGCAGACGCGTCTGATTTAGTTTTAATCCAGGACGGAGGTTGTGGTGGGCTCACCTCTTGTCGGCCAGCGGGTCCACCTTGCGGCCGTCCTTCCTCCAGAACACTGTGGGCTCCGGCCGGCCCCGCGGCGGCCCGCACTGCAGCATGGCGGTGTCCCCCGCAGACACGAGCTGGGCGGCGGGCAGCACTCGGAAGTCGTGGCGCATGACTGCGGCAGACAGACAAACAAACATCACTCCCTGGTCGCACCACTGGAAACCTATTTTTCTGTTTTTTTTTCCGAACGACATTATGTTTCAGTTGAAGAATATTGCATGACGGAGGACCGACCACAAAGCGTACTGTTTTCCCGGGGGTGCCTTCCGAGCCAGAAGCACTCGGTATGAATAACGCGAAGGGGAAGCAACGCCGACCGCCGCGGAGTAGGTGCGTCGATAACCAGTGTACCCGCGGTATCGCCCGTCAGTTTATATGTATGTATTAAAATAAAAACAAAGACACGGAAAAGAGGGGCGGGAGGAATAAAAACACAAGAGGGGCAAAGCGAAAGGGAATGTCAAACGAGACCGCGGCGGAAGGGAAGGTGCACTGCATAAATCAAGAGACATGGCGAGACATAAATCGAGCGGCACCCTTCACGTGGACGCGGCGCGGCACGACGTGCCCCCGGCTTTTATCTCGCCGGCCAAATCCACTGCGGCGAAGCAGCTTCACACAACTTCCCCGGAACTGGACGCGTATTTTATTTATTTTTTTCCCTCCCTCCCTCACTTTTTCCCTCACTCGGAAAGCGCGCCGCCGCCGCCGCCAGAGTTTCACCGTTCCCGTTGTTTCCCCGAAACGGACGCAACAGAGACCTCTTTATTCAGCAGGAGAGCCGGAGAGAAATTTCCCGGAGACCAAGAGGTGAAAATTTCAGAAATTTTCCTGCGAGCCATCACGAAAAAACTAAAACGTTTTTCAACTCTTTTAAATTTTTTTTTTGTGTTTCCCATTGACGGCGATCACCATTTGCAGCAGAGCTCTGCCCTGCCCGTAAATAAATAACGAACACTTTCCCGCTTTCGCGCTAATGGCCGAGTCCCTTTTCCACTTTTTTTCCAGATTCCTTTTTTTTTCTTCTCTCGGGTGCCGCCGCAGGTAGTATTCGATCCCGGGTCCAAATAAAACGGCCACGTCTTTTTTTTTGTGAAAGTCGCGCACAATCTGGGACCCCTAATTTGAAGGGGGATAAATTTCTCGAGTAAATTTCAGCAGCGCAGCGGCCCTTCAGGAGCGAGGAGAGTGAGGAGAGAGCGAAGAGAGAGGGGGAGAGAGAGAGAGAGAGAGAGAGAGAGAGAGAGAGAGAGAGAGAGAGAGAGAGAGAGAGAGAGAGAGAGAGAGAGAGAGAGAGAGAGAGAGAGAGAGAGAGAGAGAGAGGAAAGAGACAGAGAGCGCCCCTGCGGGGCAGGCGTAGGCTTCCCGCACGACTGTCTGCCTCGCCGTGCGGCCTACCCTGGACCTCGCAGGCGCTCCCCGCGGCGCGCTGCGCGCTGCGCTCTGCGGCCGCCACGGCCCTAGGGAGCCTGCCCCGCGATATCGAAGAGTCGCTCCGTCTCTGTCGCACCCATTGGGCTCTGGGTGTGAGAGAGACAGAGCTTCGTGACGAGTGCAGGTTGGTACTCACATGCGACCTCCAGGTTGGCGTCCTTGGACACGGCGGTGCCCGCGCCGTTGGTGGCGACGCAGCGGTAGACGCCGGCGTCGGCGGGCTCGACGCGCAGGAAGAAGAGGTTGCCGCCGGGCAGCAGCACGCGGTGCGCGCCCAGGCCGGACAGGCGGTCGCCGTCCTTGGTCCACGTCACGTTGGGCGCGGGCCGGCCGTCAGCCTTGCAGCTCAGCGTCACCGGCTCGTGGCGCGGCACCGCCGCCGGCACGGGGTGCTCCGTGATGCGCGGCGCGCGGCCCTCCGCCGCACCTGCACCAACAAACAAACACGTTAGTCACTTCCAATGCAGGCACCACAAAGCCTGGGGGGAACATCATCAGGCTCGGACTGGCCCCCAAAAGGCCCCGGCAGATAAGACCGCAAAAGGCCCCCGATCATCATTGACCTTCATGACCAACTTTGTGAGGCTGCCGCTCCCACACAAGTTGCGGTCAATAGCCTTCCCGTACAGGACATGAAAGACTAGGGTCTTAAGAATTCTAGGGCGTCGAGGGAGGCCTTTTACGGCAACTAGATTGGACACAGTAGACACCCAAAGTCAGCAAAATCAGCAAATTTCCGATATTCGACTACTTTTTGACCAACTTTGGTCCCTAAATCGTTGCGGTCAAAGGCAAAATCGTTGTGGTCAACGTCTTCCCTATACAGGGCATGAAAGAGTAGGGTCTTGAGAATACTAGGACGTTGAGGGAGGCCTTTTACGGCAACTAGATTGGACACAGTGGCCGCCCAAAGTCAGCAAAATCAGCAAATTTCCGATATTCGACTACTTTTTGACCAACTTTGGTCCCTAAATCGTTGCGGTCAAAGGCAAAATCGTTGTGGTCAACGTCTTCCCTGTACAGGGCATGAAAGAGTAGGGTCTTAAGAATACTAGGACGTCGAGGGAGGCCGTTGGCCGCTACTAGATCGAAGCAGTGGCCGCTCAAATTCAGCGAAAACGGCTACTTTCGGAGATTCAATCACTTTTTGACCACACTGAGAAAACCTTACAAACTATTTTGGGCCTTACAAAGAGAAGTAGTTTGTATAACAAAGTATTTTGAGCATACATAAGCTTACAAAGTAAATACTTCGTAATTTACGAACTATTTCTTCGTATAACAAAGTATTTTAGTTTGTTATATGTATGCTCATAATACTTCGTAAGGTTTTAAGAGTGCAACCTCGTGACGTTACTGGTCACAAATCCAAAGGCCCCGGCATATTTTTCTGCCTGTCTGCCCTGGCCAGTCCGAGCCTGAACATCGCATTCACATCCACAACCGCGGACGGAGCGCACTTCGCGACGGTAACGCCCCGTGAGTGCGAGAGAGACAGCGCGACAGTGTTTCGGAGTCAGGCAGGAGGACTTTTCGGCCGCCAAGCCAGAATACCATTTGAAATGAGGACCGAGACGATCGCACCGCGTCGACGTGCTCGCGCTGCAAACGTCCAAAGTCTTTTTCTTTTTTTTTTTCGCGAGTGTGCTGCGCCGCGCCGTGGGCTTCGCCCGGCTTCCGAATCGGGACTGGACCAGTCTGTCAGCGACCCGGCACCGGCGGGATGATTCCGAGAGTCTGTCTCTGTCGCACCCACGGGACGCCCCGTGAAGCCACGTGAGTGCGAGAGAGACAGAGCGATCGGTCTGCAGCGTAGCAAACGCGGCACCGGCACGGCAGGGCACGCCAGGGCACGCCGCCACACCAGCAGGGAGCCTCTGATTGTTTTCGCGTTATACGTCGACGCGGCTGCAATGAGCCGAGAGGGCCAATTATCAATACGCCAGGCAAGCCGAGCGGCAAGGCAAGCCGACCCGTGCCAACGCCAGCCGCCAACCGGTCCGAAGGCCTTCGGCTTGTATGGCACCGCCGCCGAGAGGCTCTGATACTTGGCCTGGCACGATTCGTCGTCGCGTCCGTCCGGCGCCGTCTTTGGCCCGACAGTGTCGCCGCGGGGCGTGCCGCGAAAAAACGCGGCGCACAGTGGGCCAGAAGACCGGTGCAGGCGGCCGAAACCCCGGACGCGTTTTGAGCTCCAGAGTCGCTAAATGGGACTCGAACCGAGCGTGTGACCCCACCAATGGACTGCTCTCCGAACGGGGAATCCATTGGTGGGGTCACACGTTCGGTCCGAGTCCTGTTTAGCGACTCTGGAGCCCAAACCGCGTCCAGGATTTTTACTGTCCATGGGATGAGGGTCGATCCGACCCCGGTTCTTTTACAGTGGCGTTGTGGCCGCGGACCTATACACCGGGATGCAATAACCCGCGGCACGCCGAGGCTGCCTGCTATGCAGTTCGGCCCCGAACGCGTCGCTCTGTCTCCCTCGCACTCGCAAGCTGCCGCGAGGGCGTGCGAGAGAGAAAGAAAAGCTGGTGCACTCTGGCGCCCTGGCCGTTGTTGTCGCTGTTTCGCGCTTGCACTGTGCTTGCCTGTAAAATGCATTGCCCGCGTTTCCGAACCCGAATGGCCTCAGTTTGTCTCTCTCGCTCTTTCGCCCTCGCGGCCGGGGAATGAGAGTCAGATTGCTGCTGCCTCGCTCGCTCTCGCCAAGACGGCCCGCCTCGGATTGAGAGTGAGGGAGAGAGAGACGGAGCTAGGGGATGGCAAAGCAAACCGCCCCCGCTGCCAGGCCCACTATATCTTTTTAATGGGCTGTGAATCTAAACGGGGGTACTCGGGTACCCGCCCTGCACTGGCGGACCCGCCCCCTCTGGAGAGGCCAGGACTCCAGGACCTCCATGTTTCTGGGACTCCAGGTACCGACGGGCAAAAGTGCTTCCGACCGGGCCGCCGCACAGTGGGCCAGAAGACCGGTGGAGGCGGTCAAAACTCTAGACGCGTTTTGAGCTCCAGAGTCGCTAAGTGGGACTCGAATCGAACGTGTGACCCGACCTATGGATTCCTCGTTCGGAGAGCAATCCATTGGTGGGGTCACACGTTCGGTTCGACGCCCATTTAGCGACGCTGGAGCTCAAAACGCGTCTAGAGTTTTGGCCGCCTCCACCGGTCTTCTGGCCCACTGCGCTCAGCCGCACGGCGCGAGTGCCAGCCACTTGTCCAACACAATGCGCGCAGTGTGGGGACTGTACAGGCACTGTGGGGTTTTGGGTTCGGATCGCCTCGCGCTGTCATACCGCGGACGCGCGCCTTCCGTTCGTCAGTTTCGTTCACTCATCCGAGCGAGCTGCTCATTCATTCATCACTCTGTCGACGCGCGCGCGTTTTGGGCGCGCGGCACGCACGCAGCCTGCTCGAAAAAAACTTCACACAAGCGATCCCCTGAAAAAACCGCTGTCACCGCCTTGTCTGGCGAGCAGTATTTTTAAAGGCGCGGCGGCGGGGCGGCCCGCGGTCGAAATGACTAATGGCGCGAAATGGTCATTACTACACGGATTCCAAGAACACACACAGCCACACGCACACAGACGTGCGCGCGCGGCACTAGAGCACCATCGGTGCTTCCCCGAGGACTCGCTGCGGCCGTGGCCAAACCCCGGCCGATGTCCCTGAAATGTTTACGATGTCGCAGGGCGTCGCTAGACGGCAAGGCGGTGGCTCCAGGCCGGGGCGACAGCATGGCGCACAGTGGCCCAGAAGACCGGTGGAGGCGGCCAAAACCTCGGACGCGTTTTGAACTCCAGAGTCGCTAAATCGGACTCGAACCGAGCGTGTGACCCCACCAATGGACTCCTCGTTCAAAGAGCAATCCATTGGTGGGGTCACACGTTCGGTTCGAATCCCATTTAGCGACTCTGGAGCTCAAAACGCGTCTTGAGTTTTGTCCGCCTCCGCCGGTCTTCTAGCCCACTGTGCGGCGCGGCGGCCTGGCAGGCGGCGCCCAGCAAAAACGGCGCCAACACGCGGCCCGGGGGTGGCTCGGCGTGTCATCTGCATCCCTCTGCTTGACTTTGTCAGTTTAGTCGCTCCGTCTCCCTCTCTCTCGCTCTCGCACCCCAGCGGCGCGCCGTGCGAGTGCGACAGAGACGGATACACGAGCGCTCTCGGAATCAGCCAGCTGCAAAGCGGGCCGTCGCCTCGGACCCTTTAGGCCCTGTAGGCCCCACGGCCCCGCGCGCCAAATCAGCGCCCGGCCGAAACAAGACAATTTCCGACGGAGGGGGAAGGGGGGGGGCGACAAGGAATCGCAGCCCCCTTTCTGATCCCCCGATCGGGGCACAAAGGGATCCGGGAGCCACTCGAGGAGCGAGCGCACCGATTTCGTCTCTCTCGCACCCCAGCGGGGCAGCCCAAAGACTGCGAGAGAGACGGAAGCCTGCCAAGACAATCGCCGTCCGCCTGACGTGACGTACTCACTCATACCGATGAGTCCGCTCCACCGCACACCCGTCCGCGCAGATAAAAATCAAACTCCCCCCTCCCCCTCCGCACCACTGCTAGGCTCACGATGCGCGTCCGATATCTGCCCGGAAACACCACCGTAAGAAGCAGTGGCACCCCCTCCCCCTCCCCTCCCCTCCCCCCGGACAAAGACAACAACGTCGTTCGCCGGGGTGGGAGCTTTGGCGAGAGCAACGCCTGATTCCCCCGGATTTGAATGGCGTAACAACACGAACAGAGAGGGGATGGGTGGCAACGCGCGCGCGCACACACTCACGCACACACACGCACACACACACACGCACACTCACGCGCGCACACACACACACACACACACGCACGCGCGCACACACACACACACACACACAACCAACGCTTACACCTGGGACGGAAAGCTGGGCGTGCCGTAAAAACGCCAGACTTACACACTCAGCCCCTTGACTGCTTGCGCCCCCTTCCCCTCCCCCCTCCCCCAAATAATAATCAAATGAATAGAAACGACGACCGAGGAGCGATTCCACGCGATGCGTGTGCCAAGGGCAGCAAAAGGCGGGCAGGGTCGTCCGTTCCCGAAGCGGAGCGGCACAGGGGCACGAAAAAAAAAGTTACGGCAGCGGATTTGCGCAGACTGACGCGTCGCAGAGTGACGACTTGACTTTTGAAACGGCTTGGATCACCGCAGAGTCCAGTCGACTCCGGCAGTCTGCAGTACATTAGACTCCAGTCGACTCCAGTGGTCCTCGGGGCTCCCTCCAGTGTAGGCACAGGCCTTTTCCTTCCGGTAACGACCCGGCCGATCCGAATATCCGCATCCGGCGCCAAGACCGGCCAAAGACGCCCGCCCGCCAAACTCCATTCCCTTTTGTCCTGCGCCCCCTATTCATCCATAGCGCCATGGAGCCGCCGCCCCCTTTTT